TCGGCACGTACCATTGGCGAATTAGATTATAAAATTCTTCCATCGGGCATTTTCCTCCTTCGTGCATCTCTCCACAGGCAGTACACACGAAAAAACACTTGTCTGAAGGATGTCCTTTGCGCCCACATTTCTGACAGGTCAACCGCTTCCAACATCCACGATCGTCATGTTTCTTCGATCCGCAATGGGTGCAGGCTCTTGGTGGGTCAGTGTGACCATGACCTTTGCCTTGATCGATCACATTCTGTCGATCACGATTGTCGATCACATTCTGTCGATCACGATTGTCACTCTCATTCTGTCGATCACGATAATCTCTCGGCTTTTCAGCTGGGGCATGCGTCATCGCGGAAAACACGCGGCGTCGATCCACTTCTACTTCAGATCCACTCGATTCCGACTCTGATCCACTGTTACCGTTTTCGATATGGATCGCTCTCACTGCACGAGCCGGTTTCGATGCCGCTTGATCGGGTGCAGGGGCGGCTCGTTGACGAAATTTATTGGATCCCATCGATGCCTTGCCTTGACGAATCTCCATACGTTGATACGCACGTAGAGTTTCTTCCATGTCGTCAGCATCGTCCAAACGTAATAAAGTCAACTGTTTCGCCAGATCGCGATCATCCAGTGTCTCAATAAAATGTTCCACATGTTCACGTCTGGTAGCTGGCGTTCCCTCTCGAATTGAAATTTTTGCTCTGATCGCTGCCACATTTAATCGATAAAGATATTCCAATGGAGTTTCATTCGATTGTTTCCTTGCATGGTAATACTGTCTTCCAACAGATACACCATACCCTCCATATTGTATCATGAAACTTTCCAATAGAGATTTCCAGTGATGACGAGTCGATCGGCTCAGCTGGCTATACCAGTTTCTTGCTGGTCCCGTCAGCAGATCTCCAAATACGAGACACTTTTCGTTGTCAGGAGCTTGATCACGTAAGAAAGCAGATTTGACCTTGCTGATCCAGCTTCTAGCTCGATCTTCGTCTCTGTCTCGCCCAGTGAACTCTTTCAGATCTGCGATCGCCGATACACGAATTCGTTGCGTAGTGAACCCACCACTTGGCATAGCTTCTGCAGCTGCCACCAACGGTCGCCTTAGATCCTCGAGTCCTAAATCCAGCGGATCGCCAATATTGGATCGACTATGACGCGATCCAACTGACTCCATCTCCACGTCTGGAATATTCATCATTTGAGGAGTGGCGTTGATCCTTGATCGATTAGCATTTGGTAGAGCTAAAATCCGTTGATCGTCTTCGTACTTCTTCATGGCTGCTTTAAAATAGGAATCCAGCTGGTTTTATCCAAATGGATTCATTTCTCGGACCATGGGTACATCAGCCGATTTCGCTCCCGTTTCGATCGGCGTCGATCTTTCACGTATAAACGCCGCACCAGACGGTCCCAACGACATCCGTTGAATGGGAATTGATTCTCCTGAATCCGCCTCCGATTCTGCCGATGCATACTGTGATGAGCCCGTTTGATATGTCTCAGTGGCTGGCACGATCGCTTGGTACTTCCCAGTGAGAGGGATTAACGCCTCGAACAACGATCGTCCTGCTTTAATTACTTGATCATGATCACAATCCAGCAATGTCTGCGCATCAAACGCTCCAGCGGTGAATCCAGCTTCCTTGAGTAACTTCAACAAACGACGAATCGCTTCCAATTGGTTCGGTGTTTCTACCGGAGCTGATACCGGTCCTTGTAATAATCCGATTAGCTTTGGCTTCAATATCTTGAGAACTGGATCGCTAGATAGCAAAGTCTTTAGTTCTTTTTGGTGAAAACACCGTTCCAATTCTTCCATGTTCGTCGATCTTTCGGTTTTCGATCCGTGATCGGCCGACTCTTTTCCTTGGACACCACAATCTTCCGATTTCTTCGTCCGAACGTCGAGTTGTGATCGTGGTGCCTTCATCCGCACCTGTGAATTCTTCGACTCTTTCTTCTTAGGTTTTGCAGGAATGGTTTTGGATGAATTTCTCTCAGTTTTAACTGAAAGATTTTCATCTCGCGAATCTCGTTTTGCAACGTGATTCGCAGGGGTCCCCAAAGGGACCTGGGGAGGGGGTAGAGGTTTTTCTTCCAGATCGAGCGATCGATCTTCCTCTTTTGTTTTCTGCTCATCTGCGCCCCTCCCAAAACGCTGATGATCCGGGGATCCTTTTTCTTCACGCGTCTGCGGCGATCCCTCTGCCTCTGACGCTTCAATCCCAGGTTCAGTCTTGATCTTGACATCTTCTCTCAGGAACTCATGGTGAAATCCCGAGTCACCAGAAGATCCAGGCACGCGCACCATTGTGGTGGAGCGGGATTCGCAAAATTGCTGATGTGACCCTGAATCTCCACTGGCGCCCGGACAACCGACTATCGGAGGGGGTACTTCGTTTCCGTGTATAGCAATTCCTTCCTCACCTTGTGTCACGGTAGAGCGGGTAGCACTCTTCTCGGTGGACTCGAGTTGATGCTAAACTTGACCGTGGTTGGGATTGGTTGGGGTTCGATCACGCGGGAATCTTCACGCGATCGAGGGTTACTTGGGGGGGCTCTATACGAGTCGCCCTGATCTCTTTTGAGATCGCCTTGTCCAAAAATGTAGATACTTGATCCACTTGTTATACTTGACCTTCTGACCACTTGAGCCGTCTCGCGATCTTGTGCCTTGTCCTTTACGTGATACTGCGTCCAATCGCGGGCGAAGTTTGTTTGTGAGAGGTCTTGTAATCCCTGGCCAAACAATCCAGGGATATTACTTGTAGGTACTGGTGGCAGAAGTTCTTGATCGTCGGGGGGCCAAAAATTTTCCCACCCGGAAGAGAAGTCTGCGTGCGTAGTTCGAAGTAAAAGAAACTCTGTTTAATGTTAACCAATCAAATACCCAAAACCTATCATCTTGCCTATCGGTAGCCCAGGATCTACTGCCGCGTGTCGCCTTCTTGGAAATAAATCAGACTTGCTATGTGGTCCACTTCAAACACTGTGTCGATCCGGTTTTGTCGATCCTGTTTTGTCGATCCTGTTTTGTCGATCCAGTTTTGTCGATCCAGTTTTGTCGATCCTGTTTTGTCGATCCTGTTTTGTCGATCCTGTTTTGTCGATCCTGTTTTGTCGATCCAGTTTTGTCGATCCTGTTTTGTCGATCCAGTTTTGTCGATCCAGTTTTGTTGATCCAGTTTTGTCGATCTGGTTTTGTCGATCCGGTTTTGTCGATCCGGTTTTGTCGATCCTGTTTCTGGATCGAGGTTGCGTATCGATCTTCAACTGGTTACGCTTTGCGATCTTCTTTCTGGATCGAGGTTTCGATCCGATCCTCCTGGATCGCGACTGTGGTGTGTGGTCCACACCCAGTACCCTTTCGATCCATATTCTTCTGTGTTCTTCACACCGTTACTCCCTCTTCCAACCATCTCGCATGCCTTATTGACCAATCGGAGCGCAGGATTGTGGATCGACGACATTTCTTTGATCGATCCCTTTCAAATTATTCGATCGTTTTACCACAAATTTTATAATTCGATCAGTCAGTGGTACGTGCCAACCAAGCATGCTGGGATGCTATCTCCAAAAGCAGAAGAGATGTTAAACTAAGACGCTCGCCAGGTTGGAATCTGATACGAGCCGAGCGTTTTAGGCTCTGCATTTATGCATTTGTTGAAAAAGATCAGTGGATTAGGAGATTAACAAGCGGATCGATCCGATCAATACATGTAAAAATTTAAAAAATTTTGTGTTTTGTATCAAGTATTAAAAGGGTGGATGAATATGCCAGATCGCCTGCTAAGATGAAGCTCGACCTTGCTCCAGGCGAACCACGGGGATATTGGAAATATCATACCCCAGGAAAGTGGTTCAAGCAGGCCAAGGCAGTGGGCAAGATCAACAATGAGAAGGCCACTATACTATTTGATTCTGGAGCCGAAGTCTCAATCATCGACACCACCTTTGCTCGTAAGGTAGGCTGTATTGTTGATGAGAGCCAAAGGCAAGAATGTATTGGAATTTGAGAAAACGCCTATATGAATGAAGGGCGCACTCCTTTTATTGTGATATCCTCAAGGAACCCGATTCTTCTGGCACTTCTCCACACTTCCATCTACTACGCAAGCACACACCTTCGAGAAGCGTGAGGAAGCGCTTAGACCGTCTTACCTCCGCGTGTGGTGGTGGTGGTGGTGTTGGTCGGCGCTAAAGCGCACTACCAACCGTTGTAGGTCGCGCAACGAACTTCTCAGACAAGAGCTCCACTTACGTCACGAAGAATCTCATTAAGCTTCTCGTGCGCAGTGGACAATGTTTAGCAAATTCAAGACAAATTCATAATAGAAATAACTAAATATAAATCTAACTACTGATTGGTCAAATATAAAGATCGGATATGCCTCACTTTAGAGACGTATCCCTACGTGCGAGCTTAAAATATATTTCATCTCGCTGGTGACGTCCGTCTGAAGCGTCACCATAACGCCTAGTCTCGATTGGGCGTCATCCCCGTGAATGTGAAACAATCCATAGACATCACATTCACGAGGGTGGGTCACATTGATGTGTCTCACCCAAGTGGGGGGCCTAAGGTACCACGTACCCTTTTAGACCTCCCCATTAAGTATCATATACTTAACGGGCTCGTGTAACTATTAGCCCGTACACGTTCAGTCTGGCCATCGATCTGGGGATGATCGGCGGTCGACAAGTGGAGCTTGCTTTCCAGCAGCTCAAACACATGACGCCAAAATCTTGACGTAAAACGCGGATCCGGTCCGATACGATGGACTTGTACATCCCGTGTAGTCGATACACGTGGTACCTACAGGGTGTATACGGCATACCCTGTTACAAATTCTATGTCTTGCCTACTTATGTATATAATAACTGCGACCAGGCCTTAATCAAAAACACTTGAAATATAAATTATGAGAGGTGATCGTTTTTATTCTATCTGTGACTTATTATTATCGCTTCTCGTTCCCTGAGAGCTGTCATTGATGAGTAGTAATAAGGGTGTCGTAAAGCAGCGACAGAAACGCAAGTCATTGGCTGAGGACTATGGAGGTTCCGTAGGTGAAGATCTATTAGAATATATGGAAAATGACGAGACTCCTGGTGGTGTCCAGCAGTCCAAAGACAGCGTTGGTGCCTCTAGTAACTTATCGCGTCGTATTCAGAATCGTCTACAGAAACTCAATGAGGTAGCACAGTCTTCAGGCAAAGACGGTGATTCCTCTGGTTATTATGATTTTTCAACGCTTGATATGAAGCCAGATCATGAAGTGCGACCTGTATGGGTCTGCCCTAATGGTCGCATCTTTCTTGAAGCCTTTTCGCCCATTTATAAACAGGCTTACGACTTCCTCGTGGCTATTTCAGAGCCAGTGTCTCGCCCAGAGTTTGTACACGAGTATAAACTTACTCCATACTCTCTTTATGCCGCTGTGTCAGTGGCCATTGAAACTGAAAGTATCCTCAAAGTGCTCGAGAGACTGTCCAAGAATCGGCTTCCACAAGGCATTGTAGCCTTTATTAAAGACTGCACACTCAGTTACGGCAAGGCCAAGCTCGTGCTGCATCATAACGAATTTTACGTCGAGAGTTTATACCCCGAGGTACTGCGCAAATTACTTGAACACGAACACATTCGAGCTGCACGTGTTAAGGAGACAGCAGATTCTATTGCAGCAAATGCATCCTCAGCTGCGGCGCCATCGGTGGCACCTGGAGAGGCACGAGCACAAGATGTGAGTGAGTTTATTCAAAAAGATGTGTCGGCTGAGGACCAAGCCAATTTGCAGTACCAGAAGCTACTGAATGAGGACTACAATGTGGCGGATGAGAACCATCCTGGAAAGTCATCAGGTGATCAGCAAAGGACGGTACGCACGGTATCGTTCAAGATCAGGAAGACGATGGTAGAGCAAGTGAAGCGCGCGTGTCTGGATCTAGACTATCCGCTCATGGAGGAATACGATTTTCGTAACGACAAGACCATCCCAGACTTGGAAATGGATTTGAAGCCCACAACGCGCATTCGTGAGTACCAGGAAAAGTCACTAAGCAAGATGTTTGGTAACGGACGTGCACGATCGGGTATCATTGTTCTGCCATGTGGTGCAGGCAAGACGCTTACTGGCGTGACAGCTGCTTCCACCATTAAGAAGTCGTGCCTTTGCCTTTGTACGTCGGCTGTGTCTGTAGAGCAGTGGACTGCACAGTTCAAGATGTGGACAAACATTCCGGAAAAGAAGATTGCACGTTTTACCTCAGTTGCAAAGGACTACATTGACCCCAACTCTGGAGTGATCGTGACCACCTACACTATGGTTGCTTTCGGTGGACGTCGCGCTCGTGCATCAGAGGAAGTCATGCAGCTAATTCAAGGCCGTGAGTGGGGCTGTATCTTGCTGGATGAGGTGCACGTTGTGCCTGCAAAAATGTTTCGCAAGGTCATCGGCTCTATTGCGTGCCATTGTAAACTTGGTTTAACGGCCACTCTTGTGCGCGAGGACGATTTGATCGGTGATCTGAATTTCCTTATTGGCCCGAAGTTGTATGAAGCTAATTGGATGGATTTAACGCAAAGCGGGTTTCTAGCGAATGTATCGTGTGTGGAGGTGTGGTGTCCCATGGCTGGAGAATTCTACCGGGAATATCTGCGAGAAAACAAGAGCGCACGCAAGCGCGCACTACTGTACGTGGCCAACCCGAACAAGTTTACAGCCGCCGAGTTCCTTATTCAGTACCACGAAGAGCGTGGCGATAAGATTTTGCTATTTTCAGACGATGTGTTTGCTCTGCGCCTGTACGCGACGAAGCTCAATAAAGGTTACATTTACGGTGGAACTGGAGAGCGTGAGCGCATGCGTCTGCTGCAATCCTTCCGAAGCTCTCCTCTCGTCAACGTCATCTGCATCTCAAAGGTCGGTGATACGTCTATCGATCTGCCCGAGGCAAATGTGATTATTCAAGTGTCATCGCATTTTGGTTCACGACGACAAGAAGCTCAACGTTTGGGACGTATTCTACGCCCCAAGGCCAATGCGACGGGTGGATTTAACGCCTTCTTCTACACACTTATTTCTACGGACACACACGAAATGTTCTACTCGAACAAACGCCAGCAGTATCTTGTGGATCAGGGCTATACGTTCAAGGTAGTGACTGACCTCTTTGAGCCGGGGTCGTTTGAGGGGGTGTTTACGCGGAAAGAGGACCAGCGGGCGCTATTAAACGAGGTGCTTAGTGCTGATGTCGAGAGCGCCGCCAAGGACGAAAATGCCGCAATCCGCGATGACGAGGATCTTTCGCGTCTGGAACTTTCAGGTCATGGGCGTAAGAAGAAGAAATTGGCTTCACTTGGGGCTCTTTCTGGTGCCGATGGTTTCAAGTATATGGAATACTCGGCTGGTCATGGTGCCAAGCAGCGCCACAATCTCTTTCGTGATCGGTACCGTTAAAAGCTGTCGATGTAAAAGTGCCTTAACAACCAATCAATGGACGAGTTTAAAATCATCTTTACATACTGTATGCTCTTATAACTGAGTCTGTATTTTATACTTTATCGATATATAAAACCTCCCGATTTGGATATCGGACGGACTCAGAGTTCCCTCGACCATTTCCTCTCTGAGTCTTTATCTGAGTCTATCACCCTCTGAGTCCACGTTACGGTAAGTCGATTACTTTGTCCCTTAAATGACGCCAAATGGATGGCATTTGTTTAAACTGTTGTCGCTTTAATCCGTAACTTTTCTATTCTTGCTAGCCATGTCAGACATAAAGCCTGATCCTGCTCCAGCACTTCCTGGTTCAGAACGTCCCGATTATCGAGGGAAATGTCTCTACAAAACAGGCAAATGCTTAAATGAACGAGCTCTTAAGACATCAGGAGTAGCCCACAATCTCTGTGATGACCACCGCAATCGACAAAATCGACATCAGCGCAAACTTGACGCTAAAAACCGATTGCACAAACGAGAACGACGAGTCTCGGTCAAGAATGTCAAGGGAGCGCGGGTCGCGTCGTCTCAGACTAAGTCGATTGTCTGGTCAGACGCCGCAGAGTCAAGTGACAATGCTGTTACTTTTCCAGCTACTTTACCGACAGCAACTGCAGTCGCAACGTCAGATGAAGTGACATCGACGTCAGTTTTGACTTCGTCTGGCAATGGTGTCATGTTTATGTCGAACGCGTCACAACCGTTACAGGCGCCCCACCCTATTGTATTGCAAGACTTTGATGGTATTGTAGTGCCGTTACCGTCATATCTTGAAGGGCCTGAACGAATTGAGTTTCGTTCACGCATTTACCAAAAAGTGCTTGATTTTATCTCGGAGGAATGCATCTTACGCTTTGGTGCCAAGGTTGAAAACACCTCATCTGATGCTCCTACTGCCACAGAAACGGTAGTTACAACTCCTACAAGTAGCAGCAAACTTGAGGCTGAACCTGAAACAAAATGACGAAGAAAATGCACCGTCATCGAGTCAGTAGTCGGACGTCCAGCAAACTCGACATCATTGACAGAGTACTTCAAGACCTCATCACCACCAAATAGGTGCATTCAATCACGTACACAGGAACTTTATTGAATAGGATGAAGGAATGGTGGGCTCGACCTCGTGCAGTCGCCGCAAGCAGCAGTTTCAGCCCAACGGCAATGAGACGAGATTTATTAGTGCTATTACTCTCGCTCCCCATATGAATTAAAATGCATTTTTGTGTCGATGGGTCTTCTTCAATAAGCCCATTGTGCATTCTCGTCTTGACGTAATTGACTCTTGCCATCGAGTCCTTGTTACAGTATGTAAGGAAAAATGAGATGACTAGCGTTGATACCCTCCATTGAGTCTTCATGATAAAATAGTAGAGTTCATTTTATGACAAATATCACGCATTTCTAAGAGATACTACGAAGAACACGTCGACGAGAGAGCAGTCTCACATAAAACTTAAATCTCAACTTCACGCTTGCCCACTCGTATCTGACTATCATCGAGGCCATCAATACTGGAAAACGAGTACCTTTCGTCATTGTACGACATTTCACTGAAACAATCGCTCTCGCCTCGCGCCTCGGCATACTCTGAGTCGGTGACCGAATTGGCGATGGAGTCGGTAAAGGAACCGGCCATCGAAGACCGATCGTCTTGGTTCATCCTTCGCTGCGGCAGTCGACCAGTGTTTTGAGATGACACGAGCGAGCATTGGCTACTGTTCAAGTCACTGATAATTTCACTCATGCCGCTCCTGCTCATGATACTATCTTCACCGTTATCATACTGCATCTCCTGTTTCATTCGCAGATACTCACCAAAGACGTCTGGAGTGGATGTGCAGCGGAGAGATACGTCCTGCTGTACATACTCGCCTACATTCGAGTATCTGCTAATGCTTCCGGCAACGGAGGTCCCATGACCACTGCGTCCACCACTCTTGTAAAGGCCTGCTTTATTGCCTAGCACTGCAGGAAAGTCCGACGAGTCGGCTAACATTCCATCGAAGCTACGAAGAGATTCATTCGTTGGCACGCGGGACACGATGGAACCACGCTGCAATCCCTTGTGGCTGGAGGTTATGTTAGGGGTGCCACAATTGACCTTACTAGTGTCCAAGACGTTGTTGTACGGCCCGGCTGACGCGTCATCGCGTGGCTTCGATAGACTGCGTAGGCGCCTGTCCGACGAGCCGAGGTTGCCAGCTTCTGTAGCTGCAATGTTCTCCTCACGAGAGCGTCGCATCTTGCGTCTTCGAGCGCATAGGATGATGAGAATAACAAGAGCGAAGAATGCTCCAAGGCTTATCGCTCCATATGTGATAAGACTTGTGCTGATTTCCTCTACGGTGACAGAGCTTAACTCGTCGGCATTGGTATCAAACGAGGACGAAGACTTTTTTGGTAAAGTGGAAGGACCTGATGCAGAATCAACCGAGTCATTTGAAGACACATTTGTTGCGCTACTACTGCTACCAGGACTTGTCGTAGAACTCCATGAGTCGGCTGGAACATAAACAAACAAAACAAAAAAGTCAGCTACACATTGACAAGGAGAAGCAAAGCAGGTATCAACGTACAGCAATCATAACGGACGCCTGTAAAGGGGCACGTAATAGTCGATGCGTCCTTCTTCCAGCACGTAAATAAGTTATCGAGTTCGTAGATACAAGGAGGACAGTTACCAGTGGTGGTATCACACGTCACATTGCCGTTCTCAAGGCAGGACGTGACCGAACTACAGAAATTGTTTGTCTCGGAAGCCAAGGTTGTGGATAACGTCCCTACCACGAGTAATGCTAGTAAAACGTTTGAAAACATTTGTCCTTTGGCATTCATAACCAATTATGCAGTCAAAAGACTTTCGGTAAAGACCTGATGCAGACCCAGCTGCTTCAATGTCCAAAAACGAGACAAGAGGTCCTACTTTTAATCTTTTTTAGTTGACCGTGTTTATGCTTAATTTTGTATTAGAATAATGTCACCAAGCAGTAATGCTGAAGTGGCTACAACATACTTTCCAATTTTGGGCTTAAGTAAATTAATAACGGATAAACGACAAAGGCCTCCAAGGAGTCGATATACCGGTCCTTTTACTTTAAGCGAGAAGTCTTCTCTCTGCGCAATTTGACGGGGAGCAATAGGCACAAAGTCCCGAGGTGTGTGGGGCACGTCGACAAAGCAGCAAACAGGCATTAACAAGTCTTTGCTTTTCTCCGTTTCGCCTTCTAGTCGCCGGCCCGTTCACCGAGCGCGACCTCCAGTCTGAACTTCTTTAGAACGTGCTTCCGTCCGTTCCGATTCCGACTGTCAGGGAACAGTCAGGCTGGTCCATCTGGGACAGCCGGTTTGGTTCCCGACCTCACTTTCAAGGCGCCATCTGCCCCCTGCAATGCTCGGGTTTGGTCAAACGGTCATTTTGGACGTCCTCTGTAAAGCCCGTCGGGTTTGAGCCAGCAGAATGAGCTAGTGCAGAGGAGAACGACATAGTCAGACTTTCTCACATACATATCTGAGATAAGTATAAGGATATTATCGTCAGTCTGGTCATCATTACAACCCAGAAAGCACTTAGATGGCGTGATGTCGCTCGACGACATGCAAACGCACAACTTTTGCTGTGCTCAATCGACATTGCAGTAGATTGTGCTGGTCGAGCCTTTTGCACTTTTCTGTCGCTATGATAGAGTATTCAATTATAAAGGCTGCAACTGATGGCGCGTTGGTCGATGAAAGCCCGTCGTGGCAGGCCACTTTACAAATAACTTTTGCAACCGCAATTGTTCGAACACTTGTCGGCTGTCTAATTCCTGGCCAATTCAAGAGTCGGGAACAAACTCTTCCTGAACATTTTTGAATGTTGTGGTGTCATTCTTCAGTAATGTAGCGAGATGCGTGACAGAGTGCGCTGAGAGACGGGCTAAAGTGATGCAAATGGTAGCATGTGCCTAAGATTTGCTTCAGATCATATCATTTCCATGCTGAAGTCTTTGCCTGCTGAACACCAAACTGAGGTTGATGAGCTACTTGTAGTGTTGGATCAAGCCAAGCGTTGCTGAGGTAAGGCTTGATGCGCCGCATTGGTTCAGCATTGCTATCGTGTCACTTCTTTGCACAAACAATAACGAACGCTATCAATGCAAGTATGAAAGGTATGATCCCAGTGTTTTTTCAATGTGAAGATGTGCTGATGTATGGAAGAAGCAAACATCGAGCTATTGAAGCTCACATTAAAAGATAGGCACACTAGCAGAGCTCAATGCTCAAGTGACGATGACAACAATTGAATTATGCGGTGCAGATTTGCAACATCTCTGCGAATGAAGGAGGTAACTAGACACGATACTATAGTTGGGCCGCACAACCTAGTCATGCTCCTGTAGACGGTTCTGCACATGAGGGTGTAAGTAGCGTCACAAGTAAGGAAGCTGCAAATAAGCATTAAAGATGGCAACCCTTGTCAGGTCAGCACCAGCATCTTCATACCTTTTGGTTTCTCATACCAGCGGCGGCACAGAGCTCCTGCCACTGCCTGCATTTCAGCATCAGTGAATCTAACAACTTCTAGCACAATGCTTCCTCCTGCAGCAAAGAACACGTCGGGCATTTTTGCTTGTTCGATTGCAATAATTAATAGGCGATTCTCGGACCCTTCATCCCTGACAACTAGCGTGTTTGACTATTGACGATTCACTTAGGCCATGGACAGCGCAATGAGTTACAGTCGTCGAAAGTGAAGCAATTCGACACCGTAAACACAAACTATATGTGCTCTTCCTCTATTTCTGGATCATTAGGCAATCGCTATCAACTTCACATATTTCTTGCAGTTATCTTGCGTACGCAATACCATAGTCAAAAAATGTACCAGTCCTCTACATTACCCACATGCTTGGTCGATGGCCACGTTACAAAGCGACTCATCTGAGCTCATGTTTTGCCTTGTAGCTAACTACAACACCAGCACATTTACAAGCCCTTTGAGTTTTCCTCCGTTTTGCAGTCTGCTACTCGTAACACAGTCAGCCATCAACTTTGACTTGGAAATGCCGCGTGTTGAATCGTCCGTATTCAACAGTAGCGTTAGTACTGCAGACGTAAAGCTTGAGCCAAAGGGTTGCAGCGCTTGCTCAATTATATCTTTGTCTGAATGACGCTCTTTGCTGCGAAGCAACAATACAATGTATAACTACAGCAGCATGCAAAAAAGCGTTCAATTCAAACTCATGCTGAATTGACTCATTACATGTGATAGCAAAGCTACTCTTCTACACTCTTCTCACTCACTTACTCACGTCTGTAAACTCTTTGTTTACAACGGCGCAGTCCTTGTGCAACAACACCGAGCTCTGCGAGGGCTTCTGAGCGTCGCCCACGGTAGTCTCGTCAGCGACCATATGGCCCTGCGATGTCGTGCCGTTTGAAATGGTCGTGGATGTGATGGCGCCGTTGATGGACGCAGAGATGTTGTTGAACTTGGCCATAATGGTGTCCTTCAAGACACCATCGTGCGTGAACAGGCCAAAATAGGCCTCCACCGTCTCGTTAGCCTCGAGCGTAGGCAATTTCCACGGCTCGTCAAAGGCCGAGAAGTAGTAGTACGCGAAGTCCTTCTCCTCTGCAAGAGCGTAGAAGTCGTAGAAGAACTTGGCGGCGTTGGCCTCCGTGGCAGGACTGGCGCCAGCGCCGACGCCGTCCGAGGCCCAGCCGGTCTCGCCTATGACCACCTTCTTACTGTAGGTACTAGCAGTCTTCACGAGTACCGAAAAGCGCTTGTAAAAGTGATCGACGGCACTATCAATTTCCATATTCTCCCAGAATGGGAAGTAGTTGGCCGACACGTAGTCTACGGCCTCAATCAATTCCGGATACGCCGAGTACGTATCACCAATGTCGGCGATCGTGAGCGGAATGCTAGCGGCGGCCGAGTTGTCCTGGCACAGTGTACGAATCTCCATCAGATTTGAAATAGCCACTGCAACTGTTACGTCACCACGGTATACGGCCTCGCTGCCTACATGGACACCCACTATGTTGTCGGCAGTCACGAGACCGGTTTGCAGTAGCACCTTGAACGCAGCCTTTTCTGCCTCAAAACTGGACGTGGACGAGTCCACCCACATGCCCAGCTCAATCTTGAATCCAGCCTAAATGGCCACCGGCACCAACGTGGTGGCTTGGTCGCAGTCCGTCAGCGAGTACAGCCGGATGACGTCGGTCACGCTTTTGAGCGTGACCAGCTCCGTAGCGATCTGCAAGGCAGATTTACACTTGACGTCGGGCGTAGCCCAGTCGGGACCAGCGCGGATGTTGTAGTTGATGCCCTTGCACTTGAAGTTATTGGCATTCGCCATGCCAAAGATGGCAGTGGCCATGATTAGAACGAAAGTCGTACGTAGGACGTTCACCATGATGATTGAAGTCGGGGCTCTTGAAATGAGAAAATAAACTTATGAAGACGACAAGAGTTTTGAAAATGACAAAGTAGCTCGTGCCACGGGCCACGACTTATCAAAGTCCGGTCAGATCACTCGCCAGTGCCATCTGGATCGCATCATGGTGCTTAGATATTTCGATAGCCGTGTGACCACAATTGGCGAAATCTGTCATCAAGCACGCAGTTGCGATTTGCAACGCTACGTGGGGACAAAGAGCAAAACGTGCGCTGAAAGACGTCCTGATCCAGCATTACGATGCGCCACTTGAAAACTTTACGATGGAATAGAGATTGTAGTGATTGCAAAGTCTCTTTAAATAGCCACCGATGTTTATCATATGCCTGTGGCTTTAGGACAAGAACCTCACGAAGGCGAGGCCTTGCAATTGCCGCTTATGGTCCAGGTCACATACGCGCAAACTTCGTGCTCGGCATTTTCATAGCGCTGAAAGTGATCATCGAAAATGTATAATGCGCTAACACCGCACAATGGGTTATGAGCCACATTGAGCTCCTCGACGCGTGTATCTTTTCTTATAAAGCGTGCGATGACTTCATCCCTGGTATTGCAGCAATAAGGTCTCCATTTCGGTGCGCAAACGATTGAGTGTGACTCCGAGCTCTGGTAGCAATAGAATTCCTGCCCAGAAGCCCCTGCGTACACATCGCACTATCCGAAGTCTGCTGAGGTTCACTTTTTGCGCTGGGTTGCCACTGGCGTAAGATGCCCAGAGGCTCAGTACACAGCTGCAGTTGTGCATTACTGCAAGGAACGAGTAGCACTGAAAGACGAAAAGACTTGGCCGGCTGCAGTCAAACCAGCAAAGCTTCAACCGAGAACGTTGCCATCTTTCTCTGGTCCTCGTTCAGCAGATTCTGGTACTTTTGCTATCTGTACTGTTCCCGACAAGACGCCGTTCTAGACGCTAACGTGAAAAATTGCAGCCTCCGTCGCCATCAAGTCTCTGGATCCCTCTGTCGACTACGTGCGCGTCCTACAGACCTCCCATCGAAGTTAACTACATGGGTACGGGGGCCATGCAGCACTTCCATCGTTTGCTTCTCATCGTAGAGATATGATTAATAATAACAAGGTTGCTGCTGTTGAAGAAGGACAGCACTCATGCCACGAGCAGCAGTCTACAGTCGCAACCGATTCTCCTTCTAAGTTGCTGCATCGTGAGCAAGATACGGCGACGTGCCACGTCACCTCATCTTCATTGCAGCCAGAGTGGCTGTTCTCATATTCAGGAATCACTTGGGCGGGTAGTGCAAACTAAGCCAAATCTTCGCTATTCACGCAACTAGTTGGCCAGAAACGTGAACATCGGAGACCAACCACGCTAATGGACACCTTAATTGAGGCTCCTGAACGTCTGCGACGAGCGGAGACGGTGCTACGCCATCGCACGAGCCGCATCATTCTGGTGCTGGAGCAATGTATGGACTCACACAACCATCAAGCCGTGCTGCGGACTGCCGAGGCACTGGGTATCCAGCACGTGTGGCTTATCACTGCCAATGACAAGCAGCTTAAGACGCACAAGAAGAGCAGCGGTAAGAAGATCACCAAGAACTGCGCCGTGTGGCTCACGATACGCGAATTCCCGACCATTGCAGCCTGTCTAGAGGCACTAAGAGTGAGCGAGACGACCGTCTGGGCCACCGACCTGTCACCGCAAGCGGAGCCGCTCGCAATGGACGACAAGCCCAGTGAACTGCCTGCGCGCTTGGCACTTGTCATTGGACGTGAAACGGATGGGGTGAGTGCCGAGATGCTGCAAGCGGCGCACCGACGAGTATATTTGCCGCTCTTTGGCTTCAGCGAGAGCCTCAACCTGTCGGTGGCCACAGCGCTGGTACTTCAGCGGCTATTGGACTGGTTTCCACAGGTGCGTGGAGATCTCGATGAGCACGAGAAGCAGCAGATTCGTAAGCAATGGCATCCTCAGCTGGTGAGCAATCCGACGCAAGTACTTCAGGCCGAACCGTGGATTTCGGGTCGAGTACCAATCCGTCCACTTGACGACTTGCGTCGCAAAACGTACGACGTGTGGATTCCTAAGAGTGTTCGACGACGCGAGCAAGACATGCCAGAAGTGAAAGAGCGATTGGGTAAGCGAAAACGGCAAGCAGATAACAAGGAGCTGACAACGAAGTGCAGTAAGGCGGAATGATAGAGTATATGCAGGATAGGATAGACTAAGGGAGCTGACCGAGCCTCAAGCAGAGACCACTAACACACAGGAAAGATGCTCATGTGTCTTCTCATTTTTCACGATGACAGCTTTCAATGTCTTAATCTTGTGCAATGCTCCCTTATTCTGTTCCTCCACTTTGCGAAGCAACACTGAAGGAGGCTACCGCACCTCCTCCATGTGGTTCTGCTCGTATAGTACTCGTACGCATGCTCTTTGCGCTAGAATGTAAACCTCTTGGACATCGTATCGAAGCCTCCATACAAACTAAACGCTCTACGTTTACTCCACTGATTAGCCGCTTGGTGATGTCCGCGTGCACCGCGTTTATTTCGGCTAGTGCCAAAGTTGCTGTGGCACATGAGCTCAGACTCGCATAATTTTATTGCAACTTCCTAGTTGAATTCCTGTCTCGGTATCGTTCGTAGCATCCACAGTCGTGTCTTCGCTTCCTTAGTACACACCGCAAATTCTTTTGCATTTAAGTCTTCTCACCAGATGTCAGCATCACCGAGTCGAAGTTTTGAGTCTTAAGGCTCCACCTGTAGCTTTGTCTTCACTGTCAGTATCATTGTTATCTCCATCCTTCATGATGCCTGCCCCCCGTCTCAGTTTCGTACAATTGAGCTTGTTAGATACAACATGCGACTAGTTCCCCTCAGTCCTACGATAACAGTTCACTTCCAGAAGCTTGACGGGCCTACGTAGCTTCACCTCTTTGCTTTTTGCTTGCTTGCCTGCTGCAGACTTGCTACGAAGGTGATAGTGCTGGTGCAACACACAGTTATTGTCCAATTGTGTAATCGCTTGGGATAGACCGTCTAAATCCAGTGTGCACGCTCATAATTGTTAGGCTTTTTTGCATTCTACCAAAGCTACAAACTAGCATATCACCAGTCATATAGGCCGAATAGTCTCTTTATTACCACCATACGACGGTAACAGGTATTCCAGCCCTTGGGACGACCTCATGGCGCTGGCTGAAAAAAAAGTCTCTCGGTTACATTCGGCAACCCTCAATACTTTATCATATAAAAATCGTATACGTTACCTAATGCACCAATTTGCGACACAATTTCCACAAGTGGCAGTCTAGAAAAAGCTAAAATACAAAAAACAAGTTTAATTGACACTTCCAAGTGTAAGACAATGCCAGCGTTGCTGTGGCTGTTGCTACTGCTTGTGGCCTTGATGATGGCCCTCACTAGCAGCGCTACCCTACGAAAGCATGCTTTTATCTGGTTCTCGTACGCGACGATCACGGGCTGGTATTACTTTCGCGTGTTATACAAGAAATACTGGAGCAACAACAATAAGGACGACGTGACATCCCTGCGCTCTAGCAACAGAAGCAGCAGTAGCAAAAGCCTCACGCCTTCATCCAGGAAAGCCGTCGAAAGCCTGTTTGATCCTCATCTCGTTTACGTTGAGCCACGTGAGGTGGCTGAGCAGCACCAGTTGGAACGTAGTGGCTCAAGCAGCTTGAGCGACTCGGTTTCCAGCGGCAGCTATGACGACATTGCTGCGACCCCGACCAAGCACAAGAGACGATTTCTTCGTAGTCGAAGGAAGGCTGCGGCTGAAGAAGCCATGCGCCGTGTGAGTGACACAAGCTCGACAGATTTTCTTCTTAATTTCGGGTGCGTCCGAGTCGAACGTGTCGTTGAGCAATACCGTTACGAGAAGGACGTACACTGGGCGAAAGAAGCCCGTGTCGTGGGAAGATTGAGGAGCAGTCAGTGGAGAAGTGTCAACATACATAAGCTATCAACGTTATGGATGGCAGAACGTACGAGGCAAGTCGGAGCAAATTATTGCCCTAATGTTAAACCCGTTTAACTATAACGTACATGGACAAGGACCGTATGTAACTGTAACTGTAACATGGAAGTGTTGCCAATTCATTTTGCAGAATTATCGTATATGTTTATTTTTGTCCAATGAGATGCAATGTTAAGAATTAACGACGTTTTAACATCATAAAGACGAGCATGTTTGGGTTTAATGTGAACAAACTCAAGCCTAATCTTAAGATGGCGGTGCATCGTATTGGCATTGTTAAGAACAAGAAGGCAAATGCAGCAGTAGCACAGCGACGTGAAGTCGCGCGGTTACTTGGTGATGGAAAAGAGGAGAAAGCGCGTATTCGAGTGAGTGCGATTGAGACTTTGAGCTCTGTTTTTTTTGCGTCGTTTTTACGTGTTTTTATACTGGTTTTATCAGGTGGAAGGAATTATTCGTGATGATTTTACAATGGAAGGTTACGAAATTTTGGAGCTCTTGTGTGAACTTTTGGCCGAGCGAGCGGTGTGTTCGATTGCTGTCGTTAACTGATGGATGGCCGCAGAGAACTAATGTTATTGCTATTGTTTTGGTAGAACCTGCTCAAGACAGAGCCTGACTGTCCGTACGACATGCGTGAAGCTGTATGCACGCTGATCTGGTCGGCAAGTCGTACGGAGATCCCGGAGCTGCTGGAGGTCAAGAAGCAGCTTACCAAAAAATACGGACGAGATTTTGAGGCTGCAGCTATCCGCAATGTGGACAAATGCGTGAATGAACGCGTGATCCAGAAACTCAGTGTGCATCCGCCGAGTGCATTTCTTGTGATTAGTTATATGCAGGAGATTGCCAAAGAATTTAAGGTGGACTGGGAACCCGACGAAGTACAGGTGGTGGACCCACTGGCACCGATTCCGGCACCAACTGGTACCACTGTCATGAATGCCGGTGTCTCTGGACCAGACTTTGCTGCACTCTACGCATCAGTAAGGTTATCTGCATACTGTTATGACCCCTTGAAAGTGTAAACTTGCGTCATAAACGGGCTAACGGGATTGTTTTGCAATGCATGCAGGCCCCTCCACCTGGCGCTAGCCTGTCTCACTTGCCAAAAGCTCCTTCTGACCATACTAGCATGGAAGCTGCTGCTGCCCCGGCACCGCTTCAGACGTCCCTGTCACGGCGGACAGTGAACACGTACACGAACCAGCCAACGCACTATTACTCTACAACGACGTCGCAGCCACTTTCGGTACAGCAGTCCGATGACGTTCTTGCAGAACCGATACAACCGGCACCAGCATTGCCAAATGAGCGCCTTTCTTCTTCTGCCGCCGCGGCTTCGTCAGGTCCAGCTCCAGGCTCAGCCCCAGCAAGGAACGAAGGCATCCCAGATTTTGACGAGCTTACAGCACGCTTCGAGCGACTTCGCAAGCGCCAAGACCGCCATGACCAGGATAATACTTCGTTTACATTTTAAATGTACTTATATCAAATACCATGCTTGTCACGATAGGCTTCTCATAGCTTTGCTTATGAAGCAAATTGATTACTTTAGTGGCGTATCATGCTTCAACGGGTGATCAAATTGTTTCGACAGGATGAGACGCATTTGCTGTTTGGATTTCCATGATGTACGTTCCCTTGCTAGTATTTCTCACGCCTTCTTCCTTGAACGTATGTCGCGAGACGAATGATACTTTTTACTGGAATGCTATGCATATCCATTGACAACGACTGTCTGTAATTTGTACAGGTCGCAGTAAAGCCGTAGGGTTCCCATCGGGTTCCCATCAAACTTACACCGTGACGAAGAGCAGCTTCCGGAACATGTACTGGAACATGAGCAACAGCTTGTTCATCACACTGTTACGGGGTGCAACATGCAGCCTGGAGACCTCTTGGGTAGCGGTTCCACCAGTAAGAGTACGGATGAAAGCTTTATTTCAATGTTGGAGTTGAGCTGGCAAGGGTCCCGCGACATAGCGTTGGGAGACTGTGACATCACCCGATAATTCCTGCAGGACGGTGACACGGTGGTTATCACGGGGTTTGGACTTTGCGAAGGCAAGACCTCGCCTGCATGTCAGTGAGATGACCACTGCCACAGGAGGGGATTTCATCTGGCTTTTCAGTAGTACCGGGGTTAATGGTGATTAACAAACAGTTTGTCGCCGCGCACTGAGCGAAATTTTGCTTGTCATCATACGCTCTGCAATTCAGCTACATCCAGTTTTAAACAATTCCTTGAGAGGCACTTTCGTGGAAAACTCGGTGTGCACACTGACTGATGGAAACGTCAGCTCACTGTCAAGCTCCATTAAAGGCAGCCTGGGTCCATTAACCTCTTCTATTGTATCACTGTCTCCATGCCTAGTGACATCAACGGTTCTATCGGAGTCATCCACGCCATTAACTTTGTCAACCAGCAGGGAAAGATCCACGCCTTGTCCGTGGAGCTTGGATTCTAATACCTTCTTCCACTCATCCACGACGACGTCAGCATTCAATATAGCTGCACCACTATGGCTGTCGCGTACGGCAGCTCGACTTTTCGGCTCCAAAGAAGCAGTAGGTACAATTCCCCATCGGTCGCGTAGGTAATCGAGTTTTAGTTGCTCGTCGTTAGTGTACATACCACTGACGGGGCCATTCTGTAGTGTTGAATGTATGGTGCGACTCGCTATAGAGCTTGAAGAAAAGGAGCACAGCACTTTCATCAGCATGGACAGCGACGGATAGTTGTCACTCAAGTAGCAGAAGTAATCATCTACGACAGGGAACTCGGCAATAAAGTCGGTCGTGAATACGCGCTGCGACTCGTGCAAATATGCTGTCACCTCTCCTCGCAGTGAGTTTGGTTTGCGCCCGAAAATGGACATAAAATACGACACGCTGAGATCACTCAAGGTGCTAAGCTTAGTGATCGCAGTGCTGTTAATGTCGCGAAGCCGAAAGCGTGGGTTCAGCACATAGGCCAATACGTAGAGAGGTTGCTCCATTTGCTTCCATACCATCTCCAACGCGAGCTGGACTGTGGTGAAGCCTTTGGCGGCGGTAAACAATACACTCAATTGCACCATCGCTTCTGAGAGCGTCAATCCAGTTCGACAGCTGCAAAAGACTTTCATAAAGGCGTGAAGCAAATTACACACACGCTCCAGTAAAGAGTGGTTGAATGCATTCTCCACCAACCTTTTAGCAGTCGCCACTCCTCTTTTCGTACTAGCACTGGAACTTTTATGGTCGAGCAACACCTGCATAAGCGTAGCACATGACTCCCAATCACGAAAGGGGCTTGCATGAGCGTCACTGTCCATTTCCGACAGCCGCTCCAACATACAAGTGCGAACGGACTCCAACTGCCATATCTCGATAAGCGAGGATACGACTGCAAACGTCTCTGGTGTCGCCAGTAGCTTAAGCAATGGAAACTGCAGCATACTCTCTATATCAGGTAGGAAGACAACTTGAGGCCAGTGTTTTGGTGAGCGCAGAATACCCACGGCACGCTGAGTAATCGAGTTGTACGGCAGCACTACCGCTGAGAGAGCCAATTTAGTCGTCGAAACACAAAGTCGAATGTGTTCATCCAACCATCTCGCGACTTCCAGTCCATGATTGTGCGCTAGTGCAGCCTCCACAGCTGCTTCTGATTTTTGTGCTCGGATGAACGAAAGTGGCACGATTGCCTTCCCATTCGTTAAAACTCCGTTGATCGCTAGTACCTGCATGCTTCCAAGTTGCTGGGCGATTGAAAAGTTGCAGTGCAGCATTACGGGCCACGACCCAAGTGACGCATCAGACAAGGTGTCGACGGCATTGTTGGAGAATGCAGACGTGCCTAGCTCGAGTGGAATGCGATTTTGCAACTTTGTAAGTTCACTGAAAAGCGTTGCAGTGTGAATTTTGTCCAGAATGTGCGTCCGTAAGTCAGTTGTGCTCGGCAAAAGAGCCAAGCCAGTGGCTCCAGTTACAGGAACCAGTGCGCAGAACAAATGCTTGACACTATCACTTTCTACCCACTCAAACGGCAAGTGGTGCTCAATAATAATGCGCATCAGCGCGCGGTGCACCGAGGTTTCATCGGGAGAAGGCAACGACGATTCATTATCCACGTCGAGTTTGGTACGCTTGGGTTCTGGCAATACGGTCGTGTCCAGCTTTGGTGCCGCACTTGCTCCATCGCCGAGCTTTGTGCTATATCCGGTTTCGTAAACCTTTGCAATTGCCGAAGGTTCCTTGGGCATGTGCAGACACTTGGCCAAGTGTGTCTGCATATTGCCCTTGCGCCCTATGATAATGGCCGGTTTCATTGATGTCTTCATGCTATCGGGCGCTTTTTCATACGCTTGCTGGCAAAAATTGCAACGCGCATAATAGTACGCGCTGCCTTTCTTGCGCTCAAGACGCGTAAAGTAATGCCACTCATCCAGCGCCAGTCGTGACGAGCCGTTATTAAAAGTAGTAGCGACAATGGACTCAGCAGACGACATGTGCGTTACTGCCAGTGCTCCTGCGGCCACCGTAGTGCCACGTGGGATAATATTGCTACGCTGGTACCATCTACGCTCCAGCGACGGCAGTTCTGCTTTAAAATGTCGACATAATGAGAGATGTTTCCTCATTTTTTCACGTCTGCCGACTAGTTTTTCCGGCACAAGCAGCGGTTTCTGATCCTCAGATGCTTCGTCATATACTTTCTCACAGTATTTGCACGTGGCGTAATAGAAATTTGACCTGCCAATGTATCCTTCGTCCTCTAAACGGTTAAAATGCGCCCATTCTTCCATCATACAGTGCTTCTTGTTACGTCCTTCATCGCTCTTCCTCTTGATCTTGCGCTTGCATTTTTCACCCGCTGACACCCCGTCATCAGTAGATTGAGTCGTACTTTTCTTTTCCAATGCAATTTGTTCAATCTTATACTGATGAGCATACATTGGGCAAGACTTAAGATGTGCACGCATGGCGGAGCGTCGTCCTGTAAGTTTAACGGGCGCATTCAAGAGCTGTTTCTGCTCAAATCCTGTGACGCAGTGGCGACATAATACGTACCAATAGGATGAGTTGGATACACGTCCTTCTTCTGATAGCTTTTGAAAGTGCGTCCATTCATTTAACGAGCAACCACGGCCCATTGTCTTCAACTTATAGTGTAAGTCAAACTGGACAGTCCGTCTGACGCGCTAGATTTTTTCTTAATATTGACGTGACTCTGAAGCCATTTTCTAGATTATAAAATTCAAATAAGCGGTGCGATTCAATGAATCGCTACGGACAGAAAATACCCATACCTCACTATTCACCCATACCCATGGGTATATGGGTGGATGTGGGCTTTATATACACATACCCATGGATATATGGGTGGATTGTGGGTAATAAAAAATTATAGTATGTGGTGATAGAACTCGGTCGGTAGCTTGGCCTATATCGACAAAATGCTGGGTATGGGTAGGTATGGCGTACTCCACGTCACGTGGGTGCAATGGGTACGAAACCCCCCCCTTAGGTGTGGGTACCCATGGGTATGCTCGCAGAACGCGATCAGATTTCTGCAGATTCTGGCGATGCATTTGCTGAAAACAATCAGGTATTAGGAGACTCATAACGTGCTGCATAAGCTGAAAAAAAGCAAGTGCAGCACCGAGCATTGTCATACATTGAAGGGCTCTCTCAGATTAATCTCGCTTAGCAGTAGTTCCCACAAAGCTGCAGACGATAGAGCTGCATGTTCTGATCGAAAACTTGAGACTCAAAGCTTGCAGAGGATAAGCTCGCATTGGACACGGCCGTACAGAACAAGCAACTTGTTGTACAGCAAAAAGTACTACAGCAGGATGATGTGAGTGCAAAACTGCACACATCGACACCTATGCACGAATGTTGATGCAAGTCGAGGTCGCGCGATGGGCTCAATTCTTCCATACCTTCCTCGCTATGAAATATGACAAGTTTACTAATATCGAGGATCTTGGGACCAGCGCCTAAGATTGCGCTGCAGAACGAGCTAAGTGGCTTGGAATCCATTGCTGAGAAATTCAAAGAACACATTCACCATTAAGAGCTCAAGATTGATGGTGAGAACGCAAGTGTAGCGCATTGGAAATCTGCAGCAGGAGCTACGTCAGTACAAAATTTGCACGTGCTGCTGGGCAGCGTTATTTTTGCGAGAAGGCCTGAACTATGGGGGATGGTTTGGCGTTGGGTGTGGTGCTACGGCATTGAAGAGGTTTGCTGGTGTCCACAGATCGACCTGCTAGTAGTCCTGTTGCAAGAGGCCGCATCTTCGCATTGGATGGTATAGCGACTCGCAGCGACTCTCTTTTACACAGTTCATCGATGCGCTTGGCTGTATAAGTTGTGCACGTGTTTGGCGAAATAAGTGGACTGACATGCACGAAGCCGAACGGCTGAAGTAGCTTTGTAGTACGAGCAAAGCGTATCGTCGACGTTTGAAAAGCGGTGGTGAATCTACTTGTGCCATGATCTTTTTAAACAAGTTATAGTAGGTGTGTGACGTCATGCTATGCTCAGCACACACACCACACTCTTGTTCGTGTCCTTTTAACGTCAGTCACATTTGAAAATTACAGACCTCTGCGTCTACTCCTAACGTATCGTCGACCTCTTCAAATGTATGCGGCTAATTATTTTAAAACTGAAAAACATGACTCTACTTGTCCTTGGTGATCGTGTAGCTCACCACCGCGGTCTTGACTTTTCATTCTTTCAAGAAGCGTATCCTTTCTAAAGTAAAAAGTTGATACCTTATCGACACTTTATAGATGATCAATTTCATTGCCAAGAAGTATCCGTTCTACAAAAAAAGAATTCCTATATGTTTCTGGGATAATTGTATCCGTCGGTACTCTATAGAGTATTGTCCCACATGTATCACTGTACCATGTACGTCCTAAAGCTGTCGCCATCGAGAAAATGCCTTCAAACGAAGGGTATTCCAGTGTCTTATAGTGACACCGACCACCAAGTTGTTGCATGAAGAAGGTACACCATCGGCCAAGAGTGCAACTCGTAAATAATTTCTTCGCACTTTGCTGGCAATTGCGCTCTTCTGACCAAAGTACTACGGTCCGTAGCCAGTCACTACGACTGATTTCTTTTGTAGACAAACATCATGGCGCTACTGCAAGCAGTACATCGCGCATAGAATGTTTCGTTAAGTGCGACGCTATCCAAGTGATTGGCAAAGCGTATCTTCCTCCCTTCACAAGTATTTTTGCTCCGTGGACATCAACGAGCAAAGAGAGCGAGTGTAAAAAGAGAGAGGGAGATTGTAAACTTAACAGCCAGCAAACATGGGAAGTAGCGAGTCGAGTCAAGTGATTAAGGACGACGCACGTCGACAGCGTTCGACGGTAAGTCGCAATGCATCGGCCCGGTCGCAACAACAGGACAAGAAAAAGCCGACAAAAGCCTCAAAGAAGGAGGCGACGACGGCTAACAACGGTTCCTCGACCGACGTTTCGATCGTGCAGGACGGCTCGTCGACCAATGTTTCGACGGCCAAGGACGGTACGACGACGGCCATCACCACGAGCGCCGACGGACACACCGTTACGACCGTGGTCACGAGACCTGATGGCTCCAGTGAGACGACCATTGAAATCATCACCACCACGGAGACAGAGGTGGACGTGACGCAACAGATCGAAAGCCCCACGGCGGCGGCTGTGGCGCACGCTGTGGCCGACTTTGAGAGCGTGAGCGAGGAGAGCACGAGCGAGGAGAGCACGAGCATCCAGAACCTTGCAGAGCTTGCTTGGCACGCCTGGAGCGAAAGCGCCACGGCTGCCGCCATGGGCGTGAAGGAGACGACAGCCGAGATACTGCGTATCTTGAGCGACAACTCGGGTGTGCTCTTCACCAGTACCGTCGTGACGCCTCAGACCGTGCGAGACGATATCATCGACGGTCAGGCTGGTAAAGAGTGGAAAAAGGAGGACTTTCAAAAGTTGGTGCCTGGCTTCTTAACCTATGTGACGAGCCACGGTCGCCGCTTTGAGACAGTGACTGCTGTGGAGCTCTTCATCTTTGCGCGTGCTTTTTGTCGTTTCCGTGTGCTGAAATATAAAGTGGATCAAGAGAAAGAAAAACAAAAAAGTATGGCGGAGCGTGTGCTTGGTGTTGCTGAGCGCCGCTCCAAGGAGCGCAAACTGGCGTGGGAATTGGCTCGCGCATTCACGCTCTACTACCCCGAGTTCCCCATCCGCCGCCGCGGTCTACGCTTCAGTAAGACCAATGCAGTGCTCATGGACCAAGCTCCTGTAGAGAACGAGTCGTCATTTGAGTTTATTCTGATGAATCGTCGGTTGTCCAAGTGGCTTCGCAAGGTCATCGTGATTTCGCTATTGCGTGATGCATCCGAGGACTGCACTCGTGCGGAAAATGTAATTGTGCTTCACGATGGAGAGGTTGTGCGTAGCGGTTCGTGGGAACAGATGATCAAGTACATGCAAGAACTAGGTGTTCAATGTCCCTCACAAAAAGATGTGGCCCTGTGTATGGGTGATAAGAACACGACAGCAGCGCTATTTGACCATCACGAGGCATCGATAAAGCAAACAGCAATCGTTAGACTTGCCGACGAGGTAATTATAATGTCCGGATCGCCCATTGTCGATGGAGAAGAAGACAGCGAGAGTTATCTCATGCAAACCGGCAGCTATAACAACGTGCAAGCTTTACCAACGACGAAGCAAGCTGAGACACTTTTGGATAAACGTGTGCGTGAATGTTACATGTACGAGGCGCGCTCGGAAAAAGAGTCCTACGACTGCGATGACATTGAAGACGACAGAGGCAAATTTGATGCTGGCGATTGGCTTATGTCCTGGTTCAAGCAACAAACCCATGGTCCACCACTCACCACAAAGGCCGCTGCTCGAAAACTCATCGCCAACTGGACGACCAAAATAGAGCAAAAGCCGAAAAACTCTGATGGAGCAGTAAAATCAGAAGTGTTCCGCTGGGAGAAAGCTGACGGCAGCATCGTGACCAAGACTGTGCGCACGACGACGCGTACCGAGACGTCCCCCGCCGGTGAGCTCGTGACGACGATCGAGGTGGAGACGGCGACAGAGACGGAGACGAAGGGAGGTGCTACGAGCACGACAGTGGAGACGACGACAGAGACGGCCACCGAGATGGATGTGATGACGTCGGACGTCGCTTCGACCGCGGGCATGACCGCGATCAGCTCAACGGAGGAAGCTGGCGCAACGCCGGGCGAGACAGTGAAGACGGAGGTGTTCCGCTCCGAGGAAGCTGACGGCAGCATCGTGACCAAGACTGTGCGCACGACGACGCGTACCGAGACGTCCCCCGCCGGTGAGCTCGTGACGACGATCGAGGTGGAGACGGCGACAGAGACGGAGACGAAGGGAGGTGCTACGAGCACGACAGTGGAGACGACGACAGAGACGGCCACCGAGATGGATGTGATGACGTCGGACGTCGCTTCGACCGCGGGCATGACCGCGATCAGCTCAACGGAGGAAGCTGGCGCAACGCCGGGCGAGACAGTGAAGACGGAGGTGTTCCGCTCCGAGGAAGCTGACGGCAGCATCGTGACCAAGACTGTGCGCACGACGACGCGTACCGAGACGTCCCCCGCCGGTGAGCTCGTGACGACGATCGAGGTGGAGACGGCGACAGAGACGGAGACGAAGGGAGGTGCTACGAGCACGACAGTGGAGACGACGACAGAGACGGCCACCGAGATGGATGTGATGACGTCGGACGTCGCTTCGACCGCGGGCATGACCGCGATCAGCTCAACGGAGGAAGCTGGCGCAACGCCGGGCGAGACAGTGAAGACGGAGGTGTTCCGCTCCGAGGAAGCTGACGGCAGCATCGTGACCAAGACTGTGCGCACGACGACGCGTACCGAGACGTCCCCCGCCGGTGAGCTCGTGACGACGATCGAGGTGGAGACGGCGACAGAGACGGAGACGAAGGGAGGTGCTACGAGCACGACAGTGGAGACGACGACAGAGACGGCCACCGAGATGGATGTGATGACGTCGGACGTCGCTTCGACCGCGGGCATGACCGCGATCAGCTCAACGGAGGAAGCTGGCGCAACGCCGGGCGAGACAGTGAAGACGGAGGTGTTCCGCTCCGAGGAAGCTGACGGCAGCATCGTGACCAAGACTGTGCGCACGACGACGCGTACCGAGACGTCCCCCGCCGGTGAGCTCGTGACGACGATCGAGGTGGAGACGGCGACAGAGACGGAGACGAAGGGAGGTGCTACGAGCACGACAGTGGAGACGACGACAGAGACGGCCACCGAGATGGATGTGATGACGTCGGACGTCGCTTCGACCGCGGGCATGACCGCGATCAGCTCAACGGAGGAAGCTGGCGCAACGCCGGGCGAGACAGTGAAGACGGGGGTGTTCCGCTCCGAGGGGGGGGGGGGGAGCATCGGGACCAAGGCGGCGCCCCCGACCACCCCCCACGCGACCGGGGGAAGAGAGGAAGGGAAGAGACGACCGAGGAGACCGTGGACGAGACCGATGTGAAGGAGGGCAAGAAGCCCAAGTCGAAGAAAAACCGCAAGCCGAAGCGCAAGCCGACTGCGGGCACGACCGAGGACGAGACCACGGAGGTGACGGAAGTGACTACTGAGACGGTTGTAGTGACCGAGGAAGTGCCAGCTACTACGGAGGAGACGACGGAGGTGACGGAAGTGACCACCGAGACGTTCGATATCACGGAAGTGAAACCCGAAGAGACGACGGAAGTGATCGAAGTGACGGAGGTGACCACCACCGAGACGACCGAGGAAACCGTGGACGAGACCGATGTGAAGGAGGGCAAGAAGCCCAAGTCGAAGAAAAACCGCAAGCCGAAGCGCAAGCCGACTGCGGGCACGACCGAGGACGAGACCACGGAGGTGACGGAAGTGACTACTGAGACGGTTGTAGTGACCGAGGAAGTGCCAGCTACTACGGAGGAGACGACGGAGGTGACGGAAGTGACGGAAGTGACCACCGAGACGTTCGATATCACGGAAGTGAAACCCGAAAAGACGACGGAAGTGATCGAAGTGACGGAGGTGACCACCACCGAGACGACCGAGGAAACCGTGGACGAGACCGATGTGAAGGAGGGCAAGAAGCCCAAGTCGAAGAAAAACCGCAAGCCGAAGCGCAAGCCGACTGCGGGCACGATCGAGGACGAGACCACGGAGGTGACGGAAGTGACTACTGAGACGGTTGTAGTGACCGAGGAAGTGCCAGCTACTACGGAGGAGACGACGGAGGTGACGGAAGTGACCACCGAGACGTTCGATATCACGGAAGTGAAACCCGAAGAGACGACGGAAGTGATCGAAGTGACGGAGGTGACCACCACCGAGACGACCGAGGAAACCGTGGACGAGACCGATGTGAAGGAGGGCAAGAAGCCCAAGTCGAAGAAAAACCGCAAGCCGAAGCGCAAGCCGACTGCGGGCACGATCGAGGACGAGACCACGGAGGTGACGGAAGTGACTACTGAGACGGTTGTAGTGACCGAGGAAGTGCCAGCTACTACGGAGGAGACGACGGAGGTGACGGAAGTGACCACCGAGACGTTCGATATCACGGAAGTGAAACCCGAAGAGACGACGGAAGTGATCGAAGTGACGGAGGTGACCACCACCGAGACGACCGAGGAGACCGTGGACGAGACCGATGTGAAGGAGGGCAAGAAGCCCAAGTCGAAGAAAAACCGCAAGCCGAAGCGCAAGCCGACTGCGGGCACGATCGAGGACGAGACCACGGAGGTGACGGAAGTGACTACTGAGACGGTTGTAGTGACCGAGGAAGTGCCAGCTACTACGGAGGAGACGACGGAGGTGACGGAAGTGACCACCGAGACGTTCGATATCACGGAAGTGAAACCCGAAGAGACGACGGAAGTGATCGAAGTGACGGAGGTGACCACCACCGAGACGACCGAGGAGACCGTGGACGAGACCGATGTGAAGGAGGGCAAGAAGCCCAAGTCGAAGAAAAACCGCAAGCCGAAGCGCAAGCCGACTGCGGGCACGACCGAGGACGAGACCACGGAGGTGACGGAAGTGACTACTGAGACGGTTGTAGTGACCGAGGAAGTGCCAGCCACTACGGAGGAGACGACGGAGGTGACGGAAGTGACCACCGAGACGTTCGATATCACGGAAGTGAAACCCGAAGAGACGACGGAAGTGATCGAAGTGACGGAAGTGACCACCACCGAGACGACCGAGGAGACCGTGGACGAGACCGATGTGAAGGAGGGCAAGAAGCCCAAGTCGAAGAAAAACCGCAAGCCGAAGCGCAAGCCGACTGCGGGCACGATCGAGGACGAGACCACGGAGGTGACGGAAGTGACTACTGAGACGGTTGTAGTGACCGAGGAAGTGCCAGCTACTACGGAGGAGACGACGGAGGTGACGGAAGTGACCACCGAGACGTTCGATATCACGGAAGTGAAACCCGAAGAGACGACGGAAGTGATCGAAGTGACGGAAGTGACCACCACCGAGACGACCGAGGAGACCGTGGACGAGACCGATGTGAAGGAGGGCAAGAAGCCCAAGTCGAAGAAAAACCGCAAGCCGAAGCGCAAGCCGACTGCGGGCACGATCGAGGACGAGACCACGGAGGTGACGGAAGTGACTACTGAGACGGTTGTAGTGACCGAGGAAGTGCCAGCCACTACGGAGGAGACGACGGAGGTGACGGAAGTGACCACCGAGACGTTCGATATCACGGAAGTGAAACCCGAAGAGACGACGGAAGTGATCGAAGTGACGGAAGTGACCACCACCGAGACGACCGAGGAAACCGTGGACGAGACCGATGTGAAGGAGGGCAAGAAGCCCAAGTCGAAGAAAAACCGCAAGCCGAAGCGCAAGCCGACTGCGGGCACGATCGAGGACGAGACCACGGAGGTGACGGAAGTGACTACTGAGACGGTTGTAGTGACCGAGGAAGTGCCAGCCACTACGGAGGAGACGACCGAGGTGACGGAAGTGACCACCGAGACGTTCGATATCACGGAAGTGAAACCCGAAGAGACGACGGAAGTGATCGAAGTGACGGAAGTGACCACCACCGAGACGACCGAGGAGACCGTGGACGAGACCGATGTGAAGGAGGGCAAGAAGCCCAAGTCGAAGAAAAACCGCAAGCCGAAGCGCAAGCCGACTGCGGGCACGATCGAGGACGAGACCACGGAGGTGACGGAAGTGACTACTGAGACGGTTGTAGTGACCGAGGAAGTGCCAGCTACTACGGAGGAGACGACGGAGGTGACGGAAGTGACCACCGAGACGTTCGATATCACGGAAGTGAAACCCGAAGAGACGACGGAAGTGATCGAAGTGACGGAAGTGACCACCACCGAGACGACCGAGGAGACCGTGGACGAGACCGATGTGAAGGAGGGCAAGAAGCCCAAGTCGAAGAAAAACCGCAAGCCGAAGCGCAAGCCGACTGCGGGCACGATCGAGGACGAGACCACGGAGGTGACGGAAGTGACTACTGAGACGGTTGTAGTGACCGAGGAAGTGCCAGCTACTACGGAGGAGACGACGGAGGTGACGGAAGTGACCACCGAGACGTTCGATATCACGGAAGTGAAACCCGAAGAGACGACGGAAGTGATCGAAGTGACGGAGGTGACCACCACCGAGACGACCGAGGAAACCGTGGACGAGACCGATGTGAAGGAGGGCAAGAAGCCCAAGTCGAAGAAAAACCGCAAGCCGAAGCGCAAGCCGACTGCGGGCACGATCGAGGACGAGACCACGGAGGTGACGGAAGTGACTACTGAGACGGTTGTAGTGACCGAGGAAGTGCCAGCCACTACGGAGGAGACGACGGAGGTGACGGAAGTGACCACCGAGACGTTCGATATCACGGAAGTGAAACCCGAAGAGACGACGGAAGTGATCGAAGTGACGGAAGTGACCACCACCGAGACGACCGAGGAAACCGTGGACGAGACCGATGTGAAGGAGGGCAAGAAGCCCAAGTCGAAGAAAAACCGCAAGCCGAAGCGCAAGCCGACTGCGGGCACGATCGAGGACGAGACCACGGAGGTGACGGAAGTGACTACTGAGACGGTTGTAGTGACCGAGGAAGTGCCAGCTACTACGGAGGAGACGACGGAGGTGACGGAAGTGACCACCGAGACGTTCGATATCACGGAAGTGAAACCCGAAGAGACGACGGAAGTGATCGAAGTGACGGAGGTGACCACCACCGAGACGACCGAGGAAACCGTGGACGAGACCGATGTGAAGGAGGGCAAGAAGCCCAAGTCGAAGAAAAACCGCAAGCCGAAGCGCAAGCCGACTGCGGGCACGATCGAGGACGAGACCACGGAGGTGACGGAAGTGACTACTGAGACGGTTGTAGTGACCGAGGAAGTGCCAGCCACTACGGAGGAGACGACGGAGGTGACGGAAGTGACCACCGAGACGTTCGATATCACGGAAGTGAAACCCGAAGAGACGACGGAAGTGATCGAAGTGACGGAAGTGACCACCACCGAGACGACCGAGGAGACCGTGGACGAGACCGATGTGAAGGAGGGCAAGAAGCCCAAGTCGAAGAAAAACCGCAAGCCGAAGCGCAAGCCGACTGCGGGCACGATCGAGGACGAGACCACGGAGGTGACGGAAGTGACTACTGAGACGGTTGTAGTGACCGAGGAAGTGCCAGCCACTACGGAGGAGACGACGGAGGTGACGGAAGTGACCACCGAGACGTTCGATATCACGGAAGTGAAACCCGAAGAGACGACGGAAGTGATCGAAGTGACGGAGGTGACCACCACCGAGACGACCGAGGAAACCGTGGACGAGACCGATGTGAAGGAGGGCAAGAAGCCCAAGTCGAAGAAAAACCGCAAGCCGAAGCGCAAGCCGACTGCGGGCACGATCGAGGACGAGACCACGGAGGTGACGGAAGTGACTACTGAGACGGTTGTAGTGACCGAGGAAGTGCCAGCTACTACGGAGGAGACGACGGAGGTGACGGAAGTGACCACCGAGACGTTCGATATCACGGAAGTGAAACCCGAAGAGACGACGGAAGTGATCGAAGTGACGGAGGTGACCACCACCGAGACGACCGAGGAAACCGTGGACGAGACCGATGTGAAGGAGGGCAAGAAGCCCAAGTCGAAGAAAAACCGCAAGCCGAAGCGCAAGCCGACTGCGGGCACGATCGAGGACGAGACCACGGAGGTGACGGAAGTGACTACTGAGACGGTTGTAGTGACCGAGGAAGTGCCAGCCACTACGGAGGAGACGACGGAGGTGACGGAAGTGACCACCGAGACGTTCGATATCACGGAAGTGAAACCCGAAGAGACGACGGAAGTGATCGAAGTGACGGAAGTGACCACCACCGAGACGACCGAGGAGACCGTGGACGAGACCGATGTGAAGGAGGGCAAGAAGCCCAAGTCGAAGAAAAACCGCAAGCCGAAGCGCAAGCCGACTGCGGGCACGATCGAGGACGAGACCACGGAGGTGACGGAAGTGACTACTGAGACGGTTGTAGTGACCGAGGAAGTGCCAGCTACTACGGAGGAGACGACGGAGGTGACGGAAGTGACCACCGAGACGTTCGATATCACGGAAGTGAAACCCGAAGAGACGACGGAAGTGATCGAAGTGACGGAGGTGACCACCACCGAGACGACCGAGGAGACCGTGGACGAGACCGATGTGAAGGAGGGCAAGAAGCCCAAGTCGAAGAAAAACCGCAAGCCGAAGCGCAAGCCGACTGCGGGCACGACCGAGGACGAGACCACGGAGGTGACGGAAGTGACTACTGAGACGGTTGTAGTGACCGAGGAAGTGCCAGCCACTACGGAGGAGACGACGGAGGTGACGGAAGTGACCACCGAGACGTTCGATATCACGGAAGTGAAACCCGAAGAGACGACGGAAGTGATCGAAGTGACGGAAGTGACCACCACCGAGACGACCGAGGAGACCGTGGACGAGACCGATGTGAAGGAGGGCAAGAAGCCCAAGTCGAAGAAAAACCGCAAGCCGAAGCGCAAGCCGACTGCGGGCACGATCGAGGACGAGACCACGGAGGTGACGGAAGTGACTACTGAGACGGTTGTAGTGACCGAGGAAGTGCCAGCTACTACGGAGGAGACGACGGAGGTGACGGAAGTGACCACCGAGACGTTCGATATCACGGAAGTGAAACCCGAAGAGACGACGGAAGTGATCGAAGTGACGGAAGTGACCACCACCGAGACGACCGAGGAAACCGTGGACGAGACCGATGTGAAGGAGGGCAAGAAGCCCAAGTCGAAGAAAAACCGCAAGCCGAAGCGCAAGCCGACTGCGGGCACGATCGAGGACGAGACCACGGAGGTGACGGAAGTGACTACTGAGACGGTTGTAGTGACCGAGGAAGTGCCAGCCACTACGGAGGAGACGACGGAGGTGACGGAAGTGACCACCGAGACGTTCGATATCACGGAAGTGAAACCCGAAGAGACGACGGAAGTGATCGAAGTGACGGAAGTGACCACCACCGAGACGACCGAGGAAACCGTGGACGAGACCGATGTGAAGGAGGGCAAGAAGCCCAAGTCGAAGAAAAACCGCAAGCCGAAGCGCAAGCCGACTGCGGGCACGATCGAGGACGAGACCACGGAGGTGACGGAAGTGACTACTGAGACGGTTGTAGTGACCGAGGAAGTGCCAGCCACTACGGAGGAGACGACGGAGGTGACGGAAGTGACCACCGAGACGTTCGATATCACGGAAGTGAAACCCGAAGAGACGACGGAAGTGATCGAAGTGACGGAGGTGACCACCACCGAGACGACCGAGGAGACCGTGGACGAGACCGATGTGAAGGAGGGCAAGAAGCCCAAGTCGAAGAAAAACCGCAAGCCGAAGCGCAAGCCGACTGCGGGCACGATCGAGGACGAGACCACGGAGGTGACGGAAGTGACTACTGAGACGGTTGTAGTGACCGAGGAAGTGCCAGCCACTACGGAGGAGACGACGGAGGTGACGGAAGTGACCACCGAGACGTTCGATATCACGGAAGTGAAACCCGAAGAGACGACGGAAGTGATCGAAGTGACGGAAGTGACCACCACCGAGACGACCGAGGAAACCGTGGACGAGACCGATGTGAAGGAGGGCAAGAAGCCCAAGTCGAAGAAAAACCGCAAGCCGAAGCGCAAGCCGACTGCGGGCACGATCGAGGACGAGACCACGGAGGTGACGGAAGTGACTACTGAGACGGTTGTAGTGACCGAGGAAGTGCCAGCCACTACGGAGGAGACGACGGAGGTGACGGAAGTGACCACCGAGACGTTCGATATCACGGAAGTGAAACCCGAAGAGACGACGGAAGTGATCGAAGTGACGGAGGTGACCACCACCGAGACGACCGAGGAAACCGTGGACGAGACCGATGTGAAGGAGGGCAAGAAGCCCAAGTCGAAGAAAAACCGCAAGCCGAAGCGCAAGCCGACTGCGGGCACGATCGAGGACGAGACCACGGAGGTGACGGAAGTGACTACTGAGACGGTTGTAGTGACCGAGGAAGTGCCAGCTACTACGGAGGAGACGACGGAGGTGACGGAAGTGACCACCGAGACGTTCGATATCACGGAAGTGAAACCCGAAGAGACGACGGAAGTGATCGAAGTGACGGAAGTGACCACCACCGAGACGACCGAGGAGACCGTGGACGAGACCGATGTGAAGGAGGGCAAGAAGCCCAAGTCGAAGAAAAACCGCAAGCCGAAGCGCAAGCCGACTGCGGGCACGATCGAGGACGAGACCACGGAGGTGACGGAAGTGACTACTGAGACGGTTGTAGTGACCGAGGAAGTGCCAGCTACTACGGAGGAGACGACGGAGGTGACGGAAGTGACCACCGAGACGTTCGATATCACGGAAGTGAAACCCGAAGAGACGACGGAAGTGATCGAAGTGACGGAAGTGACCACCACCGAGACGACCGAGGAGACCGTGGACGAGACCGATGTGAAGGAGGGCAAGAAGCCCAAGTCGAAGAAAAACCGCAAGCCGAAGCGCAAGCCGACTGCGGGCACGACCGAGGACGAGACCACGGAGGTGACGGAAGTGACTACTGAGACGGTTGTAGTGACCGAGGAAGTGCCAGCCACTACGGAGGAGACGACGGAGGTGACGGAAGTGACCACCGAGACGTTCGATATCACGGAAGTGAAACCCGAAGAGACGACGGAAGTGATCGAAGTGACGGAGGTGACCACCACCGAGACGACCGAGGAGACCGTGGACGAGACCGATGTGAAGGAGGGCAAGAAGCCCAAGTCGAAGAAAAACCGCAAGCCGAAGCGCAAGCCGACTGCGGGCACGACCGAGGACGAGACCACGGAGGTGACGGAAGTGACTACTGAGACGGTTGTAGTGACCGAGGAAGTGCCAGCCACTACGGAGGAGACGACGGAGGTGACGGAAGTGACCACCGAGACGTTCGATATCACGGAAGTGAAACCCGAAGAGACGACGGAAGTGATCGAAGTGACGGAAGTGACCACCACCGAGACGACCGAGGAAACCGTGGACGAGACCGATGTGAAGGAGGGCAAGAAGCCCAAGTCGAAGAAAAACCGCAAGCCGAAGCGCAAGCCGACTGCGGGCACGATCGAGGACGAGACCACGGAGGTGACGGAAGTGACTACTGAGACGGTTGTAGTGACCGAGGAAGTGCCAGCCACTACGGAGGAGACGACGGAGGTGACGGAAGTGACCACCGAGACGTTCGATATCACGGAAGTGAAACCCGAAGAGACGACGGAAGTGATCGAAGTGACGGAAGTGACCACCACCGAGACGACCGAGGAGACCGTGGACGAGACCGATGTGAAGGAGGGCAAGAAGCCCAAGTCGAAGAAAAACCGCAAGCCGAAGCGCAAGCCGACTGCGGGCACGACCGAGGACGAGACCACGGAGGTGACGGAAGTGACTACTGAGACGGTTGTAGTGACCGAGGAAGTGCCAGCCACTACGGAGGAGACGACGGAGGTGACGGAAGTGACCACCGAGACGTTCGATATCACGGAAGTGAAACCCGAAGAGACGACGGAAGTGATCGAAGTGACGGAAGTGACCACCACCGAGACGACCGAGGAAACCGTGGACGAGACCGATGTGAAGGAGGGCAAGAAGCCCAAGTCGAAGAAAAACCGCAAGCCGAAGCGCAAGCCGACTGCGGGCACGATCGAGGACGAGACCACGGAGGTGACGGAAGTGACTACTGAGACGGTTGTAGTGACCGAGGAAGTGCCAGCCACTACGGAGGAGACGACGGAGGTGACGGAAGTGACCACCGAGACGTTCGATATCACGGAAGTGAAACCCGAAGAGACGACGGAAGTGATCGAAGTGACGGAAGTGACCACCACCGAGACGACCGAGGAAACCGTGGACGAGACCGATGTGAAGGAGGGCAAGAAGCCCAAGTCGAAGAAAAACCGCAAGCCGAAGCGCAAGCCGACTGCGGGCACGATCGAGGACGAGACCACGGAGGTGACGGAAGTGACTACTGAGACGGTTGTAGTGACCGAGGAAGTGCCAGCCACTACGGAGGAGACGACGGAGGTGACGGAAGTGACCACCGAGACGTTCGATATCACGGAAGTGAAACCCGAAGAGACGACGGAAGTGATCGAAGTGACGGAGGTGACCACCACCGAGACGACCGAGGAAACCGTGGACGAGACCGATGTGAAGGAGGGCAAGAAGCCCAAGTCGAAGAAAAACCGCAAGCCGAAGCGCAAGCCGACTGCGGGCACGATCGAGGACGAGACCACGGAGGTGACGGAAGTGACTACTGAGACGGTTGTAGTGACCGAGGAAGTGCCAGCCACTACGGAGGAGACGACGGAGGTGACGGAAGTGACCACCGAGACGTTCGATATCACGGAAGTGAAACCCGAAGAGACGACGGAAGTGATCGAAGTGACGGAAGTGACCACCACCGAGACGACCGAGGAGACCGTGGACGAGACCGATGTGAAGGAGGGCAAGAAGCCCAAGTCGAAGAAAAACCGCAAGCCGAAGCGCAAGCCGACTGCGGGCACGATCGAGGACGAGACCACGGAGGTGACGGAAGTGACTACTGAGACGGTTGTAGTGACCGAGGAAGTGCCAGCCACTACGGAGGAGACGACCGAGGTGACGGAAGTGACCACCGAGACGTTCGATATCACGGAAGTGAAACCCGAAGAGACGACGGAAGTGATCGAAGTGACGGAGGTGACCACCACCGAGACGACCGAGGAAACCGTGGACGAGACCGATGTGAAGGAGGGCAAGAAGCCCAAGTCGAAGAAAAACCGCAAGCCGAAGCGCAAGCCGACTGCGGGCACGACCGAGGACGAGACCACGGAGGTGACGGAAGTGACTACTGAGACGGTTGTAGTGACCGAGGAAGTGCCAGCCACTACGGAGGAGACGACGGAGGTGACGGAAGTGACCACCGAGACGTTCGATATCACGGAAGTGAAACCCGAAGAGACGACGGAAGTGATCGAAGTGACGGAAGTGACCACCACCGAGACGACCGAGGAAACCGTGGACGAGACCGATGTGAAGGAGGGCAAGAAGCCCAAGTCGAAGAAAAACCGCAAGCCGAAGCGCAAGCCGACTGCGGGCACGACCGAGGACGAGACCACGGAGGTGACGGAAGTGACTACTGAGACGGTTGTAGTGACCGAGGAAGTGCCAGCCACTACGGAGGAGACGACGGAGGTGACGGAAGTGACCACCGAGACGTTCGATATCACGGAAGTGAAACCCGAAGAGACGACGGAAGTGATCGAAGTGACGGAAGTGACCACCACCGAGACGACCGAGGAGACCGTGGACGAGACCGATGTGAAGGAGGGCAAGAAGCCCAAGTCGAAGAAAAACCGCAAGCCGAAGCGCAAGCCGACTGCGGGCACGACCGAGGACGAGACCACGGAGGTGACGGAAGTGACTACTGAGACGGTTGTAGTGACCGAGGAAGTGCCAGCCACTACGGAGGAGACGACCGAGGTGACGGAAGTGACCACCGAGACGGGCGATATCACGGAAGTGAAACCCGAAGAGACGACGGAAGTGATCGAAGTGACGGAAGTGACCACCACTGAGACGTTCGATATCACGGAAGTGAAACCCGAAGAGACGACGGAAGTGATCGAAGTGACGGAAGTGACCACCACCGAGACGACCGAGGAGACCGTGGACGAGACCGATGTGAAGGAGGGCAAGAAGCCCAAGTCGAAGAAAAACCGCAAGCCGAAGCGCAAGCCGACTGCGGGCACGATCGAGGACGAGACCACGGAGGTGACGGAAGTGACTACTGAGACGGTTGTAGTGACCGAGGAAGTGCCAGCCACTACGGAGGAGACGACCGAGGTGACGGAAGTGACCACCGAGACGTTCGATATCACGGAAGTGAAACCCGAAGAGACGACGGAAGTGATCGAAGTGACGGAGGTGACCACCACCGAGACGACCGAGGAAACCGTGGACGAGACCGATGTGAAGGAGGGCAAGAAGCCCAAGTCGAAGAAAAACCGCAAGCCGAAGCGCAAGCCGACTGCGGGCACGACCGAGGACGAGACCACGGAGGTGACGGAAGTGACTACTGAGACGGTTGTAGTGACCGAGGAAGTGCCAGCCACTACGGAGGAGACGACGGAGGTGACGGAAGTGACCACCGAGACGTTCGATATCACGGAAGTGAAACCCGAAGAGACGACGGAAGTGATCGAAGTGACGGAAGTGACCACCACCGAGACGACCGAGGAGACCGTGGACGAGACCGATGTGAAGGAGGGCAAGAAGCCCAAGTCGAAGAAAAACCGCAAGCCGAAGCGCAAGCCGACTGCGGGCACGACCGAGGACGAGACCACGGAGGTGACGGAAGTGACTACTGAGACGGTTGTAGTGACCGAGGAAGTGCCAGCCACTACGGAGGAGACGACGGAGGTGACGGAAGTGACCACCGAGACGTTCGATATCACGGAAGTGAAACCCGAAGAGACGACGGAAGTGATCGAAGTGACGGAAGTGACCACCACCGAGACGACCGAGGAGACCGTGGACGAGACCGATGTGAAGGAGGGCAAGAAGCCCAAGTCGAAGAAAAACCGCAAGCCGAAGCGCAAGCCGACTGCGGGCACGACCGAGGACGAGACCACGGAGGTGACGGAAGTGACTACTGAGACGGTTGTAGTGACCGAGGAAGTGCCAGCCACTACGGAGGAGACGACGGAGGTGACGGAAGTGACCACCGAGACGTTCGATATCACGGAAGTGAAACCCGAAGAGACGACGGAAGTGATCGAAGTGACGGAAGTGACCACCACCGAGACGACCGAGGAGACCGTGGACGAGACCGATGTGAAGGAGGGCAAGAAGCCCAAGTCGAAGAAAAACCGCAAGCCGAAGCGCAAGCCGACTGCGGGCACGACCGAGGACGAGACCACGGAGGTGACGGAAGTGACTACTGAGACGGTTGTAGTGACCGAGGAAGTGCCAGCCACTACGGAGGAGACGACGGAGGTGACGGAAGTGACCACCGAGACGTTCGATATCACGGAAGTGAAACCCGAAGAGACGACGGAAGTGATCGAAGTGACGGAAGTGACCACCACCGAGACGACCGAGGAGACCGTGGACGAGACCGATGTGAAGGAGGGCAAGAAGCCCAAGTCGAAGAAAAACCGCAAGCCGAAGCGCAAGCCGACTGCGGGCACGACCGAGGACGAGACCACGGAGGTGACGGAAGTGACTACTGAGACGGTTGTAGTGACCGAGGAAGTGCCAGCCACTACGGAGGAGACGACCGAGGTGACGGAAGTGACCACCGAGACGTTCGATATCACGGAAGTGAAACCCGAAGAGACGACGGAAGTGATCGAAGTGACGGAAGTGACCACCACTGAGACGTTCGATATCACGGAAGTGAAACCCGAAGAGACGACGGAAGTGATCGAAGTGACGGAAGTGACCACCACCGAGACGACCGAGGAGACCGTGGACGAGACCGATGTGAAGGAGGGCAAGAAGCCCAAGTCGAAGAAAAACCGCAAGCCGAAGCGCAAGCCGACTGCGGGCACGATCGAGGACGAGACCACGGAGGTGACGGAAGTGACTACTGAGACGGTTGTAGTGACCGAGGAAGTGCCAGCCACTACGGAGGAGACGACCGAGGTGACGGAAGTGACCACCGAGACGTTCGATATCACGGAAGTGAAACCCGAAGAGACGACGGAAGTGATCGAAGTGACGGAGGTGACCACCACCGAGACGACCGAGGAAACCGTGGACGAGACCGATGTGAAGGAGGGCAAGAAGCCCAAGTCGAAGAAAAACCGCAAGCCGAAGCGCAAGCCGACTGCGGGCACGACCGAGGACGAGACCACGGAGGTGACGGAAGTGACTACTGAGACGGTTGTAGTGACCGAGGAAGTGCCAGCCACTACGGAGGAGACGACGGAGGTGACGGAAGTGACCACCGAGACGTTCGATATCACGGAAGTGAAACCCGAAGAGACGACGGAAGTGATCGAAGTGACGGAAGTGACCACCACCGAGACGACCGAGGAGACCGTGGACGAGACCGATGTGAAGGAGGGCAAGAAGCCCAAGTCGAAGAAAAACCGCAAGCCGAAGCGCAAGCCGACTGCGGGCACGACCGAGGACGAGACCACGGAGGTGACGGAAGTGACTACTGAGACGGTTGTAGTGACCGAGGAAGTGCCAGCCACTACGGAGGAGACGACCGAGGTGACGGAAGTGACCACCGAGACGGGCGATATCACGGAAGTGAAACCCGAAGAGACGACGGAAGTGATCGAAGTGACGGAAGTGACCACCACTGAGACGTTCGATATCACGGAAGTGAAACCCGAAGAGACGACGGAAGTGATCGAAGTGACGGAGGTGACCACCACCGAGACGACCGAGGAAACCGTGGACGAGACCGATGTGAAGGAGGGCAAGAAGCCCAAGTCGAAGAAAAACCGCAAGCCGAAGCGCAAGCCGACTGCGGGCACGACCGAGGACGAGACCACGGAGGTGACGGAAGTGACTACTGAGACGGTTGTAGTGACCGAGGAAGTGCCAGCCACTACGGAGGAGACGACCGAGGTGACGGAAGTGACCACCGAGACGTTCGATATCACGGAAGTGAAACCCGAAGAGACGACGGAAGTGATCGAAGTGACGGAAGTGACCACCACCGAGACGACCGAGGAAACCGTGGACGAGACCGATGTGAAGGAGGGCAAGAAGCCCAAGTCGAAGAAAAACCGCAAGCCGAAGCGCAAGCCGACTGCGGGCACGACCGAGGACGAGACCACGGAGGTGACGGAAGTGACTACTGAGACGGTTGTAGTGACCGAGGAAGTGCCAGCCACTACGGAGGAGACGACGGAGGTGACGGAAGTGACCACCGAGACGTTCGATATCACGGAAGTGAAACCCGAAGAGACGACGGAAGTGATCGAAGTACGGACCGTTCGATATCACGGAAGTGAAACCCGAAGAGACGACGGAAGTGATCGAAGTGACGGAAGTGACCACCACCGAGACGACCGAGGAAACCGTGGACGAGACCGATGTGAAGGAGGGCAAGAAGCCCAAGTCGAAGAAAAACCGCAAGCCGAAGCGCAAGCCGACTGCGGGCACGATCGAGGACGAGACCACGGAGGTGACGGAAGTGACTACTGAGACGGTTGTAGTGACCGAGGAAGTGCCAGCCACTACGGAGGAGACGACCGAGGTGACGGAAGTGACCACCGAGACGTTCGATATCACGGAAGTGAAACCCGAAGAGACGACGGAAGTGATCGAAGTGACGGAAGTGACCACCACCGAGACGACCGAGGAAACCGTGGACGAGACCGATGTGAAGGAGGGCAAGAAGCCCAAGTCGAAGAAAAACCGCAAGCCGAAGCGCAAGCCGACTGCGGGCACGACCGAGGACGAGACCACGGAGGTGACGGAAGTGACTACTGAGACGGTTGTAGTGACCGAGGAAGTGCCAGCCACTACGGAGGAGACGACCGAGGTGACGGAAGTGACCACCGAGACGTTCGATATCACGGAAGTGAAACCCGAAGAGACGACGGAAGTGATCGAAGTGACGGAAGTGACCACCACCGAGACGACCGAGGAGACCGTGGACGAGACCGATGTGAAGGAGGGCAAGAAGCCCAAGTCGAAGAAAAACCGCAAGCCGAAGCGCAAGCCGACTGCGGGCACGACCGAGGACGAGACCACGGAGGTGACGGAAGTGACTACTGAGACGGTTGTAGTGACCGAGGAAGTGCCAGCCACTACGGAGGAGACGACCGAGGTGACGGAAGTGACCACCGAGACGTTCGATATCACGGAAGTGAAACCCGAAGAGACGACGGAAGTGATCGAAGTGACGGAAGTGACCACCACCGAGACGACCGAGGAGACCGTGGACGAGACCGATGTGAAGGAGGGCAAGAAGCCCAAGTCGAAGAAAAACCGCAAGCCGAAGCGCAAGCCGACTGCGGGCACGACCGAGGACGAGACCACGGAGGTGACGGAAGTGACTACTGAGACGGTTGTAGTGACCGAGGAAGTGCCAGCCACTACGGAGGAGACGACCGAGGTGACGGAAGTGACCACCACGAGACGTTCGATATCACGGAAGTGAAACCCGAAGAGACGACGGAAGTGATCGAAGTGACGGAAGTGACCACCACCGAGACGACCGAGGAAACCGTGGACGAGACCGATGTGAAGGAGGGCAAGAAGCCCAAGTCGAAGAAAAACCGCAAGCCGAAGCGCAAGCCGACTGCGGGCACGACCGAGGACGAGACCACGGAGGTGACGGAGGTGAAAGTGACTACTGAGACGGTTGTAGTGACCGAGGAAGTGCCAGCTACTACGGAGGAGACGACCGAGGTGACGGAAGTGACCACCGAGACGTTCGATATCACGGAAGTGAAACCCGAAGAGACGACGGAAGTGATCGAAGTGACGGAAGTGACCACCACCGAGACGACCGAGGAAACCGTGGACGAGACCGATGTGAAGGAGGGCAAGAAGCCCAAGTCGAAGAAAAACCGCAAGCCGAAGCGCAAGCCGACTGCGGGCACGATCGAGGACGAGACCACGGAGGTGACGGAAGTGACTACTGAGACGGTTGTAGTGACCGAGGAAGTGCCAGCCACTACGGAGGAGACGACCGAGGTGACGGAAGTGACCACCGAGACGTTCGATATCACGGAAGTGAAACCCGAAGAGACGACGGAAGTGATCGAAGTGACGGAAGTGACCACCACCGAGACGACCGAGGAAACCGTGGACGAGACCGATGTGAAGGAGGGCAAGAAGCCCAAGTCGAAGAAAAACCGCAAGCCGAAGCGCAAGCCGACTGCGGGCACGACCGAGGACGAGACCACGGAGGTGACGGAGGTGACGGAAGTAACTACTGAGACGGTTGTAGTGACCGAGGAAGTGCCAGCTACTACGGAGGAGACGACCGAGGTGACGGAAGTGACCACCGAGACGTTCGATATCACGGAAGTGAAACCCGAAGAGACGACGGAAGTGATCGAAGTGACGGAAGTGACCACCACCGAGACGACCGAGGAAACCGTGGACGAGACCGATGTGAAGGAGGGCAAGAAGCCCAAGTCGAAGAAAAACCGCAAGCCGAAGCGCAAGCCGACTGCGGGCACGACCGAGGACGAGACCACGGAGGTGACGGAAGTGACTACTGAGACGGTTGTAGTGACCGAGGAAGTGCCAGCCACTACGGAGGAGACGACGGAGGTGACGGAAGTGACCACCGAGACGTTCGATATCACGGAAGTGAAACCCGAAGAGACGACGGAAGTGATCGAAGTGACGGAAGTGACCACCACCGAGACGACCGAGGAAACCGTGGACGAGACCGATGTGAAGGAGGGCAAGAAGCCCAAGTCGAAGAAAAACCGCAAGCCGAAGCGCAAGCCGACTGCGGGCACGACCGAGGACGAGACCACGGAGGTGACGGAAGTGACTACTGAGACGGTTGTAGTGACCGAGGAAGTGCCAGCCACTACGGAGGAGACGACCGAGGTGACGGAAGTGACCACCCTGAGACGTTCGATATCACGGAAGTGAAACCCGAAGAGACGACGGAAGTGATCGAAGTGACGGAAGTGACCACCACCGAGACGACCGAGGAAACCGTGGACGAGACCGATGTGAAGGAGGGCAAGAAGCCCAAGTCGAAGAAAAACCGCAAGCCGAAGCGCAAGCCGACTGCGGGCACGACCGAGGACGAGACCACGGAGGTGACGGAGGTGACGGAAGTAACTACTGAGACGGTTGTAGTGACCGAGGAAGTGCCAGCTACTACGGAGGAGACGACCGAGGTGACGGAAGTGACCACCGAGACGTTCGATATCACGGAAGTGAAACCCGAAGAGACGACGGAAGTGATCGAAGTGACGGAAGTGACCACCACCGAGACGACCGAGGAAACCGTGGACGAGACCGATGTGAAGGAGGGCAAGAAGCCCAAGTCGAAGAAAAACCGCAAGCCGAAGCGCAAGCCGACTGCGGGCACGACCGAGGACGAGACCACGGAGGTGACGGAAGTGACGGAAGTAACTACTGAGACGGTTGTAGTGACCGAGGAAGTGCCAGCTACTACGGAGGAGACGACCGAGGTGACGGAAGTGACCACCGAGACGTTCGATATCACGGAAGTGAAACCCGAAGAGACGACGGAAGTGATCGAAGTGACGGAAGTGACCACCACCGAGACGACCGAGGAAACCGTGGACGAGACCGATGTGAAGGAGGGCAAGAAGCCCAAGTCGAAGAAAAACCGCAAGCCGAAGCGCAAGCCGACTGCGGGCACGATCGAGGACGAGACCACGGAGGTGACGGAGGTGACGGAAGTGACTACTGAGACGGTTGTAGTGACCGAGGAAGTACCAGCCACTACGGAGGAGACGACGGAGGTGACGGAAGTGACCACCGAGACGTTCGATATCACGGAAGTGAAACCCGAAGAGACGACGGAAGTGATCGAAGTGACGGAAGTGACCACCACCGAGACGACCGAGGAAACCGTGGTCGAGACCGATGTGAAGGAGGGCAAGAAGCCCAAGTCGAAGAAAAACCGCAAGCCGAAGCGCAAGCCGACTGCGGGCACGACCGAGGACGAGACCACGGAGGTGACGGAGGTGACGGAAGTAACTACTGAGACGGTTGTAGTGACCGAGGAAGTGCCAGCCACTACGGAGGAGACGACCGAGGTGACGGAAGTGACCACCGAGACGTTCGATATCACGGAAGTGAAACCCGAAGAGACGACGGAAGTGATCGAAGTGACGGAAGTGACCACCACCGAGACGACCGAGGAAACCGTGGACGAGACCGATGTGAAGGAGGGCAAGAAGCCCAAGTCGAAGAAAAACCGCAAGCCGAAGCGCAAGCCGACTGCGGGCACGACCGAGGACGAGACCACGGAGGTGACGGAGGTGACGGAAGTAACTACTGAGACGGTTGTAGTGACCGAGGAAGTGCCAGCTACTACGGAGGAGACGACCGAGGTGACGGAAGTGACCACTGAGACGTTCGATATCACGGAAGTGAAACCCGAAGAGACGACGGAAGTGATCGAAGTGACGGAAGTGACCACCACCGAGACGACCGAGGAAACCGTGGACGAGACCGATGTGAAGGAGGGCAAGAAGCCCAAGTCGAAGAAAAACCGCAAGCCGAAGCGCAAGCCGACTGCGGGCACGACCGAGGACGAGACCACGGAGGTGACGGAGGTGACGGAAGTGACTACTGAGACGGTTGTAGTGACCGAGGAAGTGCCAGCTACTACGGAGGAGACGACCGAGGTGACGGAAGTGACCACCGAGACGTTCGATATCACGGAAGTGAAACCCGAAGAGACGACGGAAGTGATCGAAGTGACGGAAGTGACCACCACCGAGACGACCGAGGAGACCGTGGACGAGACCGATGTGAAGGAGGGCAAGAAGCCCAAGTCGAAGAAAAACCGCAAGCCGAAGCGCAAGCCGACTGCGGGCACGACCGAGGACGAGACCACGGAGGTGACGGAAGTAACTACTGAGACGGTTGTAGTGACCGAGGAAGTGCCAGCCACTACGGAGGAGACGACCGAGGTGACGGAAGTGACCACCATGAGACGTTCGATATCACGGAAGTGAAACCCGAAGAGACGACGGAAGTGATCGAAGTGACGGAAGTGACCACCACCGAGACGACCGAGGAAACCGTGGACGAGACCGATGTGAAGGAGGGCAAGAAGCCCAAGTCGAAGAAAAACCGCAAGCCGAAGCGCAAGCCGACTGCGGGCACGACCGAGGACGAGACCACGGAGGTGACGGAAGTGACGGAAGTAACTACTGAGACGGTTGTAGTGACCGAGGAAGTGCCAGCCACTACGGAGGAGACGACCGAGGTGACGGAAGTGACCACCGAGACGTTCGATATCACGGAAGTGAAACCCGAAGAGACGACGGAAGTGATCGAAGTGACGGAAGTGACCACCACCGAGACGACCGAGGAAACCGTGGACGAGACCGATGTGAAGGAGGGCAAGAAGCCCAAGTCGAAGAAAAACCGCAAGCCGAAGCGCAAGCCGACTGCGGGCACGACCGAGGACGAGACCACGGAGGTGACGGAGGTGACGGAAGTGACTACTGAGACGGTTGTAGTGACCGAGGAAGTGCCAGCTACTACGGAGGAGACGACCGAGGTGACGGAAGTGACCACCGAGACGTTCGATATCACGGAAGTGAAACCCGAAGAGACGACGGAAGTGATCGAAGTGACGGAAGTGACCACCACCGAGACGACCGAGGAAACCGTGGACGAGACCGATGTGAAGGAGGGCAAGAAGCCCAAGTCGAAGAAAAACCGCAAGCCGAAGCGCAAGCCGACTGCGGGCACGACCGAGGACGAGACCACGGAGGTGACGGAAGTGACTACTGAGACGGTTGTAGTGACCGAGGAAGTGCCAGCCACTACGGAGGAGACGACCGAGGTGACGGAAGTGACCACCCGAGACGTTCGATATCACGGAAGTGAAACCCGAAGAGACGACGGAAGTGATCGAAGTGACGGAAGTGACCACCACCGAGACGACCGAGGAAACCGTGGACGAGACCGATGTGAAGGAGGGCAAGAAGCCCAAGTCGAAGAAAAACCGCAAGCCGAAGCGCAAGCCGACTGCGGGCACGACCGAGGACGAGACCACGGAGGTGACGGAGGTGACGGAAGTAACTACTGAGACGGTTGTAGTGACCGAGGAAGTGCCAGCTACTACGGAGGAGACGACCGAGGTGACGGAAGTGACCACCGAGACGTTCGATATCACGGAAGTGAAACCCGAAGAGACGACGGAAGTGATCGAAGTGACGGAAGTGACCACCACCGAGACGACCGAGGAAACCGTGGACGAGACCGATGTGAAGGAGGGCAAGAAGCCCAAGTCGAAGAAAAACCGCAAGCCGAAGCGCAAGCCGACTGCGGGCACGACCGAGGACGAGACCACGGAGGTGACGGAGGTGACGGAAGTAACTACTGAGACGGTTGTAGTGACCGAGGAAGTGCCAGCTACTACGGAGGAGACGACCGAGGTGACGGAAGTGACCACCGAGACGTTCGATATCACGGAAGTGAAACCCGAAGAGACGACGGAAGTGATCGAAGTGACGGAAGTGACCACCACCGAGACGACCGAGGAAACCGTGGACGAGACCGATGTGAAGGAGGGCAAGAAGCCCAAGTCGAAGAAAAACCGCAAGCCGAAGCGCAAGCCGACTGCGGGCACGACCGAGGACGAGACCACGGAGGTGACGGAGGTGACGGAAGTAACTACTGAGACGGTTGTAGTGACCGAGGAAGTGCCAGCTACTACGGAGGAGACGACCGAGGTGACGGAAGTGACCACCGAGACGTTCGATATCACGGAAGTGAAACCCGAAGAGACGACGGAAGTGATCGAAGTGACGGAAGTGACCACCACCGAGACGACCGAGGAAACCGTGGACGAGACCGATGTGAAGGAGGGCAAGAAGCCCAAGTCGAAGAAAAACCGCAAGCCGAAGCGCAAGCCGACTGCGGGCACGACCGAGGACGAGACCACGGAGGTGACGGAGGTGACGGAAGTAACTACTGAGACGGTTGTAGTGACCGAGGAAGTGCCAGCTACTACGGAGGAGACGACCGAGGTGACGGAAGTGACCACCGAGACGTTCGATATCACGGAAGTGAAACCCGAAGAGACGACGGAAGTGATCGAAGTGACGGAAGTGACCACCACCGAGACGACCGAGGAAACCGTGGACGAGACCGATGTGAAGGAGGGCAAGAAGCCCAAGTCGAAGAAAAACCGCAAGCCGAAGCGCAAGCCGACTGCGGGCACGACCGAGGACGAGACCACGGAGGTGACGGAAGTAACTACTGAGACGGTTGTAGTGACCGAGGAAGTGCCAGCTACTACGGAGGAGACGACCGAGGTGACGGAAGTGACCACCGAGACGTTCGATATCACGGAAGTGAAACCCGAAGAGACGACGGAAGTGATCGAAGTGACGGAAGTGACCACCACCGAGACGACCGAGGAAACCGTGGACGAGACCGATGTGAAGGAGGGCAAGAAGCCCAAGTCGAAGAAAAACCGCAAGCCGAAGCGCAAGCCGACTGCGGGCACGACCGAGGACGAGACCACGGAGGTGACGGAAGTAACTACTGAGACGGTTGTAGTGACCGAGGAAGTGCCAGCCACTACGGAGGAGACGACCGAGGTGACGGAAGTGACCACCCTGAGACGTTCGATATCACGGAAGTGAAACCCGAAGAGACGACGGAAGTGATCGAAGTGACGGAAGTGACCACCACCGAGACGACCGAGGAAACCGTGGACGAGACCGATGTGAAGGAGGGCAAGAAGCCCAAGTCGAAGAAAAACCGCAAGCCGAAGCGCAAGCCGACTGCGGGCACGACCGAGGACGAGACCACGGAGGTGACGGAAGTAACTACTGAGACGGTTGTAGTGACCGAGGAAGTGCCAGCTACTACGGAGGAGACGACCGAGGTGACGGAAGTGACCACCGAGACGTTCGATATCACGGAAGTGAAACCCGAAGAGACGACGGAAGTGATCGAAGTGACGGAAGTGACCACCACCGAGACGACCGAGGAAACCGTGGACGAGACCGATGTGAAGGAGGGCAAGAAGCCCAAGTCGAAGAAAAACCGCAAGCCGAAGCGCAAGCCGACTGCGGGCACGACCGAGGACGAGACCACGGAGGTGACGGAGGTGACGGAAGTAACTACTGAGACGGTTGTAGTGACCGAGGAAGTGCCAGCTACTACGGAGGAGACGACCGAGGTGACGGAAGTGACCACCGAGACGTTCGATATCACGGAAGTGAAACCCGAAGAGACGACGGAAGTGATCGAAGTGACGGAAGTGACCACCACCGAGACGACCGAGGAGACCGTGGACGAGACCGATGTGAAGGAGGGCAAGAAGCCCAAGTCGAAGAAAAACCGCAAGCCGAAGCGCAAGCCGACTGCGGGCACGACCGAGGACGAGACCACGGAGGTGACGGAGGTGACGGAAGTAACTACTGAGACGGTTGTAGTGACCGAGGAAGTGCCAGCTACTACGGAGGAGACGACCGAGGTGACGGAAGTGACCACCGAGACGTTCGATATCACGGAAGTGAAACCCGAAGAGACGACGGAAGTGATCGAAGTGACGGAAGTGACCACCACCGAGACGACCGAGGAAACCGTGGACGAGACCGATGTGAAGGAGGGCAAGAAGCCCAAGTCGAAGAAAAACCGCAAGCCGAAGCGCAAGCCGACTGCGGGCACGACCGAGGACGAGACCACGGAGGTGACGGAGGTGACGGAAGTAACTACTGAGACGGTTGTAGTGACCGAGGAAGTGCCAGCTACTACGGAGGAGACGACCGAGGTGACGGAAGTGACCACCGAGACGTTCGATATCACGGAAGTGAAACCCGAAGAGACGACGGAAGTGATCGAAGTGACGGAAGTGACCACCACCGAGACGACCGAGGAAACCGTGGACGAGACCGATGTGAAGGAGGGCAAGAAGCCCAAGTCGAAGAAAAACCGCAAGCCGAAGCGCAAGCCGACTGCGGGCACGACCGAGGACGAGACCACGGAGGTGACGGAAGTAACTACTGAGACGGTTGTAGTGACCGAGGAAGTGCCAGCTACTACGGAGGAGACGACCGAGGTGACGGAAGTGACCACCCGAGACGTTCGATATCACGGAAGTGAAACCCGAAGAGACGACGGAAGTGATCGAAGTGACGGAAGTGACCACCACCGAGACGACCGAGGAAACCGTGGACGAGACCGATGTGAAGGAGGGCAAGAAGCCCAAGTCGAAGAAGAACCGCAAGCCGAAGCGCAAGCCGACTGCGGGCACGACCGAGGACGAGACCACGGAGGTGACGGAAGTAACTACTGAGACGGTTGTAGTGACCGAGGAAGTGCCAGCTACTACGGAGGAGACGACCGAGGTGACGGAAGTGACCACCGAGACGTTCGATATCACGGAAGTGAAACCCGAAGAGACGACGGAAGTGATCGAAGTGACGGAAGTGACCACCACCGAGACGACCGAGGAAACCGTGGACGAGACCGATGTGAAGGAGGGCAAGAAGCCCAAGTCGAAGAAAAACCGCAAGCCGAAGCGCAAGCCGACTGCGGGCACGATCGAGGACGAGACCACGGAGGTGACGGAAGTGACTACTGAGACGGTTGTAGTGACCGAGGAAGTGCCAGCCACTACGGAGGAGACGACCGAGGTGACGGAAGTGACCACCGAGACGTTCGATATCACGGAAGTGAAACCCGAAGAGACGACGGAAGTGATCGAAGTGACGGAGGTGACCACCACCGAGACGACCGAGGAAACCGTGGACGAGACCGATGTGAAGGAGGGCAAGAAGCCCAAGTCGAAGAAAAACCGCAAGCCGAAGCGCAAGCCGACTGCGGGCACGACCGAGGACGAGACCACGGAGGTGACGGAGGTGACGGAAGTAACTACTGAGACGGTTGTAGTGACCGAGGAAGTGCCAGCCACTACGGAGGAGACGACCGAGGTGACGGAAGTGACCACCGAGACGTTCGATATCACGGAAGTGAAACCCGAAGAGACGACGGAAGTGATCGAAGTGACGGAGTGACCACCACCGAGACGACCGAGGAAACCGTGGACGAGACCGATGTGAAGGAGGGCAAGAAGCCCAAGTCGAAGAAAAACCGCAAGCCGAAGCGCAAGCCGACTGCGGGCACGACCGAGGACGAGACCACGGAGGTGACGGAGGTGACGAAGTAACTACTGAGACGGTTGTAGTGACCGAGGAAGTGCCAGCTACTACGGAGGAGACGACCGAGGTGACGGAAGTGACCACCGAGACGTTCGATATCACGGAAGTGAAACCCGAAGAGACGACGGAAGTGATCGAAGTGACGGAAGTGACCACCACCGAGACGACCGAGGAAACCGTGGACGAGACCGATGTGAAGGAGGGCAAGAAGCCCAAGTCGAAGAAAAACCGCAAGCCGAAGCGCAAGCCGACTGCGGGCACGACCGAGGACGAGACCACGGAGGTGACGGAAGTGACTACTGAGACGGTTGTAGTGACCGAGGAAGTGCCAGCTACTACGGAGGAGACGACCGAGGTGACGGAAGTGACCACCGAGACGTTCGATATCACGGAAGTGAAACCCGAAGAGACGACGGAAGTGATCGAAGTGACGGAAGTGACTACTACCGAGACGACCGAGGAAACCGTGGACGAGACCGATGTGAAGGAGGGCAAGAAGCCCAAGTCGAAGAAAAACCGCAAGCCGAAGCGCAAGCCGACTGCGGGCACGACCGAGGACGAGACCACGGAGGTGACGGAAGTGACGTAACTACTGAGACGGTTGTAGTGACCGAGGAAGTGCCAGCTACTACGGAGGAGACGACCGAGGTGACGGAAGTGACCACCGAGACGTTCGATATCACGGAAGTGAAACCCGAAGAGACGACGGAAGTGATCGAAGTGACGGAAGTGACCACCACCGAGACGACCGAGGAAACCGTGGACGAGACCGATGTGAAGGAGGGCAAGAAGCCCAAGTCGAAGAAGAACCGCAAGCCGAAGCGCAAGCCGACTGCGGGCACGACCGAGGACGAGACCACGGAGGTGACGGAGGTGACGGAAGTAACTACTGAGACGGTTGTAGTGACCGAGGAAGTGCCAGCTACTACGGAGGAGACGACCGAGGTGACGGAAGTGACCACCGAGACGTTCGATATCACGGAAGTGACCACCACCGAGACGACCGAGGAAACCGTGGACGAGACCGATGTGAAGGAGGGCAAGAAGCCCAAGTCGAAGAAAAACCGCAAGCCGAAGCGCAAGCCGACTGCGGGCACGACCGAGGACGAGACCACGGAGGTGACGGAAGTGACTACTGAGACGGTTGTAGTGACCGAGGAAGTGCCAGCTACTACGGAGGAGACGACCGAGGTGACGGAAGTGACCACCGAGACGTTCGATATCACGGAAGTGAAACCCGAAGAGACGACGGAAGTGATCGAAGTGACGGAGTGACCACCACCGAGACGACCGAGGAAACCGTGGACGAGACCGATGTGAAGGAGGGCAAGAAGCCCAAGTCGAAGAAGAACCGCAAGCCGAAGCGCAAGCCGACTGCGGGCACGACCGAGGACGAGACCACGGAGGTGACGGAGGTGACGGAAGTGACTACTGAGACGGTTGTAGTGACCGAGGAAGTGCCAGCTACTACGGAGGAGACGACCGAGGTGACGGAAGTGACCACCGAGACGTTCGATATCACGGAAGTGACCACCACCGAGACGACCGAGGAAACCGTGGACGAGACCGATGTGAAGGAGGGCAAGAAGCCCAAGTCGAAGAAAAACCGCAAGCCGAAGCGCAAGCCGACTGCGGGCACGACCGAGGACGAGACCACGGAGGTGACGGAAGTGACGGAAGTAACTACTGAGACGGTTGTAGTGACCGAGGAAGTGCCAGCTACTACGGAGGAGACGACCGAGGTGACGGAAGTGACCACCGAGACGTTCGATATCACGGAAGTGAAACCCGAAGAGACGACGGAAGTGATCGAAGTGACGGAAGTGACCACCACCGAGACGACCGAGGAAACCGTGGACGAGACCGATGTGAAGGAGGGCAAGAAGCCCAAGTCGAAGAAAAACCGCAAGCCGAAGCGCAACCCGACTGCGGGCACGACCGAGGACGAGACCACGGAGGTGACGGAGGTGACGGAAGTAACTACTGAGACGGTTGTAGTGACCGAGGAAACCGTGGACGAGACCATGTGAAGGAGGGCAAGAAGCCCAAGTCGAAGAAAACCGCAAGCCGAAGCGCAAGCCGACTGCGGGCACGACCGAGGACGAGACCACGGAGGTGACGGAGGTGACGGAAGTAACTACTGAGACGGTTGTAGTGACCGAGGAAACCGTGGACGAGACCGATGTGAAGGAGGGCAAGAAGCCCAAGTCGAAGAAAAACCGCAAGCCGAAGCGCAAGCCGACTGCGGGCACGACCGAGGACGAGACCACGGAGGTGACGGAAGTGACTACTGAGACGGTTGTAGTGACCGAGGAAGTACCAGCTACTACGGAGGAGACGACCGAGGTGACGGAAGTGACCACCGAGACGTTCGATATCACGGAAGTGAAACCCGAAGAGACGACGGAAGTGATCGAAGTGACGGAAGTGACCACCACCGAGACGACCGAGGAAACCGTGGACGAGACCGATGTGAAGGAGGGCAAGAAGCCCAAGTCGAAGAAAAACCGCAAGCCGAAGCGCAAGCCGACTGCGGGCACGATCGAGGACGAGACCACGGAGGTGACGGAGGTGACGGAAGTAACTACTGAGACGGTTGTAGTGACCGAGGAAGTGCCAGCTACTACGGAGGAGACGACCGAGGTGACGGAAGTGACCACCGAGACGTTCGATATCACGGAAGTGAAACCCGAAGAGACGACGGAAGTGATCGAAGTGACGGAAGTGACTACTACCGAGACGACCGAGGAAACCGTGGACGAGACCGATGTGAAGGAGGGCAAGAAGCCCAAGTCGAAGAAAAACCGCAAGCCGAAGCACAAGCCGACTGCGGGCACGACCGAGGACGAGACCACGGAGGTGACGGAGGTGACGGAAGTAACTACTGAGACGGTTGTAGTGACCGAGGAAGTGCCAGCCACTAGGGAGGAGACGACCGAGGTGACGGAAGTGACCACCGAGACGTTCGATATCACGGAAGTGAAACCCGAAGAGACGACGGAAGTGATCGAAGTGACGGAAGTGACCACCACCGAGACGACCGAGGAAACCGTGGACGAGACCGATGTGAAGGAGGGCAAGAAGCCCAAGTCGAAGAAAAACCGCAAGCCGAAGCGCAAGCCGACTGCGGGCACGACCGAGGACGAGACCACGGAGGTGACGGAAGTGACTACTGAGACGGTTGTAGTGACCGAGGAAGTGCCAGCTACTACGGAGGAGACGACCGAGGTGACGGAAGTGACCACCGAGACGTTCGATATCACGGAAGTGAAGCTCGAAGAGACGACGGAAGTGGCTACTGAGAGAATTATTGTGACTGAGGAAGTGACAGATGAGACGAGCACATCTGTGGAGATGGAGACGCGCGAGGAGATCGAGGACAGTAGCGCCACGACTTCGAGGACGTCCGTGTCAGACGCGACTCTTGTTAGCTCTACTACGACGGAAGAGATGGATGAGGACGGCTCTGCTGGCGCCACGGTGAAGACCGAGGTGTTCCGCACGACGGGAGCGAACGGAAGCATTATCACCAAGACGGTTCGTACGACGATCCGCAAGGTGACCACTACTCGCGGTCTAGTAAAGCGTATGATCGAGGTTCAGACAACGACGGAGACGCAGACGGTGACAGGTGAGACGAGCACATCTGTGGAGATGGAGACGCGCGAGGAGATCGAGGACAGTAGCGCCACGACTTCGAGGACGTCCGTGTCAGACGCGACTCTTGTTAGCTCTACTACGACGGAAGAGATAGATGAGGACGGCTCTGCTGGCGCCACGGTGAAGACCGAGGTGTTCCGCACGACGGGAGCGAACGGAAGCATTATCACCAAGACGGTTCGTACGACGATCCGCAAGGTGACCACTACTCGCGGTCTAGTAAAGCGTATGATCGAGGTTCAGACAACGACGGAGACGCAGACGGTGACAGGTGAGACGAGCACATCTGTGGAGATGGAGACGCGCGAGGAGATCGAGGACAGTAGCGCCACGACTTCGAGGACGTCCGTGTCAGACGCGACTCTTGTTAGCTCTACTACGACGGAAGAGATAGATGAGGACGGCTCTGCTGGCGCCACGGTGAAGACCGAGGTGTTCCGCACGACGGGAGCGAACGGAAGCATTATCACCAAGACGGTTCGTACGACGATCCGCAAGGTGACCACTACTCGCGGTCTAGTAAAGCGTATGATCGAGGTTCAGACAACGACGGAGACGCAGACGGTGACAGGTGAGACGAGCACATCTGTGGAGATGGAGACGCGCGAGGAGATCGAGGACAGTAGCGCCACGACTTCGAGGACGTCCGTGTCAGACGCGACTCTTGTTAGCTCTACTACGACGGAAGAGATGGATGAGGACGGCTCTGCTGGCGCCACGGTGAAGACCGAGGTGTTCCGCACGACGGGAGCGAACGGAAGCATTATCACCAAGACGGTTCGTACGACGATCCGCAAGGTGACCACTACTCGCGGTCTAGTAAAGCGTATGATCGAGGTTCAGACAACGACGGAGACGCAGACGGTGACAGGTGAGACGAGCACATCTGTGGAGATGGAGACGCGCGAGGAGATCGAGGACAGTAGCGCCACGACTTCGAGGACGTCCGTGTCAGACGCGACTCTTGTTAGCTCTACTACGACGGAAGAGATGGATGAGGACGGCTCTGCTCGCGCCACGGTGAAGACCGAGGTGTTCCGCACGACGGGAGCGAACGGAAGCATTATCACCAAGACGGTTCGTACGACGATCCGCAAGGTGACCACTACTCGCGGTCTAGTAAAGCGTATGATCGAGGTTCAGACAACGACGGAGACGCAGACGGTGACAGGTGAGACGAGCACATCTGTGGAGATGGAGACGCGCGAGGAGATCGAGGACAGTAGCGCCACGACTTCGAGGACGTCCGTGTCAGACGCGACTCTTGTTAGCTCTACTACGACGGAAGAGATAGATGAGGACGGCTCTGCTGGCGCCACGGTGAAGACCGAGGTGTTCCGCACGACGGGAGCGAACGGAAGCATTATCACCAAGACGGTTCGTACGACGATCCGCAAGGTGACCACTACTCGCGGTCTAGTAAAGCGTATGATCGAGGTTCAGACAACGACGGAGACGCAGACGGTGACAGGTGAGACGAGCACATCTGTGGAGATGGAGACGCGCGAGGAGATCGAGGACAGTAGCGCCACGACTTCGAGGACGTCCGTGTCAGACGCGACTCTTGTTAGCTCTACTACGACGGAAGAGATAGATGAGGACGGCTCTGCTGGCGCCACGGTGAAGACCGAGGTGTTCCGCACGACGGGAGCGAACGGAAGCATTATCACCAAGACGGTTCGTACGACGATCCGCAAGGTGACCACTACTCGCGGTCTAGTAAAGCGTATGATCGAGGTTCAGACAACGACGGAGACGCAGACGGTGACAGGTGAGACGAGCACATCTGTGGAGATGGAGACGCGCGAGGAGATCGAGGACAGTAGCGCCACGACTTCGAGGACGTCCGTGTCAGACGCGACTCTTGTTAGCTCTACTACGACGGAAGAGATGGATGAGGACGGCTCTGCTGGCGCCACGGTGAAGACCGAGGTGTTCCGCACGACGGGAGCGAACGGAAGCATTATCACCAAGACGGTTCGTACGACGATCCGCAAGGTGACCACTACTCGCGGTCTAGTAAAGCGTATGATCGAGGTTCAGACAACGACGGAGACGCAGACGGTGACAGGTGAGACGAGCACATCTGTGGAGATGGAGACGCGCGAGGAGATCGAGGACAGTAGCGCCACGACTTCGAGGACGTCCGTGTCAGACGCGACTCTTGTTAGCTCTACTACGACGGAAGAGATGGATGAGGACGGCTCTGCTGGCGCCACGGTGAAGACCGAGGTGTTCCGCACGACGGGAGCGAACGGAAGCATTATCACCAAGACGGTTCGTACGACGATCCGCAAGGTGACCACTACTCGCGGTCTAGTAAAGCGTATGATCGAGGTTCAGACAACGACGGAGACGCAGACGGTGACAGGTGAGACGAGCACATCTGTGGAGATGGAGACGCGCGAGGAGATCGAGGACAGTAGCGCCACGACTTCGAGGACGTCCGTGTCAGACGCGACTCTTGTTAGCTCTACTACGACGGAAGAGATGGATGAGGACGGCTCTGCTGGCGCCACGGTGAAGACCGAGGTGTTCCGCACGACGGGAGCGAACGGAAGCATTATCACCAAGACGGTTCGTACGACGATCCGCAAGGTGACCACTACTCGCGGTCTAGTAAAGCGTATGATCGAGGTTCAGACAACGACGGAGACGCAGACGGTGACAGGTGAGACGAGCACATCTGTGGAGATGGAGACGCGCGAGGAGATCGAGGACAGTAGCGCCACGACTTCGAGGACGTCCGTGTCAGACGCGACTCTTGTTAGCTCTACTACGACGGAAGAGATAGATGAGGACGGCTCTGCTGGCGCCACGGTGAAGACCGAGGTGTTCCGCACGACGGGAGCGAACGGAAGCATTATCACCAAGACGGTTCGTACGACGATCCGCAAGGTGACCACTACTCGCGGTCTAGTAAAGCGTATGATCGAGGTTCAGACAACGACGGAGACGCAGACGGTGACAGGTGAGACGAGCACATCTGTGGAGATGGAGACGCGCGAGGAGATCGAGGACAGTAGCGCCACGACTTCGAGGACGTCCGTGTCAGACGCGACTCTTGTTAGCTCTACTACGACGGAAGAGATGGATGAGGACGGCTCTGCTCGCGCCACGGTGAAGACCGAGGTGTTCCGCACGACGGGAGCGAACGGAAGCATTATCACCAAGACGGTTCGTACGACGATCCGCAAGGTGACCACTACTCGCGGTCTAGTAAAGCGTATGATCGAGGTTCAGACAACGACGGAGACGCAGACGGTGACAGGTGAGACGAGCACATCTGTGGAGATGGAGACGCGCGAAGAAGAAGATGAAGGTGTTGTTAATGTCATTCGCGCTGGTGGTAATAAAGGTACGGAAGGTGGCAAGTGTAATGCGACTGAGTCAAACTGGGAGAAAATGGCCACTGGAGTATCCGCCCAAAGAACAGGCAAAGATTCTGCTTGGTCGCAGATGAAGCGGCGCCGTCTCGTGAAGACTTGGCTTCCTGAGTTTGTGTCCTATGTGCAGCGTCGTGGACGAAATTTGTCGAAAACCACGCCGAGGAAGGAACTGCTGATCTTTGCTCGTGACTTTTGCGACCAAAACTTTGTTCGCTTCGAGGATGGATTCTTCAACACGGGCACTTACGAAGAAAAGCGAATCACATGGACTATTGCGCGCTCTCTGTCCTTTCACTACCCTGGTGTCGCTGTGCAACAGCTAGGCCTCGGTGTAGGAGCGTTCCAGCGGACGCTACTGATAGACGAGGTGTGCCGAACCCGCACTGGTCCCGATGGTGCTCGGATGGCCGAAGTCGAGTTCGTGCTGTCGGCGCTTCAGGTTGTGCCGAAAAAGTGTGCGTACTACGAAGATGTTTTGATTCTGGAGAATGGTGAAGTGCTATTCCACGGCACTGGTGAAGCTCTGGTCATATATTTCCAGGAACTCGGCTTCGTATGTGCTCCAGGTGTGAATGTGTCCGACTACTTGCTTAACCTGACTGAAGAGCAGCAGAAGTACCACCAGGTCACCATGATTCAAGGTTTCAACAATCAACGTCAGTTGCGTCGGAGCCGCATGTTCTCTGGAATGTTGAAGTTCGCCGACGATATGGTACTCGTTACAGGGGCTCCCGGTGCCGGACGCCCGTCACGGACTAACACACCAATTAGTAGTCCTGCGCGTAGCAGTGATACAGCCAGACTGAGTATGGCGTACTCACCTCCTCGACGTCGACTGACACACCGATTCGCTCAGGGGTCTCCGGCAAAATCGCCACTCAGAATGTCGATGCGCTCCGCAGCGCAATTTGAGTCGTTGCCGTCAAGCAACGCGACAAAAGACCTGAAGATCACGGCGTACTCGTCGCCAGAAATGGGCAAAGTGACCAAGCCGTTGAGCAGCGCAGATGCGACAACGACGACGTCGTACTCATCATTGCCCGTCCCTACCGGCTCAACCACGACGCGGAAGATTGCCATTGAAGACGACTTGACTGTGATCACAACGGAGATCATATCACCCCGTGGTACGAAGCGAATGTCTACTACACGTCAGCCTACCAAGAACAGTTCCAACATCACTCCATCGTAATCAGAGGTCATTGCTTAGTAGTTGGAGGCTTCTAGCTAGGGTAACTAACTATCACTAATACATGTATGTATCCATCCGTGCAAGTTGCCTTTTTTGTAGCCATGTTAGTACCTGTTTAAACCGATATGAAAAGGGTATATCGTAACTCATAACGAGTTACACCATGGAGCGAGGGTTACGATCGCAGCAGCAGGAAGCAGAGCGCGTTGCTCGTGAGCTTATGGATGTAAAGATTGAAGCGGCACATTTACGTGAGAGACTACGACAGCGTGTAGGTGGTGATACGACGGCCGTGGAGCTAGAGGCGGAGGCGTTTGCATTGCAGACGGCATTGAGCGAGACACAAGAGACGCTCAAGACGCGAGAGACGGCACTGCAGACGCTAGAGAATAAATACGAGAAGGCGATGCGAGGAATGATGAAGCTGGATGAGGCCTGGAGTGATAGTAAAAAGCAGACGATGGTAGCAGAGGAAGCACGGAGGATAGCAGAGCAACAGGTTAATGACGAGAAACGACGAGGTGACGAGCTGTTGCGTCAATTGGAGGTCGTGACAGGCCGAGAAATGACGCTGAGAGATCGAGTGGATGTACTGATACAGGAGAAGAAGGAGATGGAACGGATGAGAGATGACGAGAGACTGGAGAGGAAAGAGAGAGAGATGGAGCTTTATGAGTTGAGAGCACAATTAGAGACGATGAGACAGCACTTTGAGATACAGATGAAGGAACAGGAAGGAGCGACACGACAAGATGTACGACACTTTCAAGAACTATTACAACAGACTCAGGAAGAAGCAGCAGCAGTGAGAGGAGAGATTTCGGCGAGACAGAAAGAGGCAGCTAAAGTCGAGACGGAACTTCGTGATACGAAAGCAATGGAGGCTACGACAAAGCAGAGACTTGTTAAACTGACGGAAGATCACGCGACGTTGCGTGTGCACTTGGAATCGGCCAAGATGGTGGCAGTGGAGAGTACACAGAGAGCGATTCAGGCAGAGACGGAGAATGAAAACATGCGGAAGGAGCTCGAGGAACGAGACAATGTGTTGATGATGAAAGAGCAGAGTTTGCGGGCACTTGAAGGAGAATTGCTTCAGATGCAGAAGACAATGGAGGAGGCATTGAGCAAGAAGAAGCAGGCAGTGGAGGAAACACAGCAGCGACTGGTGATGGAGTCGCAAGAAATGCTGCAAGCACAGGAAGAGACGTGGAGCTGCCGAGAAAAAATGTTACAGCAAGAGGTTGAGAATTACAAACAGGAGATGAGTCGTGTGCAGACTTTCCACGTCGAGCTGGCGCAATTACTGCAGACAAAGGACGGTGATGTTACAACAGCAGAGCAAGAAACACAAAGCGTCAAGCCAGCTATGCTCCAGGCGCTTGTGGTACAGGAAGTCAACAAGCGCGACATCCTCCTATCGGCACTAGAGAAAATGAGGATACAACTTGGGACAATAAAACGGCAGCTTGGTTCGCAGAAGCAACTCGAGACCGAGAATCTAAAACTCCGTGCTGAATATGAAAAGGCGAAGCTAGCTATGGAGCGTATGGCAACACGGAAGGCAAAAAGTTTTGCTTCTCTGACTTCATTACCAGTCAGGCAAGCTGGAAATGACAGTGGTGGCAGTAGCTCGTCAGAGAAGAGTGCTAGTAAGGAAGGTCGACCTGGTACGATGGAGATAACGCCGATCGTGAAGCGAGAGCTCGAGGCAGGCGAAACAAACGCAATTGAGTTAAGAACAACACCTCGAAAGGCGCAACGCATCAAACACGTGTATGTAGCTTCGCGGTATCTAAGCAGCGCATCAAAACGCTGAGTATATTGGCAAGTCAAGCCGCACTGCGATGGAGCTGTTTCCTTAAGTATATTAGTTCTTCATAAGTCTATAAATCGGACGTAAAGGAAACGCAAGCGTCATTGCATGGTGTTCACAAGGAAAGTATGGCCAACTATTGTCAAGACAACGCCAATCGCATCGAACAAACTCACAGTTCTTGCTTCTGAATAGGATCTTCCTCCAGCTGGTGCTCATGAAGTGACCAACCTGGCACACTTTTCGGGTCCTTGACACGCAACCGGATGCTACTAAAACACTGGAATGCCTCCGAGGGCTGAATCTCGCCGTCAGCAATCACCGCAGAAGCAGTTTCTTTGGCACTCAGGTAACACGGAATATACTCGTTGACGTGATCAAAGATCACGAGCACGCCACCGTTCCTAAGCTGCTGTGGATAGCGCTTTGGACAATATGTCGCTTGCTTCTGCTGCACTCCTCCCCAGTAAGGTGCCCATGCTACGGTTCCGCCTTGTTCGAGATTCTGTCCGTCAATTGCAACCTGTCTCCACACACAACAAAACGCAGCACCAGTTAGTGGACGCAAGCTGGCAATGAAAGTACAAGGTAAATGCCATCAATCCAGCCAACACTTACAAGGATGCTCTCGTTGACAAAGGCAAAGGTGGGGTCGAGAGAAAAAATTTCGACGGCTGCTTGTTGCTGCATCTTCAGTTCAGTCATCACATTCAACGCCACATAGCTCGCCGCCGTCACCAGCACCAGCGTTTTAGCCCAAACACGGTGGAAACAAGTGACTGTCACCAAAATAGCAGCGACCAATGCCGCCAATTGCCTCGCCACTGGCGCATCCAAGGTCGCGATAAGCGTCCACAAATTATCATCCAACCGTCTCGAGGACGCGTCAAGACTTAATCCAATGACAACCGTCTCCATTACCGCCGTCACAAATGCCTTCCCTTCATACAGCAGTCTCTCTCCACACTCTACAGGCGTCTCAATGTCCAATTGTCTCCAATTGATCACCGAGTTTAACGTTAATGGTTCCAAGCTGCAAGATGCACCGTACAGCGCCGTCGCCACAGCCGCCAGTGTCAGCAGATTCAATATCAATTTTGACAGCATTCCGGCCAGTCGTGGACTCTGTAAAGGCCACGACAGCTCGTCACTGTGAGGCAACGAAATGTACAGTAGCAAAGGGGCTACGCTTACAGCAGCCAACGTCCAGCCGAGATTCTCTAGCAACCCACCGGCCGCCATCCATTGCTGGGTAAAACTCAGCTCTGTCTTTACACGTGGTCGCTCGAGCCAATCTTCTTCATTGTCCTCAGACTCGTCCGAGTCCGAATCCCACGCGTCCTCGTCACTATCGGCCGCATGATCGTCTGTACCATTTGAATTTTCTTCCTCAAGCTCATCCCATCCAGACTGTAACGCATCAGCCGCCAGCATGGCATCAATCTCTTCATCCTTTGTCTGTATATACGCGTCATTCCAATTGTCATCAATGAAAACCGGTTGGTTTAACGCCTTGGAGCGCGACCGAGTGAGCACGGGAGACATTATGATACGAAAAAGGTCTTGACAGGTTTTTATGAATTTTTGAATTTTTACAAGCGATACAAAATAGTATTCATACAACGGTATGATATATATTAGTACTACTATACTTGAGTCATATTTACTACTATTTTACAGTGTAGCCATCTTACCGGAAAAAACGGCGCAGGTCGTCGATATGAAGACGCTCACTGCGACGTTCATCGTGGGTCTTGGCAATAACAAGTACATGCTTTGCCAATTGCTCTTTTCGTTCTTGCAGCTGCAAAATCATGTCTTCGACTGTGTCCATCACCACGTATCGTTTCACTATCACGTCCTGAGTCTGACCCAAACGGTGCACTCGATCGATGGCCTGCTCCTCTACTCCAGGATTCCACCACGGATCAAGCAGGATTACGACCGATGCGCATGTGAGATTCAGACCCACACCACCGGCTTTCAGACTGATGACCAGTACTTCAATGTGCGGGTCCTTGGCAAACTTGGTCAATACGCGCTCGCGTGCCTCCTGGTTTAGTCCACCATTGAACGTGCAGTGCGAAAAGCCATGACGCGAGAGCAGCAGAGAGACCATGTCCAGCATCGACGTCCATTGCGAAAAGACCACCACTTTTCGCTTTTGTTCGGGCGACTCGACGTTCTTGTTCTCCAGCCTAATGGCATTCAGATCGCGAAGCAGCTGCTGCAGTTTGGTAGACTCGAAGCCCGTGCCGTCGTCGTCGTCGTCAGCCACAGAGGCAACAGCAGGTGTATTCATTTCGACTGAGCTTTCATCTTTTGTCATTGAAGCAGAAGGAGGCGGAAGCTTGAAAACTTTCGCCATGTCGACCACAGCTCGGCACACGGGACAGCCATTTTCCGGGTCGTTTAAGAGACTTTCTCGAAGGCACTGGACGCACAATATATGAGCGCATGGTGTCAACACTGCATTGCGCGGCGGGTCCAAGCAGATTGGACACTCATGAGCTTCCAAGCCGTCTTCGACCTGAGCTATCACATTCTGAATATAAGAGGCCGTTAGCCCCCCTGTCGAGTTACCTTCTTTGTCGTCCGAAACATCATGTCCGTTGTCAAGCAACCGTTCACAGTTGCTGGCCTGCATATCTGTCTGCAGTTGTGCGGCAATGCGCTGGTAGTACGCTTCACGGCTCTCATTCTGTTGAGGCTGGAAAGCTAATCTGGTCTGTGCTGCTGTGTTTACTCCTGCCTTTTTGTCATCACGCTTCAACGCATGCTCGAATTTTTTACCGAGTGCAAGCAAAGGGTGGTCGCAGGCCTGACGGAGACGGAGCAACAGCGCGAAAATGGCAACATAACTCGTCATAGCTGTGCCACTCGCAACAAAGCCGTTAAATTCTGCTCGGCTTTTATCGTATACTGCCTGGTAAAAGGTGCGCTCGTCAGGGGAGAACTCCAATTTAACCAAGTCGACGTGCTTCGGTGGAAGGTGAACAATCATATTGCCCAGCTTATCTCGCGATTGCTTGGTGCGACGAAGCAGTATTGGCGTTAGAATCACCTTTAGCCGGCCAAGTGCGTTCACATCGTCGCCGTCTTCGTACGGTTTTGTAATCACGCGTTTCCACCACGCAACTCGACACCAGGGCTGGTACTCGAGGAAGCAAAGCAGTGCAAAAACGTCATCTAAAGTGTTCTGAATTGGAGTGCCCGTCAAACACCATCGATGCGTAGCTTTTAGGGCAGAGCACGTCTTGAAGTAGCCTGTGGCCCTGTTCTTTATGCTGTGGGCTTCGTCAAGAATGATACGGTTCCACTTGGTCGTCGCAACCGGACCGTTTTTTCCAAACTCGGCTGACAGCACTCCGTAGGTTGTAAGAACAATATCATTCTTGCTGAAAGGTGCCATTGTGAGCTTGGTACGTGTGCCACGATCGTCGCCATAGTACACGTAAACGCTTAGGGTGTTAGGAAGAAAACGTTCCAAAGCTTCATTTTTCCACTGGTGAAGCAAACTCAACGGGCATATCACGAGAGTCTTGCCTGTTGCCTCCCGTTTTGCCTGAGTTGGGATATTGTCGTTGGTCAATCTTTCTTCGCCCATGTGCTTTTGGTAAGCAATTAGAGAAAGCATCATCATCGTTTTGCCTGCATACATAACGAACTTATTAATCACTTCCATTTCCGTGTCGACAATGCGCAGCCTTTGCGCTGTACTTACCCATTCCCATGTCATCCGCCAGAATTCCACCAAGGCAGGGGGCAGGAGGTTCTGGTCGAGTTAACGACGCACTTTTCTCGAAGGGGTTCACGTAGTAAAAGCTCTTGGATCGGAATTGACGCTTCTCCCACATCTGAATAAATTCAGTCTGATTAGCAGGTCATGCGCAGACCATATCATTTAAACGGCACTTACAGGATCGTTACTCTCTTGCTCACCGACGTCATCGCTCATTTGGTCTTCTCGCCACAGCATCCATCTCAATGCTTGCTTCTGGTGATCTCGCAGCTTGATAGAATGCAGATACTGTGTAAGGTGCTCCGACGGATCCTCATTCAAACCATCAACCGAGTTGTGAAGACTGCTTGCTCCGACGCACTCGGAGAAAAGAGTATCAAGGTCTTGCGGGTTCACTTGCAACGACGGATCTTTCGCCTCAGAGGTTGGTCGCGTAGCTAACGCATCCAAAGAGGAGGAGTCTGCTCCCTGGACAATCTGCAGTAAACTATACACTTGATCGGAAAGGGAAAAGTTCTGGTCACCCTCTATGAACACGTCGAACGCCTTCACACTGACATAGATGAATACCGTCAACTACAATATACAGCATCACAAAGCTCAGCACAGGCATACATCCCCGATTCAGCTCAAAACTACCTACATCAAAGGATGCAAACATATGGGACGACACCGGTGGCGTCTCACACACTCCTGCAAGTTTCACAAGTCCTCTCTTCATCAACGGATGCAGCAATAGCTCCATTTTCCTTTCCAATCGTCCAATCTGCAAGTGCTCCATGGTAGCAATTCTCACAATGCCTGATACCATGGAAGTAGCCGATAGTCCCGATCTCAGCCTTTTCTTACCGGCGTTTTCCGCCTGCAGCAGTAATTCCTCACCCGCATGGAGCTTCACACCCTGACGGTTCACTGAGCCTTGCATGATCATCTTGCCCAACACATGACAGTTCAACTCCTCTTTTCCCAGCTTCATTAGAAGCTCTTCCAGTCGACGCTCTGCTCTCTTATCTGCTGGAGCTGCAGTCAATGAATCCTCCTTGGTCCGTCGATCAAAGTACTCCGAGGCCGCACCTGAGACACTAAAGCAATTACGTTGCAGCAACGCCATCGTCTCGTCATCTGGCAACTCAATACCCAGTTCCTTAAGTTGCTGCAACTTCTTCTGTAGACGTTCCTGTTCCTTGTCTACTGAACTACCGACACTAAAGAGCAGAGACTGCGACGTCTTTATGTTTGTCTTCTTCTTGATGCTACGAATAGAAGCGACTGATGGAGAACCAATCGGAAGCGATACAGCAAGTCGTACACTGTCACACATGGCGCATTGATGCACACACGCCTCGTTCTTGAATGTACAGCGGGAGCAGCTCCACGCTCTGGTCGTCATGTAATCAACTAACCTATAAGAAATGTGACTAGTTTTGTAATTATTTGATATTGTGCCTAGTTTTGTAATTGTTTGAGATTGTGGCATTAACGAGACTAGTTTGGTAATTTACGTATAGTATCATTTTCGTGGTCAAAAACGGTAAACGCCATGCTACTACTCTCCAGTCGTCGAGCTGTGACAACGTGCCGCTCTGTCGTGTCTGCTGCTTTGATCAATACCGTGCGCTTCGAGTCTAGTAGTAGCAGTAGTAATCGTAACGTCCATGCACACGCAACGGTAAAAGTGTATCAAAGTTCTCGAGTGCCCAGCGATGGTCCAGACTTGAACGACTTCTTGCGCAAGTCACAGATGCATGACCATCAGCGTACGGTAGAGACGATACAAGAACCAAGTGAAATGAATTTTCCCATGCGATCGTTAGAAGAGCTCGAGGAAATGCAACAGCAGCAGCCGCAGCGGCAGCGGCGTTCCTTCTTCATTGAGACTTACGGCTGTCAAATGAACTCGGCCGACTCGGAGATTGTGCGGGCCATTTTGTTGAAACATGGCTACATTCCGGCACGTGCAGCTGAAGCAGCCGATGTGCTGCTTATTAACACGTGTGCTATACGTGATAATGCCGAGGCCAAGATCTGGCACCGTCTGGAATCGCTGCGGCAGGTGAAGGCCAAGCTTTTGCGCAGAAAGCAGAAGGTGGTGCAGACCGTGGGTGTTCTGGGCTGCATGGCCGAGAGACTCAAGACGAAGCTGCTTGAGTCCGACAAGATGGTGGATTTGGTGGTAGGTCCAGATGCCTACCGTGATATCCCCAACCTGCTGCATGTGGTGCACGGCAGCGGCGAAACAGCAGTCAACGTGCAGCTGTCATTGGACGAGACCTACGCAGACATTGCGCCCGTACGTGCGGACCCGCACAGCCCGTCGGCGTTTGTGTCGATTATGCGTGGATGCAACAACATGTGCTCGTACTGCATCGTGCCGTTCACGCGTGGACGCGAGCGTAGCCGCATCATGAGCTCCATTGTCGATGAGGTGCGTGCGTTGAGCGACCAAGGTGTAAAGGAGGTCGTGCTACTTGGACAGAACGTCAATTCGTACCACGACAAGAAGTCCGAGGACGCTGCGGAGAAGGGACGCGGCTACGTATCATCCGCCGGGTTTAGCAACATGTTCCGCTCGCGTGATGCACTTGGCTTCCGCTTCGCTGACCTGCTCGACAAAGTTTCGCGTGTTGACCCGGAGATGAGACTCCGCTTTACCTCCCCCCACCCCAAGGATTTTCCAAATGAAGTGCTGGACCTCGTGAACGAGCGTAATAACATCTGTAAGCAGATCCACATGCCAGCTCAGAGCGGCAGCACCACGTTGCTGGAACGCATGCGTCGTGGATACTCTCGTGAGGCTTATCTCGCCCTTGTTGATAACATGCGTACTCGTATTCCTGGTGTTGCCATTTCTTCCGACTTTATTGCTGGCTTCTGTGGTGAGACTGAGGAGGAGCACGCCGACACGATCTCACTGATGCGGCAGGTATCCTATGACCAAGCGTTCATGTTCGCGTACTCGGTTCGCGCTCGTACCCATGCGGCACATCGGATGGAAGATGATGTTTCGCCAGAAGACAAGTTGCGACGTCTGCGCGAGGTCATTGACACATTCAGTGAGGTGGTCACGCGCAAGAATTACGTTGAGGACTCGAACCGTCTGCACATCGTACTCGTACAAGGCGCCAGTCGTCGCTCCACAGATGAAGACCCAAAGCTAACGGGTCTTACAGACACGAGCAAGCGTTGTGTGTTCCCCAATCAAGAAATGCCGGGTTCGTTGCGTGCCTTCACCAAGCAGGCGGGTGAGCTGGCTGCCGAGTTTCTTCCCCTACCAAGTGTCAGATCGGAGGGTGTACATGCTGCTCCTGGTGACTATGTGCTAGTGCGCGTCCACGAAGCTGGCCGCCACACCCTCCACGCTACCCCTGTGGCACGCACCACTCTGCAAGAGGTCGCCGAGTTTGTAAAGCCAGAGTTGCTCGGTGCCCGACCACACTCACTTGAGGCACTGGAGCTTTAGAATAGTAGACACAAGAGAGAAACGAAAGATAGTCAAAGAGACACAAGATAAAGCAGCAAAGGAACATCCAATTGTCCCATTTCACAGCTAAGTTGTCATCTCTGCTGAGACCTAGTGAGTCGCAATCGCACCCTTAGCAGCTTCTGCAGCACGTTTCTGCATCTCCATTTGCATGGTCGAGATCTACTCAGCAATAACAAGTAGACATCAAGTAAGTAGCCTATCATTAAGAGCATAGAGCCACTAATAAAGACAATACATACATTGGTACGAATGCCGACAGCTTCCTTCTCCTTGGCCTCAATCTTCGTAGTCACTTTGTCGCTATCATTCCAGCACAATGTCCCCATTAGTCTCCAATCTATTAAATACCACTAAATCTTCTTCTTCTTACAGTTCGTTATTAATAAACTCAAGACGTTTATTGACGTTCGTCTTGGCCTCGTCAACATCCTGCTTGAGTAGCACAGGACCCACAAGTTTGTACACTTTGGCTTCGTCATCCAACAACTCCAGTTCCTTCTTCACCATATCATTCTCATTCGCTTGTTGTGCGTATGTCTGTCGTTGTGTCGCCAGTACTTGCACCTCGTCCTGCAGCGTCCGATAGCGTGTCATCGCCGTGTCCACCTGATCCTTAAGCTCTGCCATATTTTATATTCTAACGAAAGGGGTACACAAGTGTAACCTTTAGCGTACCCCACTATGTCATAAGAGTGATGGTCATATTGTTGCAGTTACGTTGTAGCTTTAGCTCCGGCGAGCATGTATCTATTGTTAAAAAAGCTTTATCATCTCGTACTTATACGAGAGCATTAATTCATGCCTATAAACATATTGAAAAGTGCCGACATGATGCATGTCGTAACGAGTGCGATCAATCGTTCCATTGCTCTACATCGTCGTCACCTTGTCGTTTCTACAGCCATGAGACACTTGAGTAAGCAGTCGTCTTCTTCTTCTTCTTCTTCTTTTTACAATGCCGAGTCAGTTGCTCGTACTCTCAAGTTACTAGAACGTCGCAAGGTTACGACACTTGACATGGGCATTTTCAAGCGCAAGAAAAAGCCCATTACCATGGTAACGGCCTATGATTATCCATCGGCCATGCACGTGGATTTGGCAGGTTTTGACGTTCTACTGGTTGGTGACTCGCTGGGGATGGTGGAACTGGTACGAGATGGCGTTGAGCAAAGGAAGAGACGAAAGGGTCATTAGTTTTGACTGCTGGACGCTGTGGGTGTTGCTGTTGTGTGGTCCAGGGAATGGACACGACTCTTCCAGTGACGCTGCAAGATATGATTCACCACACTCAAGCAGTCAAGCGGTGCGTTGCTCTGTTTTTCTTACTCTACTGACAGTAGTTTGGGTTGCTAAAAAGAGGGTGCAACGATAGTGGAGCCACCCGTCCGTTGGTGGTCACGGACATGCCGTTCGGCACATGTGAGGGGGCACCATTTGACTCGCTAAAGAACGCTCAACGTCTAATGAAGGTATCACCACGTACTTTGATAGTAGAAGAGGGTTCAAAATGAGTGACGAAGTGACGTAAATTGTTGGGTGTGTCTTCAATACTAGGAAGGAGGTGCTGATTGTGTGAAGATTGAGGGAGGCAAGGAGCGTGCTAAGACGAGTAGGGACGATTCTTTTTTTGGTCGTAGAAAGCAATGCTGCTGGTGTACTGACGAAAGTTTGCGCAATACAGTCAAGACCATTGTCGATGGTGGCATTGCTGTGATGGGACACATTGGTCTTCGTCCCCAACACATCAGTGTTCTGGGAGGATTCCGAGCTCAAGGTCGCACGGGTAATACATTACAATACGGAAGTTATGTTGCTGTGCGTGTACTTTTGTGTCTATTGACGCTTTGATCATTGCCCCACGCAGCTTCACAAGCACGAATGATTATCGAGGACGCTTTGGCCGTGCAGAAGGCAGGTGCGTTTGCCGTTGTGATTGAATGTGTTCCATCGCCCGTTGCCAAGGCAGTGACGAAGATGCTCAAGATCCCGACCATCGGCATTGGCGCTGGCCCCGAGACGGATGGCCAGGTACTAGTTTTCCATGATCTGTTGGGTATGCTCCAGCACCCGCATCACGCGCAGTTTGTTCCCAAGTTCTGCAAGCAATACGCTGACGTTGGTAAACAGATCCGTATTGGTCTTGAGAATTACCGCGATGACGTGGAGAACGGTCGTTTCTCGAACGAGGCATTTTCCCCCTACAAGGTATGTGAACTGTCACGTGACTGCATACCCTTCGACAGCTGTGCTAAATGATACGGTATGATGACAACACAGATGTCGGAAGAAGAAACCCAAAAACTACACGATATGATAGCCAAGGAGTACAACCAGGAAAATAGTGACGGAAACGACGATGTGATGCATTCAGAGGTCACAAAGGTCTATTGAGAGTAGCGATATATGTAAAGCAGTCTAGTTGTGTGCAGATCATTTAGAAATGCAAAGCTGTCTGAAAAGGGCACCATCGTTGTCGCTGCAAGTTCTCTCTTCATTTTTAACTGTGGCCACTCCTGATAGCAATGGATGACCTCTCTCAGGACTCTCATCTCGACACATTGCGTAAACACGACAGCCAGCTTGAAATCGAGGCTTCCGTGTCTGGCAACTTTGGATTCCAGCCATCGCTACTTAGCTTTTGCCAGCTTAATGGGAGGTCTGCTGTTTATGCGGGTAGTGTTCAACTTTTAGTGCCAATCCTTTATAAGCAGTGCTCTGACGTTGGGACAAATCCTTTGCTTTCGACGTATGTGTCCAATTTTGCCTTCATCTTTAGGACCTTCGTGAGAACAACCTGATGCTTCAATCTATGACCAGCTCGGAGAACCTCATCCGAAAGTATCGGATTGATACCGCAAAGCATGAGAAAGTAAATGAAATAAGGATCTCATTGATTAATTAGTCGTCGCCACCGTCGATATCGGCAGGCTCGAAATTTCCAAACTCGTCTCCGTCGTCTTCTTGTGCATCGCTGCTTTCGGCTGCAGCTGCAGCAGCGGTCATAGCCTCCGCCTCAGCTTCGGCAAGCATCTCTTTGTGCATTTCAATAGCCGTTTCATACATACCGAGGTACATTTCGTCCGACACGTCTTCTTTCGTGGCAACAGGCTCCGACAGTTCGTTCAACTCTTTTTCAATCCATTGGTAAGCACCGACAGTGTCCATCCACACACCAATGTTTTGCGAAACATAAACAAATGCTTCTTCAACAGACCCTCGCTTGGGATCCCTGATATCGTCTACGTACTCCATCACTTGGAAGAACGTCTCATGGTAAGCAATCACCACAGCCATGAATGGATTCAAACGAAACGCCTTGCGGAAAGCTGCTTGTACGACCTTTTCCGACGATCCTGATTCTTCAAGCACCTCCCACGACACGTACTCAATAATCACTTGGCAGTACGCCAGTACAGCCGACTCGTCATCCGTGTGTTGTTCAATCAAGGCCCTCGCCTCAGCACCACGACCTTCGTCCACCAACGCACACGCAAGACCCTCACGTGAATGGAAAGAGTCCGTCGTGTCCAAGCTCATACAAAGCTCATAGTTCTTTATCCCACGGTCAGGCATCGCAGCTTCGCAACAAGCAGCAGCAAGGCGTTTCAACAGACTAAACACACAAAGACAAAGTAAGCGACTCAGCCAGCAAATCTGTGCCACTAGACACTACACACAGCCACCTCTTGACTCAATGTAGTACCTAATGTACTCCCTTGTATCCTTGTTCTCTGCCAGTTTTCCCTCCTGCCGCATCTTCTCATACAAGTCAAAAGTCTCCACTGGTTTAGGGAATTCATCACCACACTCGTCCAATTCTCCTGCTGCAATCTTCGCTACTAGTGCCGCCGGTCGAGCCGCACCCGTTAGCTTCCACTCTGATATCAATTTCGGTCCCTTACGAGGTGGAGCCTTAGGCGGCGTCGGGTTCTTGGGGAATGCATGCAACTCCTGTAACTTACGATCCACTAAGCGTTGCAGTTGTACCACACGCATACGCCTTCGGTTCTTCTGTTTCTTGTCCTTATTGGACTCCATACTGTTTACGCAAGTCTGTGCAAATGCCTGCGCTCTGCCTGCATTTGACGAGCGAGTGCCCTTCCGCTTCTTCGGTTTGCCTCCCATGCCTGACTGGCGAACAGCTCCCATTTGGAGTGAAAGTGATAAGAAGTAGCTATATCTTTTTATACGGGTCTAAATTTTTCAAATAAAAATCTAAAAATTACCAAATCGACGTGTAAGTGGCTGGCTAGTAGACAAGATGATGCGGAGATTGGCGGTTCGTTGCCGTATGAAGCCGTTGACGGCAGGTGCGCGTTCATTTGCAGGGAAAGGAAAAGGTGGTGCTGCTGTGGTGGAAGAAGCTGTGGATCTAATGAAGGTGGTGCCCACAAACATTTTCAAGGATGGCACGCACCCGGAGCTTAAAGACAAGTCTGAATACCCCGAATGGCTCTTCACGTTGCTGGATCCCAAGCCTACACTGGGTGAATTGGGACGAGCTGGCTTTGATAATCTAGAGCTGGAGGACCAACGTCGCTACCTTGTGCTGCTCAATCGGCAGTTGATCAAGACGAGCAATGCTGATAAGGCCAAGAAGTAAAGCAGACTATAGACGACGACCGACACAGAGATGACAGTGTAGGACATAAAGACACACAGATGGAAAACAGGAGATGAACAATGGAGACGAGTATGTGTCAGCATTTTGCACGTGAAAAGGATTGTCATGAGAGTCGCTGATGTCTAGACTTTTAGCTTGTTGCTACCGCTGTGGCTTGCTCTGAATCAGGTACTACAGCTGGTGACAAGTCCTCACCTCTTGTCTGACATGAGATTATTCTTTGAAATGCCAACAATAAAATGTCTCTTAGGAAGTGGTCGGAAATCCTCCTGGCACGAGCTGTAGAATGCAGAGAAAGCAATTGCGTCATGTATCTACACAAGTATAGCGGATACGGTGCCTCAACAAAAGAACAGGCTGCGTACCAGACAGACGTTGTTGCCGTTGAGCAGAACTTGGTCCAACTTCACCTCACGCTTTCCCTCCGGAGTAATCTCGCTATTGACAAGAGAAACACCAGACGTAAAGAGTCATCAACAATCAAGATCAGTGACAAAATTGCACCACTGCTGTCTCTCTTTTAGCAACGTACTACTCGGTAACGTCGTCCAGCACCATGTCTATCATCGAAAACAAGAGCAACAGAGCATACGAACTCAAGGTTCAGCATTTCTCGTATCAATTGACAGCACACACGTCACTTACTAACGTAATCGTCAAAACCTCGGAGTGTACCGAGAAATTCCTTGTCACCCTTCATGATGATCCAAAGCTTCGAGCCAATGCATTTGTCAATTAACTCTACCGACAAGACAAGGGTATCATACATACATCAATGCATTATATCTCATTAGTATTTCAATATATTAAACAATACAAAACCCATGAATCGGTCACCTACCGAGCGGTAAGATGCGGCCTTGGGACATGATTTACTGGTTGCGTTTTTGACTTTTCATAATGTGCAATACACCAATGTGATGTAGCATACACTAATTCATGTATTGATAACGTACATGGGCTATACAGGATGGAGCAGGATCAAGAGGAACAAGAGCATTACAAGTCAGTACTCTTGTCATTTCGCGAGTATGAACCTTTTATGATGCGTGAGATATATCGGCGTAAGAAACACTTGCAGTCGATGCCTATTGATATGCAGCGACGTCTTCCCCAGTCCTCCACGATCCGAAATCTCCACCATTTTGTCAATGCAGCACACCACAACCAGGTTTTCTTTGAACGTGTTGTACAGGCTCAACTAAAGACTGGACCAGACTATGAATTGCCGGTGGTAACACCCAAGACGTCACTGCAAAGTCCTCCTCGTCACTTTTCCAAGCTTAAGAGCACACTGCATCAGTTTGTCCGCGATTGGTCTGATGAGGTGCGTCAATATCTAGAGACCCACTGCAGTGTTCGCTGTATTCTGACTATTCTGACTGGTTATGGGGATATTTGGTGTGTTTTTGTAGGGCAAGAAAGAGCGTGAAATGTGCTATACCCCCATCATTAAAGAACTGCGTCGTGTCCTGCCTTTGAATCCAGACAACACGTAAATGGCGATGGCTGACTCTGTTTCTTTCATCTGTAACTCAATTAATTGCTGAGACTTTTTATATTATTCGGACAGAACGGATCGCCCTCGAGTTCTACTTCCTGGAGCAGGACTGGGACGACTTGCGTTGGAAATCGCCTCCAAGGGCTACTCGGCCCAGGGCAATGAGTTTTCGTATCAAATGCTGTTTGCAAGCAACTTCATTCTCAACTGGTAGGCTTTTCGAGTGTACAATTACCTATCCTCTGGCTTGACGTATGCTGTGTCATCTCATACTAATAGGGTAACGCAGCCGTTGCAGTTCGAGATTCATCCTTGGATCCATAATCCATCTAATGCGTTGACAATCACGGACTTATTGCGTCCCGTGGCGATCCCGGATGTAGCACCAGCTGAGCTTCTGGGTCTCAATAATGGTGGCACTGCTACTCCTCCCGACTTCTCTATGTGCGCTGGCGAGTTCCTAGAGGCATACGCAAACGACAAAGGTAGGACAGGCTTCTATATCTACAAATGCAGCGATTTCGAGACTAATGCTTCTATCTTGTCGTATAGAGTGTTGGGACTGTATTGTAACGTGCTTTTTCATTGACGCGGCACCGAACGTGATCGAGTACATTGCAGCGTTCGAGCGTCTACTAAAACCTGGTGGCTACTGGATCAATCTAGGTCCTCTGCTCTACCACTGGCAAAACAGTAGCGATGGTGACGATGAGCGCTACGAGCAGTCAGTGGAGCTCTCGTACGAGGAGATTAAGCACGTCATGAACACGTACAATTTCCGTATTCAGAAGGAATCACAGCGCGAGTGTTTGTACACAAACAATGTCAAGAGTATGATGAAGACAGTCTATAATTGCGCCTTCTTTACTGCCGTCAAGGAAACTGGACACGTCTAGAGTGACAAGAGAATAAGACAAGAAAAAAAAGACGAAACTCTTTATATCTGATGCTGTCGACTACTTGAAGCGTAAGTAGATATTTTCCTTCCTATGGCCTTCCTTTCCTCTTCCATTCTTTTTTAAATAGTAGCTCCAAAACATTTCAATCAAGGTCATCGTCGTCATAGTCGTCGACTAGCGGCTTCATAGATGCTGCATGCACCGGCACTTCGTCACTCATACGCTCCATCTCAGGGTTTCCCTCTACGTTCATTTCGCTTTCCATCTGTCGCTTCAGTCGCGCGTGTAACTGCTTGGACTGCAACGAGCTCGGCATTCTCGATTCCTTCGGTGGCGTCTCCATGTTTTGTAATAATGCATTCAATTGGCTAAAATCTTTGCTGACATTATGTGCACCACACCATTCGCTTCGACTCGTCATTTTCTCCCAAATCTTTTATCGATACCGTCGCAATGGAGCGACTCCAGCGTCTTTTTGGCAATTTACCGGGACTTCCAGGACAAGGTGGACCTGGTGCTGATGGTCCACTGGTTGATACGGCTGAGAAGGTGCATATTTCATCTCTTGCGTTGCTGAAAATGCTCAAACATGGTAAAAAACTTGCCTGTCAGTTTATTATCTTGTAAAAATAATATTAATTTTGACAATTTTGTTAGGACGTGCTGGTGTACCGATGGAAGTAATGGGGTTAATGCTGGGCGAGTTTGTGGATGACTATACGGTCAATTGCATTGACGTATTTGCCATGCCACAGAGTGGAACGGGCGTGAGTGTGGAGGCTGTGGACCCGGTGTTCCAGATGAAAATGTTGGAGATGCTCAAGCAAACAGGAAGAGCTGAAATGGTCGTAGGCTGGTATCATTCCCATCCTGGTTTTGGCTGCTGGCTTTCAGGTGTTGATATCAATACACAACAAAGTTTTGAGGCCCTCAATCCACGTGCTGTAGCGGTGGTTGTGGATCCGATTCAGAGTGTGAAAGGCAAAGTGGTGATTGATGCCTTCCGTCTTATTAATCCACAGCTCATGATGATGGGCCAAGAACCTCGACAAACGACCTCGAATATCGGCCATTTGAACAAACCATCGATCCAGGCACTGATTCATGGACTTAATCGTCATTACTATTCGATCGCTATTGATTACCGCAAGAATGAACTAGAAGAGCAAATGCTTATGAATTTACACAAGAAAACGTGGAGTGATGGGCTTATGCTCACCAAGTTCGAAGATCATTCGAAGGAGAACGAGACAACTGTTGAGGTGCGTGTGTGCTTAAACGTGTGCTGCAATGCGTCTGTCTTTGTTGACGTTTATTGCTGGTGTTGTTGTATTTGGCAACTGTAGACGATGTTAGCTCTTACGGAGCAGTACAATAAACGGGTGCAGGAGGAGGAAGAAAAGACGCCCGAGGAACTCGAGGTGCTAAATGTTGGCAAATTGGACCCCAAGAAGCACCTGGAAAACGACGTGTACGATCTCATGGCTCTCAATACAGTCCAGTGCCTCGGCGCAATGCTTGACACAATCGTGTTTTAGAATACAGCGACGGGCGTCAGACGAAGAGAAAGCGACTGTAGTAGGCACGTAATACATCCTGTCTGCTCTATGCGTCATTTTCTTGTTTAGTTCATTCATTTAGTCTTCAAAACTCTAGAATAGAAATGCAAGGATCTACCACTATACATGCAGGAGCCATAATTATGATAGCTCCCGCAGCTCATCAACCTTAACAGGTCGGTTCTCCGCAAGTGACTTGTTTGCTGCCAGAGCCAGCAACAAAGCCTCACGACCATCAGCACCACTTACAGGAACTGAAGCACCATTTGTAGTGCATACTCGAATGAAAGCCTCCATCTCTGCCACATACGCGTCCATATAGCGCTCCAAGAAGAAGTGAAGCGGTAAGTCACGACGCACGTTCTCTTTCGTAGACACGACCACCTGGTTCGAATGCTTGTTGTCACATGCAACGGAGCCCTTTGAGCCCAGAACCTCCACGCGCTGATCGTAGCCATACGCGGCCTCTCGATTGTTCTCGATGTAGCAGATGACACCGTTACGAAATTTGAGCAGCACCACGGCCGTGTCGATGTCGCCCGCTGCTGCAATGTCGGCATTCACGCTCTGCGCCATGGCGTAGACCTCATCTACCTCGTCACCGATAAGGAATCTCGCCATGTCAAAATCGTGGATAGTCATGTCACAAAACAACCCCCCAGAGCTTTTGATGTAGCTTATTGATGGTGGACCAGGATCACGACTTGTGATACGCAGCATATTAACTTTGCCGATCTCATCATGGTCAAGAACCTGCTTGATACGTACAAAATTGGCATCAAAACGACGATTAAATCCAATCATAAGCTTCACACCAGCATCGTCCGTCTACACAATCATCAACATACAGCGTTGAGTGTTACAGGCAACAGTTTGTTCCAGTAGTATCGAAAAATAGTCGACAAAGAGGAGTACACACCGCTTTGATGGCCTTATTGACGGCAACCAGCTCAAGATCCACGGGCTTTTCACAAAAGATCTGCTTCTTATTCTTTGCTGCTTCAACAATCTGAGACGCGTGCAAGGCCGTGGGGGAGCAAATGACAACGGCATCGATCTCCGGATCACGAAAGAGCTCGGACGTGTCTTTGGTCCAGCGTGGAATACCAAATTGTGCAGCCACCGTCTCTGCCACATTATCAAAGGGGTCGGCAATCTACAAGAACAACAGACAACGCCATTCGTTTTGTTAGTGACATGACAATGGGCCACGTCAGTCGGTATTTGTATAAACCATAGCGATCGTAGCTCCAGCACGTTGTAGACTCTGCGCATGTACTTTTCCAATCCGTCCAGCACCCACGAGACCCACGCATAGAGGCTTGGAGAAATGGGAATTGAGCATAATAGGGTATGTGTATGTGTAATGTATATAGATAAATCTCTCTATTACTCTATAGACTTGATATACGTAACGAGTTACAAAATGAATTTAAACACGTAGAGACAAGTACGTGACCGTCGTATTGTAACCATTACATCAAATACTGATTTTTAGCCAATGAATGATGATTAGTTACATACTCGACGAGTTTAGGCTATTGAGTATGGTATACCATAAAGCAATAAATAGTAATAGCAGATGTCTGTCTGTGTACGTTCAAGTGTGGATTCTCATCACGGCATAGTGACATCGACAAGATATAAAAGATCTACAATCATCTTTGCTTCTTGGAGACTGCATTTGTGCGTGTCTGTTAGAAATGAAGCTGGCTTTATGTGAAAACTACTTTTTTGTCTGACCTATTGTAGCTTTGGCTTTGACGAATTGGATCTGGATCAAGAGATTATGTGCCATATGAGGGTTTCCTGAGTGTATAAGTCACTCGCTGTTAATAGATCGTGGTCTAATTAATGGATAGTGTCCGTGCCGTGAAAGAATTGAGGCGACGCAGCTGGAGAGGCAGCATAATTCGCTTCATCGTGATTATGAGGACGCAAAAATCACATATTTACTGAAGAACTGGCTATGTGGGAGTGATTGACTACAAAATTGGATCGAAACGGTAATGGCAGAACATGGGAACAAGAACACAACTACCGATGACAATCTTGATGAAAAATGAAGTTGGTGATGTTGACTCCAATAACAGCCAGAGGAAAGGGGCAGCCAACAGCAACAGGGGTTCAACATGATAGATAGCGACAGTAATGGCAACGGTGACAGCAAGAGCGAAATGAATGAGGTCCGAGGCTGTAGCTAATCGTGTGTTGCTACTCACTGTGTTATTAGCAAGTCACGCGCAAAGGGCTATAATGAAAGAGTAAGAGTGGCAGGTGTTCTAGGGGAAAGTTGCCTTCTATCTGATCGCAAAGTACCTCCGTATGGACTTGCATGACTGCAGGCATCAAGTTTTGTCAGTAGCAAAGGCAACGAAGACTGCCACATATATTTTTACGACGGTGGGGAGGTAATATGACCATGCAGAAGTCATGAAAGTATCATAAGACTTTTGAGGAAGGCGGTAAGAGTAATTGGGACAATGTCGAAATTGTGGTATGAGATTCGCCTGTTCTGCAGCTACTTCGCCTGTTCTGCAGCTACAGGTGACACCGGAAATGCTTTGCTTGGACTAAGAAGCTGCTATGGCTCGTGTTGTCTATTTCCATTTGTTCGAGACTCATATTGCTTTCAAAGTGTTCAGGACGCCTCGAGTGATAAGAAGTCTATACTCGTCTGTGCGCCGCTTTTGGTTCTACAGCGCAAAAATCGACAGCGACTCTCAATTCTTCGTTACGCGCTCTAGCTGACCTCATACTTGGCCGAGGTTCTTGCACGTTGTTAATGTCGAGCGACAGATACAAGGAGCAGCCTGTTCGCCGAGTGATGTTCCGATTATTTTTCGACGAGACAGCTTCTGTATCTTGCCAGGAGCTGACCTGGACTTGTAGTCTCGGATCGATTCGCTCGACAGCGACTGCACATACTCCGAATATGAATGGGCAGCGGTAGGGGGGTCCTACGATTGATATTTAACGTCTTGTAAAGTGATCAATAAGCACTTCCTACGAAGTTAGGCAACCCAGTGAAAGTGTAGTAGTATTCCCAGCAATGAAAGTCGACATCTCCTCTATTATAGCATTCTTGGATTCGGCGTCTTCGTCAGAAAGAAAGTCGAGCAATATCAGACACGAAGTTCATCAACCTTAACAGGTCGGTTCTCCGCAAGTGACTTGTTCGCTGCCAGAGCCAGCAACAAAGCCTCACGACCATCAGCGCCACTTACAGGAACTGAAGCACCATTTGTAGTACACACTCGAATGAAAGCCTCCATCTCTGCCACATACGCGTCCATATAGCGCTCCAAGAAGAAATGAAGCGGTAAGTCACGACGCACGTTCTCTTTCGTAGACACGACCACCTGGTTCGAATGCTTGTTGTCACATGCAACGGAGCCCTTTGAGCCCAGAACCTCCACGCGCTGATCGTAGCCATACGCGGCCTCTCGATTGTTCTCGATGTAGCAGATGACACCGTTACGAAATTTGAGCAGCACCACGGCCGTGTCGATGTCGCCCGCTGCTGCAATGTCGGCATTCACGCTCTGCGCCATGGCGTAGACCTCATCTACCTCGTCACCAATAAGGAATCTCGCCATGTCAAAATCGTGGATAGTCATGTCACAAAACAACCCCCCAGAGCTTTTGATGTAGCTTATAGATGGTGGACCAGGATCACGACTTGTGATACGCAGCATATTAACTTTGCCGATCTCATCATGGTCAAGAACCTGCTTGATACGTACAAAGTTGGCATCGAAACGACGATTGAATCCAATCATAAGCTTCACACCAGCATCGTCCGTCTACACAATCATCAACAGACAGCGTCGAGTGTTACAGGCAACAGTTTGTTCCAGTAGTAGCGAAAAATAGTAGACAAAGAGGAGTACACACCGCTTTGATGGCCTTATTGACAGCATCCAGCTCAAGATCCACGGGCTTTTCACAGAAAATGTGCTTTTTATTCTTTGCAGCTTCGATGATCTGCTCTGCATGTTTATCTGTGGGTGAGCAGATGACTACGGCATCAATCGCTGGATGACTAAGAACTTGGGACGCGTCGTTGGTCCAATTGGGGATACCGTATTTCTTGGCGATCTTCTCGGCGCGATAAGGTTCTGATTCCTAGCGATGGCAAGAATAGGGCAACGTTAGTCCTTCATTACGACACTTGAAAATTAGAGCAGCATATTGTACACGGGTTGGCAGTTGAATAAAGTGGACCACAGCGCTCGTACGTTGGATGCACTGGGCGTGGACTTGTCCGATGCGTCCGGCACCTACGATTCCCACACGAAGAGGACGATTGGAGACGACTGAGGACGTCGTCATGGAACGAACAGAGGAACAACGTAGAGCCAGACTGTGAGCTTGATGGAGCAGCGACGACATTCGTAGTCTGAGACGAGGAATCAGATTGTGATTACTGAACAACGCTTAGCGGATACCGTCATGTCCAAGCCGGAAGTTGAAGCTGTCAACCCATCCTTCGTGGTCATATTTGGTGTATAAGACACTAGCTGGAGCATTTAGTCAATTTGATGGGATTAATTTGTCACTTCTTCGACTGGCACAGGGCGAAGGACGCAATAGTGACGATTCGTCCCGCATTTTGATCGATTCGTCCCGCATTTTGATCGATTCGTCAGCATGGGCGAAGCTTTAAACGCATTGGAAAACGCCTCGCGTCGGGAATTGCAAGCACTAGCTAAAAAACTGCAATTGTGCCGAGCCAATGCCAAGTCGAATGTAATCGTGAGCCATGCGATGCAGTTCATGGACAACCACCCAAAGGACGGCGAGCAGCAGGTGCTAGACGCCTTGGGCGGCAGTGGGACCACAGTGTCAGTAACGTCACCTGTGACCACAAAATTGAACACGAAGAAGGAAGCTGAGAGTCGTAAACAGCCAGAGGATGAGAGTGATAAGCAGCCAGAGGACGAAAGTGACAAGCAGCCAGAGGACGAGAGTGACAAGCAGACAGAGGATCAGAGTGAAAAGCAGCCAGACGAAAAGAGTGACAAGCAGATAGAGGACCAGAGTGACAAGCAGCCAGAGGACGAACCAGAGACCAAGAGCGCAAGCGCTGCGACTAATCGGGTGATGCCTATGGACAAGGACAAGTCAAAGAGTAAGCACGTTCCGTTTGATACAGCCACTATCACGTCCCCTCCTATCGCAGCGCCGTCTGCTAAGAGCTCGAAGCCTAATGTGACTGCGTCATCTTTGCCTAAGAAGTCATCTACTACTACAGTTAAAACTCAGCCAACGTCTGTCGAGAACAAGAAGGTTGATGGTAGGAAGAAGGGTACTACGGCTACTACAAAGTCGGCATCGATCAGCAAGAAGGTGGAAAGTAAAAAGGATACTACGGCTACTTCAAAGTCGGCATCGATCAGCAAGAAGGTGGAAAGTAAAAAGGCACGTAAGGCTGTGGAAGCTCTTGTCAAATCTGTAGCTGATTTGACATTTGTTGGAGAGTCGCGTGTGCGCTGTTCCACTACGGGACACGAGATGCTGGCAGACGTGAACATTATCAATATGTACCTTCACGGCAAGCGCTACCAGAAGGCACGCAACCTCAAGCTCTCCTTTGCAAAGTACGCGCCAATGTTTGTGGATCACCCTGACGAGTCAAAGACAGACATGCTATGGTGCAATGTGACGGAATCGACCATTGCCCGTGATGAAAAGCGTGTGCAAGACCACATGACCGCTCCCAAGTATCAGAAGCTGTTGTCTAGTTGGAAAAAGCACGAGGCCGCAATGAAGAAAAAGGAAGAGGAAGAGAATGAACGTCGGGAAGCTCGCATTCAAATGGCAAAGAGGAAGAGACTCGAAGCTGCCAAGGAAAAAGATGACAACGCGGTAGTGAGTGAGCGGCCGATGAAGCGAAAGCGTCTAGCTACCAATTTGGATAAGTAGAACACGGGAGTTTGTGTGTATTTCATATTATTCCAGTAGCTACAACTACACTCCATTGTCCTGTCACATGTCGGTTGATCATCGAAAGTTCTCGAATAGGTTCGTAACTCGGTGCAAGTGACCTCACTTTTTAATTTGCCATCGAAGACGCAGTTGATGATGTTTGGAGGAGATTCTGCCCTTCCTTTTTCTCGCCACTCTGACGTATTGCATGGGGCCGTGCCAACGGACCCCAAGGAGTTGGAGAATCTTGTAGCGGAGCTCAAACGCCGAGGCAACGCCGCTTTCCAGCAGAACGCGTTGGAGGAGGCCGAAGTTCTCTACACGCGAGCCATCACTATCAACGAGAGCGATCCGCTGCACCAGCAGCATATTTTCTTTGCCAACCGCTCGGCCGCACGTTGCTCCATGGGCAAGGCGGACCAGGCGCTGGAGGATGCGGAAGCTTGTGTGGCACTGAATGCCACGCACGCAAAGGGATTTTTCCGGAAGGCACAAGCGCTTGTCAAGTTGAGACGCTTTAAAGAGGCGCTGGTCGCCCTTGACAACGCCAAGACTCTGGAGCCCAGCAACAAGTCGGTAATGACGCTGTACACAAAGGTGCAGGAACTGGCCAAGAACCAAAAGGAAGCACCGATCATGTCAGCTCCTAAGAAGGTGGTGACGCGCATGGAAGTAGTACCGTCCAGCTCTTCTACTACTACCCCAGAGACGACCACTTCAACAGCTGCTAGTTCTACAGTCGTGGATGATGACGCTGAAATTGCCGGTCACGTCCGTGGCTATAAGACGTTGGCAGATGGACGCGTTACCACGTTCTTTAACAATGAGCTCACAGAGGAAGCAAAGCAGCTCATTGGCGACATTGCCCCCAAGAAAGTGGAGGATCCTAACAAGGTGCAAATTAAGAGTGTAAATGGTGGATCGGCCTGGAATCAGGGCAACACTTTTGAAGAAAAGGACATGACGGCATGGGCCAAGAACAAGTTGGAGAAGATTGTCTCGGGGATCTCGGCTCCTTTAGGCACAGGCGAAGGTGTCGTGACCTCACTGGAAGTGTCAAACCTCGAGGGGGATGCGTCAATTGCGGTAGTGCGTGGTGCAAAGCGTTACATCTTTGACTTTGCATTCACATTGGCGTGTACGTTGAAACAAGGAGACGATCTGGTGACGGGTGATTTGAAATTTCTGGACTTGAGCTCGGATTGCGGTGGTGATTACGATGTAGAGGCTATTGTTCCTTCTCGTTATCAGTCGGAAGGTGGGAAGGCGCTGCATGCAGCACTCAACTCGTCGTCATCGCCGTTCCGCAAGGCTCTTGCTGCCCAATTAGCGTCATTCGTACAGGATTACCACACGTTTTAATACTAATACAAGGGATTGAGTCAGCTCAATGTTGAAGTCATCAAAAGTGAGTTACCGGTATACCGGTCTTATGATGGTACCACAATGATGGCACACCAGTTTCAATGGCGAGCATAGCTCGACAAGCGCTCCGGACATTGCAGCCATCTTCCTCCTATACTGAACCAACCTACGTTTGTCTTTTTTTTAGAGAATGTCAGCTATTGACGTTACTTCCTCTTCTGTTGAGATGGACGATGCTGGGAAAAAGATGGTGGCTGTAGGTGGTATGCAGAACATGGCATGGGCCTCGGACACGTCCAAGTTTGGCTTTAAAATGTTAGTCAAGATGGGCTGGTCGGCTGGAAAAGGCGTGGGTAAAGACCTGCAGGGTCAAGCTACACACGTAAAGATTGCGCGGCGGTCACAGAATTTGGGCTTGGGCTGCAGTCTCAAGCAAGCGGAGATGCAGGGCTGGTCGGAGACGGCCGGAGGATTCGCAGATGTGCTCAAGACACTCAACGAATCGTATGGTAGTAAGGCCAATTCAGACGGTGATAGTGCCAGCGAGAGCTCCAGTAGCAAGAATAGAAAGACCAAGAAGGATAAGAAGAGCAAGAAGAGCAAGAAGAAGAGCAAAAAAGTCGAGAAGCCTACAGTCTCGCGACGGCTGCATTACCGCAAACGACAGATAAACAAGGACGCCAAGAATTATGGAGCTGTTGAGATGGCAGCCATTTTAGGCGTTGCATCATTATCCTACAAACAGAGTGGGTAAACATACTTTTCGTTAGCGTCGCCATTAGCGACCACCTACGAGTTTCATTAGCGTCTCCATATGTTTATGACTATTTACGAGCCTTTGGGCCAAAGAATACATGGCTCCTATTTTTACTAAGTAATACCCATACCTTTTTTTCTGGTATCTTACATAATAATTGTATAATCCCATAACCTTTCTTTTGAAATACCTGTTAAATCCGATTAAATTGACTTACTGGTTGTGAAGAGCTCATTACGTTATCATTGGCCAGCAGTGAACATGGCGAGCGTTTTTGTACGGAATCTGCCGTTTGGTGTGACGCAAGAAGAGCTTGAGCATGTGTTTGGTAACATTGGACCTGTCAAGAAGATTGATGTTATTAAAGACAAGGGAAAACGCAAGAACGAGAGCCTCACACGCGGTTTCGCCTTTGTCAAATTGTAATGTGCAGTCTATGGAGAGCAATAGATTGGATGCTAGTAGCATATATAATGGTTAATATTCTTTTATTTACTGTTGCTGTAGTGCTGTGGAGAGTGACGCAGCTGTGGCTGTCGAGAAACTCAACAAGACGGATTTCCAGGGCCGCAAAATGCTCATCGGTACGATTAGTTTGACTGCTATAGAGAGAGATTGAGCTGATTACTTTTTGATAGACTATGCAATGGAGAAAGGAAAACGTCGAGGAGCTGCTGGATTAGACAAGTTTGTTGCTGATGAGAAGCAAAAGCAGGAAGTAAAGCAGGAGCCAGAAAACGTGCAGATGGAGGAAATAGAGCAAACAGAGCAGGAGAAGACGAAATTGGAACAAAAGTTGTCAAAGGAAGAACGTCGTGCAGCCAAAGCTGCTGAAAAAGCGATAAGGGAAGAACGTCGTGTAACTAAAGCTGCCGAAAAGACAGCGAAGACGGAGTCCAAAGTGAAAGAGGAGGCGGACGAAAAGTCTGCTGAGGATGAGATACAAGAGAAGACCAAACCAGCCAAGGTTGAAGAGGAAGTCAAGGTCAAGGCCACACCTACGACGGTGGCTAAAGCTCTGACTCAATCGAGCACTCAGACGATGACAAATGCACAGAGCGAGCGCAATGCGCGCCGTCGGCAGCATCGTGAGTTCTTGCGCGACGTAGAACGCCGTAAAGAGGAGCAAGCAAGCGTTGAGGAAAAATCTGTGCTCATTTTTGGTTTGGGTGCTGGTGTTACCCAGAAGCATGTGCATAAGAAAGTAAAAAAGATTGGCGCTGTGGAGAAGGTTGAACTTAAAGAGGAGGCTCGCACTGGCAAAACTTACGCCTTGGTGCAGTTTAAAATCACAAAGGACGCGGCGCTGGCTGTGGCTAAGCTGGACCACCACATTTTCAAGGGTTTAATGCTGCAAGTGAAGAGTGCAGCTAGAGCTACCGTAGCCGGTGATAAGGAAACAGCAGGGAAACCGGGTCATCCGAAACTTGCATCGGAGGCAGAAGGGTTGCGCCTTATTGTGCGTAACTTGGCTTTCCAGACTACGGAAGAGGATTTAGAGAAACTTTTTGAGGTGCATGGTCCGCTGTTCGAGGCTCGCATCGTGCGTATGCCAGTAGAAAAGATTGAGCAGAACAGTGACGAGACAGATAAAGAGGCTACTTGTGAACCAGTTCTTGGACGTAGCCGCGGATTTGGCTTTGTTCAGTACCGCGACGTGGCTGATGCGCGTGGTGCTGTGGAGAAGCTGAATGGAACGAAGCTAAAAGGCCGTGAAATGATTGTGGATTTTGCGCTATCTAAGACGAAGTATATCGAACAGCAAAAGAAACAGGAGGAAGAGATAGTACCTTCCACAGTTTTGGAAAATGATGATGACGATGAGAAGGAGGCTAACAGCGGTGACGAAGATGAAGATCAGCTCGAAATGGTCACCGATGACGAGGCGGATGCTAAATCGGATGGTTCGGGGGATGATAAAGAAGAGCATGAGAAAGCTGCTAGCTCGCCTCCTAGAGAGGACACAGAGGCACAACGTGAGCGCACGCTCTTTATCCGTAACCTGTCTTTCCAAACGACAGAGGACGGACTGCGCGAGTTCTTTGAAACTTTTGGGGCTATTGAGTATGCTCGCATCGTTTATGAAAAAGGGTCAGGTCTGTCGAAAGGAGTTGGATTTGTTCGCTTGAAATCGGCTGATGTGGCTGCGAAAGTCTTGAAACGCGGTGAACAACCGCAAGTTGACGACAAAAAGAAACACAAGAAGGACAACAGGAAGGACAATAAGAAGGAAAGTCTTTTTACATTGTCTGCTCTGGCTAACGGTGGTGACGACGCCCTGATGCTGGACGGACGTCAGCTTATCCTGTCACGAGCTGTGTCAAAGACTGATGCTGAGTGTCTAGCTGATTCCAACGCTCGTGAGCGTCGCCGTCTGGATAAGCGTAACTTGTACCTGGCATACGAAGGCACACTCAACGTGAACAAGACGGCGGATGCCGAGCTGGAGTTGCCGAAGATGGACATTGACAAACGCCGACGCGCCATCCGCGAGAAGAAGCTGAAGCTGCAGAACCCAATGTATTTTGTGTCACCCGTGCGTCTTTCAGTACGTAATCTGTCCACAACGTTGGATGATCGCAAATTGAAGAAGCTCTTCCATGATGCAGCGAGTACTGGTGTGCTTTCCGGTATTGTGGATCGCTCAGAAGTAAAGCCAGAGCTGCTGTCCAAAGGTGGGAACCCTTCGGTGAAGGTTCGCATGGCCAAGGTGGTGCGTGACATGGAGTCAGCGAAGACTGGTAAGGATCCGCGGTCGCGCGGCTACGGTTTTGTCGAGTTTTCAGAGCACACGCACGCGTTGGCTGCTCTGCGTGTTTTGAACAACAACCCTAAGTACACGTCGTACGCTGCTGGCCGAGTTGCTACTTCTGGTGCCCCTGATAGCTCAAAATCACGTCTTATCGTGGAATTTGCGCTAGAAAATCATGGCAAGCTAAAGTTGCGTGAGAAGCGTGCTGCTGATTCTGCCAAGAAGCGTGAAGAAGAGCGTGCACTAAAGGAAGCACAGGGTGAGGACGGCAAAGACGTGGAAACGGCGAAGAAAAGTCGTGGTCAGCGTCAGCGTGAGAACAAGAAACTACGTGCTCTGGCTAAGGTCGAAAGTACGGCTGAAACGGAGGGTGGAAAGACGAAGGCTAAGAAGACAAGTAAGGTGGTCAAGGAAATAAAGCAGCAGCAGCCGAAGAAGCGGAAACGCGCTGAAATTTTGAATAATGATGCCGACGATGATGCGCTGGCCTCTCTGGAGACGGCCCATATCGTGAAGAAGAGCAAGGCGCTGTCTCGCAGCCAGCGAAAGAACACGAAGGAGACCGAGAAGGAGAAGTCGTTTGAGGAGATGGTGCAAAGTTACAAGAAGGAGATTTTTGGTGAGAAGCCTGTGGCGAAAGGTATGTTCAAGGAAGATGAAAGCATGAAGGGCGCAAATCGCTGGTTTGACTGATTTGGAGCCCGTCGTTACAAAAGAAGACCATGGCTTATACGTGTATGTATGAACGGACATATAGACTGCTTGCATGACTATTTCTTGACGTTCTCTCCTTTGATGCACCTCCGTCTAGCAAAATATTATTATGCGTAAGTACGTGACGATTGTAATGTCTTGCATTTGCAGCTTGGCCTTTTCTTCGTCTCGTGGCTCCGAAAACTGAGGTGCAGTCTTCCTCATCGACCTAGGCACGAAATGTTGTTGGCTGTCCTGTCATGATTCGGAAACAAAGCGAAGTAACGAGAAAGACTTTAGTCTCTATTGGTGAGAGATTATTGGAGACCAGTCGTGATCACGCTGTTTCGGTGGCTAGATTTACGGTAGGATGAATTAAAGTTAAATGGAGTTTAGCGACAAAGTGTTCACGTGGTGCCAGTTGCAACACCACCGACACAATACGCCTCACCCATTTTATTACAGCTTGTTCTTGTAAAAGACAATCTTGCCATCGTCCTCGACAAATTTGCAGTGTGTGTATGATCTCCACACCGCCAATGGGACGGGCGTAGTGTCTTTAAGGTAGAACTTGCCCAGCAGTGGTTTCATGGCTTTCGTGGCCTCCTCACAATGGTAAAATGGCATCTTGGAAAAGATGTGGTGGCACACGTGCGTGTCCACAATGTGATGCACCACCGAATCCAAGTACGACCCGAACGAACGATCCACCGTGCACAATGCACCACGCAACCAGTTCCACTCACCCTCTCGAAAGTGTGGAATGTACGTGTCCGTGTGCTGCAGGAATGTAATTAGCACCAAATAGGCGTTCACGATGAAGTAGGGTACGACGTAAAACTTGACCATGGTGTAGAATGAAAAGGTGTGCACCAACACAGCGAGCACAGCGAGCATTAACACGAGGAAGATGTCACTTAGTACGATCATCCAGCGCTCGCGATCCGAGTAAATGGCCGAGTACGGGTTAAAATGGCTGCACGCCTTGCCCGAGTACTTGGTCGGGCCTGTGGCATTGAAAAACAGGTAGCCGGGGTTCCAACCAATAACCAACATGTTCACAATGCGGTAGAGCTGATACAGCGGTGAGTCCTCCAAAGTCTCATCCCACGAGCTGGAGATCGCAGAGCGGGTAACAGGTACAAATACCTCGTCATTTTCACAGCTGCCCGTGTTCGAATGGTGTTGACGATGCGAAATGCGCCAGCTGTGGTACGGCACAAGCAGCGCCGAGTGTAGTACGAGACCAATCATGTTGTTGACTGTCTCGCTAGAGCAGTAAGATTGATGGCCACACTCGTGCGCAACGACCCAAATACCCGTCAGGTAAGTACCTTGGAAAAACCAGTACAAAGGCCAGAGCAGGTAAGCAGCAACGCCCATCTGATCAATAAAAGTTGCCGCGTAAAAGAGTGCGACACACGTGATCAAGTTCTTCATCATGTAGTATGTGGAAGTGACAAAGGAGCGTTCAAAGCAGTGCTTGGGAATAGCCGCTCGTAGTTCACGCAGTGAAAAGTGCGGTAATTCCAGTGGCAGTGGCGCTGGAGCACCCTCGACGTGCTTGTAGCCTGCCTTAGCGAGCTGACGTTGCTTGGCTTCGCTCTCTGTGGCTTGTTTGGTCGCTGATTCAGCCTCTGGGTTTAGAATCGCCATGGCTGATAAAGACGGCCTTTTAATGGTTTATGGAGGCGAAGAATCTGCAAATGAGAGAGATCACGCAGGACAAGGAAATGTGCGAACAGGCGGTGGATAAAGACGCCATGGATTAAACTAGTGAGTGGTTTGTAGGCTGCAGTGTTTACGTCAGATACGACGCGTCATGATGTCATTTGGAATTTGATATCAGAAAAGCTGTCCATTTTTTAGCCCAATCACTGAGGTGAAGACATGAGTTCATGAGAAAGAAATGCCCGAGAATGTATGTACTTGACACAAACGTCTTTATGTTTGACACGATATTGCAGCTATTGCTTTTGCATCGCGAATTAGTGGTAGATGAGTACATATGGCGGGATGACGTGTACATATTGATGGGATTGCTAGTTTTAATATCGTTATTTGCATCTGTTTAGATTGTTCTGTATTGTTTGTTACGATAATTAGCTACTGGCTCAGACGAGGCTATTTAATCTTTAAGGGTTGCAAAATGTCTAGTAGATCCTAGGCTGGTTAGCAATGCTGGTTCCTTAGTCAAGTCTAGTGGTTGTACGGGGTTTGTCAGCTGCAATTGTCTGGCTGGGTTGGGGGAGTTTGAATGGGGTGTTTTTTTTTTTTTTTTTTTTTTTTTTTTGGGGGTTTTTTTTTTTTAGGGGTTAGGGTTGCCTCATGGTGGTTTCCAAAAATTCAGGAATGCTACCAACGATGGTCCCGTCCGCTTGCTGAGACGTCACGCGGTTTTGGAGCTTGCGGCAACTGTTATCTTGCCCTCGGTCTGGATGGAAGAGATTTAGTTGCCTCACTGACACGCTATATACGACCCAAACTTGGTACGCAGTGAGCTCGTTTACATGAGCCCAGAGAGTTGGTTGGCGTCTGCTGTAAAGCTGCTGTCTGCCACGCGCTGATTCCTAGAGTGTCTCCAGAGATCTTGTCAGCCTACTTTACGAACCTTGGTACCGATGAAACGGTTTCTTCAGGCCCAATAGTACGTATTCGTTTGCGTAATGTAGGGTACGCTCTATGAGAACCCTGTAAACGAGTGGATTCGCATAGAATACGATACCCCCTGCATCCTGACCCTCAGAGAGCTTCGGCAACCGTTCACTGATTCTCAATGTTGTTCACGGCATTTCTCCAATAAACCCCATATACTGTTTTGCTCCAGGACGATGACGCTCCGCTGACCTGGGTCTGAGTCCACCATGAAGCCAATGACGCAGCCCGTCGTAGAGTATTTTATTAGATTTCAGTACAGGGGGTGGCGCAGAAGTATGTCCTTTTGTACTTGAATTCCTCCTCCCACAGCTGCGCTTGGTGCGCTCAACAAAATCGCAAGGCCCCATTGTCGCAGCTTGGCTTGTTGATGCATGGTTACACCTACCGTCGGAATGACGAAGGAATACGTACGATCCCCAATCCGATGCAATTGCAGGGCTGAAGGTCCACAATCCATGAGTTTTCGGCCCAAATGTACGCAAGCCAGAATGCTTCCTCCTCTGGTGTCATTGCCCGGAGCGAGTGACAAAGTGATCGAGAGAACTCCATCACCCATTCCTCCCTTATCGTCCACCTGATCACCTCCAGGCATTCGAGCTTCATTGTGTACTAATGCTGTCTACCTCAGGACTACATACGTGAATATGATGCTACCTGCTCGTACTACGGTAGTCTTCATTTTAATAAGGGCTTTGTTTGCTGGCATCTAAGTTACCGTTACCACACAACAAAGAACACAATTTTCTTTCGCATAATAATCGACTAGGAATTAGAGACTAAAACCTACGTTTTGTGTCCAGAATCCACCATGCTTGTTTTAATGTTAAAACGGTTTTGTTAAATGGTGGCACACCCGTATCACCTACAAAACCAAACCGTCTATTGAACCGGACCGGTCATATTTGAACCGTCTCATTCGTACTTAGCCTCACGTTCAGCGCGGCGACCAACCAATGGTCCAGCGAATGTCGCTCGTTGGCAGAGACGCCACTTAGTTCGGTTCTTTAAGTCTTTCGGAAGCAAAACATCACCATGTCCTCCACTGGAATCGCCGTGGGTCTGAACAAGGGTTTCCCTGTTAACAAAAAGCAGGTGGCTCCTCGCCCCGCTTCCCGTAAAGGAGTACGTGCCCAAATGTATACTCATTGAACGTATGAGCAAGAGAAGCTGGCAGCCTCTACAGATCAGGCCGCGTTACAACAATGCAGAGGCTGTCAGGCGCTAGCATACAGTTAATACCAGGAGAAAGACAATGATATAGAAAGCGGTGATTTAACACGAGGCTTTTTACTCATGTGATTGGTTGATATTTAATGTGCGCAGCGTGCTGGCAAGAAGACGAAACTCGTGCGTGAAATCGTGCGTGAAGTGGTTGGCCTTATGCCGTATGAGAAGCGCATTCTTGATATGATCAAGAGTGGTGGTTCATCGGCTGAGAAGCGTATCTACAAGTTTTCTAAGAAACGCGTACGTATCCAACAGCAGCAGATCTTATAGCAACTATAAGAGTCATTAGCAAAAGAGATCATGGTGGCTAACAATTGGTCATTATGATTGTCACGTTTGTATGATACAGTTGGGAACGCACCGTCGTGCTTTGCAGAAACGTGAAGAGATGAAGGCGTACTACGCTGCTCTTCGTGCGAAAGCCGTGCATCACGCTTAGGACCGAGAAACGGACAGTTTCAGGATTGCGAAGATGAACAAGACCAACTTGTCAGTGGGTTGGGACGGACACGGACATATTCTCGATAGTGGCGTGATGTCCACTTGTGTGGTTGCTGAGCTCTAGCATTGTACGTGGTCGCTGGCCTTGGCTGCTTGATCTTCGTCGCTTCATTATATTGAAAATAAAGGATCGCCAATCACTGCTTCAGCCTTTGACGCGCTGTGCGTGTCCAATGTCTTTTTTCTGTGTCTTTCATGTCGTTTGATTGTACATTGAGATATGAGTGGTAACAGGCACTTCAACTTGGATCTACGACTGTTGAAGTGTATGAAAACATGGACTGGATGCAAAATACCGGGGGGTCGGATCACTGAGATGTTGTAGCTATTCAATCGAGGACCCAATTGTAATTACTCGTCGTCGCTGTAACGACAGTAAATCGGGTTGGCAGGTGTTGACTTGCTAGTTGCTAGAAAGCGCCAAAAAAATAGAAGTCGTTGCTGCTGAATATGGCGGAGGCATGCGACGGTTCTGACTGCGACTGTTCTGACTGCGACGGTTCTGACTTGGTCCTGAAGCCGTTTTTTTGGCAGCACTGTCTCCATCTCTCCATTTGTGTCGCCCCCCACCACTACGCACGGGCTTTACTTATAAATAGGCAGTAATCAGAACGAGTCTGTCGCCGCGCCTAGCGCCGAGCGGGGAGGAGGGGGAGTGGAATCTGAGCGCAACGCGAGCCCTGCCTCCCATCACGGCAGTGGAGCGACTTAATAGCAAAAACGAGACAAAGGTATCTCGACAGCTTGAGCCAGGGTGTAGTTTAGTCCTAGCACCAGAGGAGTGTACAACACCGACAAGAAACGAACCTGAACTGACGGATCAGCAGACCACAAGCTTCGAAGATCAGTCAATCTCTTGGATCTCTGCCATGGGAGTCGAGGCAAAAGAGCATAAGCGCCGACTACTGCTGCATTCGATGGCAGCGCTTGCTCGACGTACAATGGCGAATACGACTTGTCCCAACAGTAATTCAAGTGCACAAGCCACAGTAACTGACAGTTTGGATGATGCTGCCGTCCATTCTGCTAGCTTGTCGACAATATCGTTGCCGCGTCCTGCGCAGCATGACGAGTCTGCATTGCGTAAAGAGCCACTAGCCGGACCTTGTATCCTTCCTACAGCTTGTCGACCCCGCATAACTCCGCTGCGTATGTCAGGGCTAAGGTTATCACAGTCTTCTCCACGACTTTTAGGCCCCTCGATGCTCGATCAAGAAGCTACGGATGTAGTAGCTGTCGATAATATCATTGAAATCGCAGACGATGATGATTCCAGCGAAGAAGGAAGCTACTCACAAGAGCACCCCAGCAATAGCATTCGCGTGCCCCCTAAACGCGCCACAAGCCTCTTAGTAACTTCAAGCGACCATACGAGCCACGAGTCTATCGTATACGCTGTTGCACTGCTCCGCAAACTTCAGCAGCACGCTTATGCCAATGAAAGTGGCGAGGCCGCGGTGCAACGTAAGGAGCTTGATCAGATTCTTAGCGGCTTCTCTCACGCACTCGAAAGTGTGACCTCGACTTGGGATGAACGGAGCGTTGAAAACACGGTGCAAGAGCTATTTGACACGCACTCGAACGTGTTTGACGAAAGCATGCAAAACTACATCATTCAGAATTTTCTGCATGAATCGGGGAGCGCCAAAACATTTCGCACAGCACTGCGAAGGACAAGCGTGCTACGACGCTGTTTGCTAGCCATGTATCAGCCCAAGCACAGCAACGGCGTAAAGCGCAGCAATAACATGGGTGGCGACAAAGGAATTGCTACCCGCCGCTGGAGCGAAGCAGTGGCACGGATCATGAAGGAGAAGGAAGACAAACGCCGGCAGATCTCGATTGAAGTATGTCCAGAAATCACGAATCCATCCATAGTGCTTGCTGTCAAGAATGAGATCGCCAACATCAACTCCTGGAACTTTGATGTCTTTGCGGTACGGTGCTGTTGTGCTCCTGTCGACAAGTGACGTGCTTCCATGCTGATTTTGCTAGTCATTTTGTTTGACTAGATCGCGGAGGCTGTTCCAGGTCAAACATTGTGCATCGTCGGTAATGCACTATTTGAGCAGTACAATTTGTGTCATCATTTTCAGACGACCAAGGCACGTGTTCAATCGTTGTTGCGGCAGTAAGTTTTCAAGCCCCATGTTCCTTACTGATATCGCTCACATCTGACTATTTACATGATACCAAACTTCAGTGTCCAGCGCAGGTATCATGATCACCCCTATCACAACGGTATGAATACCGTTGAAGCTCTGCTCTGTGCTCAAAAATATCGAAGTCCCTGTGCTGACAAACCTCCATTTCTTTTTTACACTCTTGTTTCACTTGCAGCCGAGCATGCAGCAGACGTTACACAAACTCTGCACCACTTTTTATCTGTCGGAAACCTGGGCAGCTTATTCACCGAACGTACAAAGTGCACGGCACTTTTGGCCGCCATGATCCATGATGTCGTACGTAGCGTACTTTGAGTTCGCTTAGCGGCGTTTTACATTTCTTTAACATATTCGTGTACTCGCCCGACTGCCATTTCCAGGGCCATACAAGTTACAGCAATAATTTCCATATTACTGTCAACGACGAGTTAGCCATTCAACACGTGTACCGCTCTCCACTCGAGCATATGCACTGTGCATTGGCCTTTCAATTGATTAAGGACCCTCAGTGCAATATTCTCCAGGATTTGACAAGAATTGAGCAGCAAGAGGTACGTACACCAAGTTCTTGACCCGCACCACGAACCTTAAATGACCAAGTAACTTTTGTGGTACAACATGTCCCGCTCATAGGTCCGCAGCTTGATTACTGACATGGTCTTGGCAACCGATAACAGTGTGCATTCCGCATACCTGGGCAAGCTGGACAACCTCGTAAGGAGGTACGTTGGCCTGCTCTGCTACGTGACTAACGACTCTGACAATCTCTTGCATTTCATTTCGCCACAGGTCGAGAGACGAAGGCTGGAAAAATGCAGACGTAGATGATGAGCGACTCGTGCTGCAGATGGCATTGCACACTGCAGACGTATCGAATCCGACGAAATCACTGCGTATCTACCTCGCTTGGACCGAACGCATTAAGCAAGAGTTTTACCAACAAGGTGACAAAGAGCGTGAGCTATTACTTCCTGTAAGTATTGGCTACGATCGTGAGCAGCCCATTCCACTGGAAAAGATGCAAGCGGGTTTTATCATTGGCATTGTTCGACCGCTCTTCCTGTCACTGAGTCTCTTGCCCAGTGCACGATTAGGTCATTGTATGGCACAATTGGATGCTAATTTGTCTCACTGGCAAGATGAAATCAAGCGTAAACAATTGCTATTGAAGTCTGCACTCTCTTTCGAATGAAGGAGCAGATGCAGACATTTCTATAGCCATCGACAGCATTTAGTAGCCCATAGGTAGGCTAAATGAGCCAAACCGAGCGATGAACACGATTGTACTGTGTTATCTCTTATAAGTACTGAATTAATTTCAACCAATTATATATCCTATCATCTCGACCTCTCATTTGAGGCCCCTCCCCCTAATTATTATAATTTGACACTAAAAGGAACAAGATGCTGAGTCTCGTGAAGAAAGTGACGACTGTTTCTGGTCGTCGTAACCCCATGCAGTCACGTCTGATGAGCCACGGTCCAGCAGCTCCTGAGGGAAGTCTAGAGGCCAAAGTTCGCCATTATCTGCCCAAGGATTACCACGTACGTCTCAATTTTATCGTAGCTTATGATGATTCTTTTTTCACTAACAGGTTTTTTGTATTCTGAGTAGATTGTACTGGCTACTTTGGGTGCTTATGCGACAATTATTATGTTGTTTAAGCTCAAGCCATCGAAGAAAAAAGCAGAGGAGATTGTTGCTACTCGTACGTCTATTGAGTATTGACAGATATCAATTTCAACACGTCACTGACCTTTTGTCGTGTTGCATGTCGTATGCAGCCTCCAGCTCCAACTCGAACTCGACGTTAACATCGATTCCATCGCTTTTTGACGACGAATTTGACGAGTGGTCCAAGCTACCGGGCAACATGGACAAGTGGGAGAAGAGTTTGGAAACTCTTGGCAACTAAGTTGCTGCTTGGACGACACTAGGTGGGAGGAGGACGGAAGATAGGTTTACTCCTGCTTGATTAGGAGAGGTTAGAGCTTTCTGTCTCTCTCTCTCTCTCGTTTCTATTGCCGAGAAGGCCAATGGGACATTGGAAAAATAAATAAAAACGTCCTGGCGAAAACAGCCTGCCAAAGTGAATTTGTGTCGTCATGTGCTGTGTTCCAAGTTTATATCCGTAATGTGGTGGTATGCTCAGATGTTTCTTACGTCATGAATGAAGTGGCAAGTTTGCAGTAATGGGCATTCAGCCTCCTGTAGGGTAGGTTAATAACAGCTTCAATATGGTTCGTATCTTATACAAGCACAAATAATACACGATGGTTGATATATAGTGAAATTTCTTCGAAGGTGCTACCTACGTAAGAATGAAAACCTTGGCGCAAGACGTAAAAGTACTTCTTCTGGTCGATACGATTAGTCTCCAATGGAGCCAAACTCCGGTGACCCGTCACCGCGCAGCCGCTCACACAGCATCGGCTCGTAGTGATCACCACCACGGTCGCTGCCAGTTAGTCGCATGAGCAAAAACCACGGTGCATGACCCTTCGAGTGGCAGATCGTGCTTTGTTCCAAGCCGACTTCACCACGGGGTCGATGGGGCAAGAAAAACATTTTCCCGCACCCTACCAAAACCACAAAAATGTCACGCTGATACGCTGTCGCCAGTGCTTCCAGCACAAAGTCATCTCCCCATGCCACACGCGAATTATCAGGGTCATTATCGACCGAAATGAGCCCACGGCTACTGTAATTAAGGCCGATAAGGAAGTGAGTGTTTTCACCTCGGCCTACCGTCATGTAGTCACAGTAAGAGTGCGCGTCCAACACTGGCTGTGCATACTCTGTGTAGACAGCTTCTGCAGCTATTCCCCATGAATAGCCCTTCTTCTGGAGTTCAGCACATTTGTCCAGCAGCATCTTCTTGTCACTCCGACGCGCTACAAACCGCCGCGTCTGCACCGGACTTACTCCCCATCCACCCTTCAACGTTGGACAGTATAAATTCTGAATGGCTTTATCAATCTTCTGCTGTTCCTCCGGCGTGCTCGAATTATAGTGAGCGAGAAAGAATTTGGTAGCCACATTACGAATTCCTTCCGGTGAGAGAGGTTCGCACTCCTCCGTGTACAAAAGAAGTTGTTCCATTGACAAGAAAAGACAGTCTCCAAAAGGCAGCACAGGCGCCAAATACTTGACGCTATAGGTCGTGTCATGTGGCTCGTACGACACGCCGTCCTCTTCCAACACACGCAGTAAATCAAGACTGCTTGAGTCAATATTAGACACACGTTGCCACCCCATACAAACCGTCACTGGGCGGTCTACTACATCAGGTCTCGCTGTCATGACAAATTGCTCTGCCTTCGAACGTCTTGGTGTCAGCAGCGCCTGCTTCGGTCGAGCCTAAAACAGTCACAATTACATACAAAAACTCCATCAGTTTATACCTCTTCCTCACGCTTCGTTTGCCAATTGTTTACCATTTGTTGGTACTGTGAGTACGCCAACAGACGCGAGTCTAACGCGTGCTGTGCGTCCATGATGGCTTCACTGTATCCATCATGGACCATGATCTGTGTCGAAGCGTCTAATGCCGGTAGAAACGGTATCGCTACCGGTATCGAGTCCATTTCCACTGATTCCTCCGACTCTGCGTCCTCTTCTTTTCTTTTTTCTTGCTCTGATTCGCCGTCAGAGTCGCCAAACGTCGTGCTTTCGCTTGTAAACGACGTCGTGACGGATGTCACTTCCGTAGGAGACGCCACAAGCTCATGTGATATGCTCGAGTCACTTAGTTTTTGCTTTACTACAAACACGTACTCTTTCTCTTCCTTCTCGGCTTGCATTTTTCTTCTTATTCTTAACTAATTGTTATTCGCTGACTTTATTATTTACTACGACTATTGATAAGACTTTTGACTGAAAGAAAAAAACGACCTCTTGTTGGGGGTAGGGATCAAATAGGATGAACCGAACTTAGCATATGTAGCCCCCACGAGAATTCGACGAAAAGTGCAGACAATTTAATCTGCTCTGCCAAAACGTTTTGGCGATACTGTAACCTGGTGCGACGGTTTTTTTACGCAAACAAACACTCTCATGAAACGTTTAGAAACGCGAAAACAATTTCCAAAGAATTTATAAAGCAAAGTTTTCGGATGAAATAATCACACGAGCTAATTGAGATATGAGCCTCTGTGAAAAAGGGAACTATTTGTTCTAGAGCGGTCAAACGTGAAGAAACATAATGTGGGGCTGACGATTATTTTGTCGTTACTCAACACGATTTTGTCATGAACACTCCTCAACTAGAAACATTGTCATACTTATACAAGAGTCACCCAAAACGGCCGCGCTAGCGCTCCCGTAATTTTAAAGATTGACCTGAGATGGAAACAACTGGTAGCTGGATCTGAAGTACTGCTATGACGTCCAGTCCGTGTCGTCTCAGATGTGACATAGCGCCGTTCGCCAAAGATTGGTCATGTGTAGACGTACACTTCAAAGAAGCTGCCACGTGCTTCGCGGGCACACATCTTCGAGCAGCGTGAGGAAGCGGTTAGACCGTCTTACTTCCGCGGGCGGTGGTAGTGGCTTTGGTTGACGCTATGCGCTGTACCAACCGTTACCGGTCGCCTACGCGAACAGCGCAACGAACTTTTAACAAGTGCTTCACTTATGACACGCAGAAGCTTATTCAGCTTCTCGTGCTCAGTGAGCTATGTTTAGCAAATTCAAGACTGACTTATATTAAATGAAAATAATTAAACATAAATCGAACTACTGATTGGTAAAATGTAAAGATCAGATACGCGTCTCTTTAGAAGCGTATCCCTACGTGCGAGCGTAAATATATTTAAGCTCGCAGATGACTTCCGTCTGTGACGCCATCATGACGCTTAGTCCCAACTGGGCGTCATCCCCGCCAAATGTGATCCATCCATGGATATCACATTCACGAGGGTGGGTCACATCGATGTGCCTTGCTCAAGTGGGAGATCTAAGGTACCACGTATCCTTTTAGACCTATCATATACTTAACGGACTCGTGTTACTATCGACCTGTTACATCATCCCCCTCTTTAAGACGATTTTTACATTTTGTAAAACATCGAAAGCAAGAAGATACCACCGAAACGTGGTAAGGCTGATGGCTGCCTGCAAAGGCGGCCATGCAGGCTAACACAAAGCGCACGCGCCGTGGTATCTCGCAGCCGTCGCTAAGTCTCTCTGTGACAACGCCAGCATCTAATTTCAGCTTGTAGCAGAGAACACTGTTCCATCCCACTATCGTGCGGATAGAGACTTGTATCTCATTGTTGACTACAATGAGAGTACACCATTGCCATCACCCCAAAGTGGTGATGAGCACAGTGCTCGGATGGGACATTTGTCCATTGTTTGAGACACCCAACCTTCAGGAAGCTTTCATGCTTTCTGACAGCGAGGGTCGTGCCACGTCGTCTGTGCCAACGAGCGCAGCGTCCACAACTGAGCGCGCTGCTCCGAAAGAAACAGCCGCGGCTCAACAGTGTGGTGGAGTGGGTTCTCAAAATTGTATGATGAGACCCCAAACCACTCACTGTGCCGGAACTGCCGACTGTCGGAGGGGGTACCCCGATGCCGCGTATGAACCTTCTTCTCACCTTGTGTACCCGTCGGCTGGCGAGTTACACTCTTCGGAAGACTTAGTGAGTATATGGACGTCTGCTTTGAGGGAGTTACACCTGGGGGGGCTCGAGTGGATATGCTTCACTCGGTGGGCCGGTAGGTGGCCACTCGATCGACCTTGTCGAGAGTGAACTTAGAGCCAAATTCTTCAGGGGCGCTTGTCGTCCCTGACCTTTTCCTTCTGTTTCAGGGGTATTAACCATCTGACCTTTACGTTGCTCCCGGACCTTGAGGTGAGGGAGACCGCTTCCGATAGCGGGTCTTGGGTGGTGTTGCTACTCGAACGAGCTCACCGTCCAAATATATCCTGGAGCTCTATTCGCCCTTGAACTTCGCTACGCAACTGTCTTCGACGGGGGGCCAAAATATATCCCTTCCCGGAACAGTGAGTAACTTAGAACAAGTCCTTCTTGGGTGACGGAGTCGTGCCACGTAGATCGCTCTTGTGTCTGACCACACGCCTGTCTTCAACGGGGGGGGGGGCAAATATATCCCTTCCCCGGAACAGGCGTGTGGCCAGAATAGAGTTCCTTTACAGCGCGACGAAGACTTGCCAAGTAGATCGCAAATTGAGTAGTATTTAATATAGTCCTATCCATTTAACTCCTTTACTCTATCCTTGCCTGAAGCTCTGATTCCTTGCGTCGACTGGTCTGACCTTGTATTAACTGGTCAGGAGTGGCTGAACCCCGAGGGGCCGAGGTCGACCAACGAGGGGCCGGGTCGACCAATAAGGGACCCAGGTCTACCAATGAGGGACCGGGTCGACCAATGAGGGACCCAGGTCGACCGATGAGGGACCGGATCTACCAACGAGGGGCCAGGTCGATCAATGAGGGGCCATGATCAACTCCCTTTGGTACCGGTTAACCGGTATCCTGATACTGATTTTTTTCTGTGGGTCCTGCGGATTGTTCTCCACCAACGGTCGCTCCCCATCGAGGCCCCTGTCTCTCTGGTCTCCTGTCCCTGACCCACGGTCTATGCTCCGAATCCAACTGGATTATGGGGTCCCCAAATCGCAAAAACAGCACTTCACCACAGCCGCCCCCTGCACTTGCTCAGCCGTACAACGGATTGAGCACGCGCATGTCTTCAATTCCTTCGTCACGTGAGTCCCTTACTGTGACCTTTGTTGATCGTCCATCTCTAACTCGTGCGTTCCAGCCATGTCTTCCCCCGGTTCTGACCCACCGTCTGCTGACCCACCGTCCGCTGACCCACCGTCTGAAGAGCCGACTTCGATCGTCGTCGCGCCTTCGGTTGACTCTCCATGTAGAGAGGCGTCCTTGGCCGACCTTCCCGTGACGGTGTCTTCGCCGTTGAGTGCTGCCGAAACTGTTTTCGTTCAGAGCTCTCCTGTTTCCTCCGCTTTGCCTCCTGCCGAGACGGCAGATCCTCCTGTCGCGCCGGTCTCCATGGTTGACAACCCGTCTTCCGCGCCAGTCGACCTGTGTGTAGCTCTGCATGAACAGCAAGCTCTCGTGGACGCGCAATCTCGCCGCATAGAGGACTTCGAGGGTCGGCTAGGTGTCGTTCCCCCTTCGGTCACCTTATTGGCCACCCATTGTGAGCGTTTGGAAGAGACGTTACGCGACAATTCCCGGCTGGTGGTCCAACTCCGCGAAGCTCTTCAGCGCGAGAAGACACTGGTGGATCGCCTGCGATGGAAGATCGACCACATTCGAAGCCGTTACTCGCTTCTTGCTGCAGATCTCGATCACGTCGACTTCTCCGATGGGCCACCTCCGGGACCAGCTCCTCCTTCGGCAGCTTCGCCCCCGGCCGTATGTTCCCCTTCGAGGCCGGCGAAAGCTCTTGGCAAACGTTCCAGGCGTCCGTCCCCCCGTGTGCCTGCCAAAGTTTCCAAGCCTCCGAGGCCCGACACATCCGCGATACCGCTGTCGGAAGTCTCTGGTGGCCGCTCTCCTGTCATGCTGGAGTCTTCGGACGACGACCTCAGCGACGACAGCGAGACAATTCGGGCGGCCCTGACCAAGTATCGTTCTTCCGGTCTTCACCCCACCAGTTCAAGTTCTTCACGTCTTCTGCCGACGTCCGCTCCCCCATTGAGGACCACCTCGGCTTCCGGCCTCTCGCTGAAACGGGCGATGTTCGGGACGTCGGACTCGGACACTGAGTCGTCTGCGGAAATAGAAAAGAGCGCGCCCACTGTTGTGGACAACAATTCGCCCCTTTCGAACGACTCTTGCTTGCTCCCCAAGGATGTCATCATCCCAGGGTACATGCAGTCGAAGACCTTCTCTGCCGCGGAAGTGGCGTCTTGGCCGGTCGACCTGGTCAATTTTTGGTGCATGGTAACAATGTCTTCCACAGACTTGGTCGACCAGCTGGATCTACCTTGGGGTTGGTTCGGTCCTCCGGACGGAAACCTCGACCGCCCTCCCATATGGAAGAAGTCGTTGGTGAACCCTCTGATGATCCAGAGATTTCTGGATGCTGAACTTTGGGCAGAAGCTCGTGTTCCCATTCAACCCGCTTCCTTTCGACCTGTTGGCTGGTTCACCCAGTTGGCAGCGGCCTACATCCAGTTTGACGAAGAGCATAGTCAAGCACTTTGGGAGGCGAACCACTGCCTGTGGATCTCCAAGGACCAAGCGCGAGCGAACTCTTTCCTCGCGTCCTACTACAACGCGCGGAAGAAGCGTCGGAGTCGGGCGAATCGAGCGTGGCGGGAGGTGGTCGACTTTATCTTCGTTGAGATGAGTAAGGGCCGCTGCGATCTCGACATTTTCCTGGACCCCTTCTTCCGACATCTTCCTCGAACCCGCCGTGTAGTTTACTGGTATCCTGGTCGTGAGGAGGGATCAGATCCAGTCGACCTACTTGAGGCCCTTCGGGTGTCGGATTCCGCGTGGCCGTGGCTCACCCAGTATCGGTTGTCTTCTGTGCTCCATCCTGGCGCGCTAGTTCCACGCCTCAAAGGCAAGTTTGAGCCATCCGTTTAGGTCTTCCCTTGAACATGAATCTTCTTTTCCCTTCGATCCTATTTTGTGTGCTTGTCCATCTTCCATCTCCTCTGCCATACTTTCCTCTGTTCCAGGTAATCTTGGCAATCTTCCTCCTTTGTTTTCCATTCTCCTATACTCCTAACTCGTGGAAGTTCGAAATCGCCCCGCAGGCGACCCAAGTCTTCCAACGAGGGGCTGGGCCG